TGTCATAATCTGGTATCTGGTCGGATGCGAAGGGCTTTGACCGAGTTCATATACTCGCACAGTGGCTGCAGACCACTGCATAGATTCTCATTGGTAGGATGGAAGACTTCATTGACAAGATTGAATCAGCTGCCATACCTGCGCTTGCCACGGGGAGCTGCCCGCGAAAGAGAAATACAAGGACGTATCCCAGTGATTCCATATCATCTCTCCGCGACGGGGCATCCCCTTGCTGACGGAAGCGGCTTGAAAATACAATAGAACTTTCAGGGACTACTGGCTGGCGAGGTAACAGTTCCAGAGCCTGAGTAGCCCGGGCCCGATCAGAAGCATGCGTTTGAAAGACAGGTCATAGGCAATTTTCGCGGTTGCCGTCTCCGTGGATGAAGTTTTTTCTGTGTATAAATTTCAGTGTGGAAACCATCTGCTTTTCCAATGTCCCGCAATCTCTTCTGGCGAGAAAAAAGCCCGCTGCTTGCTAGTCGCGGTCTCCCCAGTCGAACTTGCACAGCGTGGTGAAGAGTAGGGCCCAGCCGCTCCAAAACCAGATAATATCGCCATCCGCAGGCATGTTCTCTTAAACCGGTGATGGCCGTGCCAATAAACTGATGGGACTCCTTGGCTTGGGCTCAATTGTCGGTATAGCTCGTATTCATGATGGAGGGTACTGCTCTGCGGATTGAAGAGCCTGGAGCCTCGCTCCGTCTTTACTGTGACCTTCCCTTCTTGGATAAATCTTATCAGACTCTGATGCAGAAGAGAACAGTGGTTGACAAACCGTGATTCTCGACCAGAGGGTCGGTGTCTGCAAGGAGCTCTTCCTCGGATAATATCCAGATGCCTTTTTTGTGTCTGGGCGTCTTTGCTTCAAGATATCAGCGACGTTGACGTAGAACATGGTCTCTTCGTACCATTTTCATGGCTCTCGCGTAGCCTTCTAGGTTGTCTGGCATTAGGATGTCTAAGTAGAACGTCCCCGAGCCGATTCAGATGGCCGGAGCAGGATAAACGTAGCCTACACAGACATGAGGAATAGGCAAGAGACTAGTGACGGATTTGTATTTTCGGATTCAGGTTCTGCTTTAAAAATTCCCGCCAAAGCTGTGCCCTAGCCCCACCTACTACGGTATATCGGTCATACGGCGAAAGAATCAACGGTCAAATTTGAATAGTTCGCTGTGATTCTTGCATTCTATAGTTGCGAACATTTGCAATTTGAAATCACGTGAAGATGGTCGACAAATAGCACGCAGTACCCACTGAAGAGCTCACTCTTCAAACCCGATTTCCACCGCTAACCGAACTGGGCCAGGCAATAGGGTTGCCCCCAATGCCCCCGAGCTCTGCGGTGGAATAATGTAGGCATTGTGAACAACCTTTGCACCCTTTGTTATGTATGAGCAGAGACCTTTGTTGAGAGCGGAGCAGATTTGCATGCCCTGGACCTCTAATTGTGCATATTGAGCTTGAATTGCAGAAACGTCGAAGCCAGACCAGCCATCATTTTCGGTGGAGCCAAAATCGAATTCCCCCCAAGTAGAGGCATAGCCGCCATATTGATCTTTGGGGATCGATGCCGCTTTTGTCATGGCCCAACCACCCTGGGAGTTTGGGGCAAAGGCAACGTATTTCGTTTGCCCGGCCGCCAGCGCGAAAGAACGACGAGGCATTACCATACCACCCGTCCATTCTACCGTCAGGGCCTATTTTGTTCCAGATAACCACTTTCCATTCCCCTGTTGGCGAGCCCGTAAATTTTGCGACATATTTGTATTTACTTGCTTGTTCGGGCGGAATGATGATGATGTTGCTTCCATAGGGCTTGCCGACGTTACCCACATACGTATCGCCGGAGCCACTTGGTTCAGTGAACCCTCCAAACCCCGATGTTGTATAAATCCCATCTGATGGGTAAGCCGTCCAGATTGTGGCAGATGAAGGACTAATCAAAGAGGAGGTTTGATGATCTCTATCAATGAGTGGACTTAGACTGCTACCTAGAGCCACTGTTGCCATGATTGCGGCCCATATTGACCTTAATAGAACTGCCATCTGGTTATGTATGGGCTGCTCCTATAATCCAGATGAATTGTCGTGAATGACAAAAGTCTGGCAGTTTCTCCGGGGAGATTGCTTTCATAGGATTTCAAATACTGAATAGCAGTTTCTTTTCCTTGTAAGCATTACCCTTTTGATTTTCTTGCTTTCTTTTTCCTTTCTTTTTCTCTTGTTATTTCTGGAATTCCTGCATGGTTCATATTTCTGGACTTCATGAAAATTATCTTCAGGCTGGATTTGGGCGTGTGGAATAGTCGCAAACCGCATTTCGTCTCAGGTGTTTCAAACCGTTTCGTATTCGCAAGGCCCCAAATGCTAGCGTAGAGGGGATTTTGTCTGGCATTAAATTTTATATCAGCAATTTTTGGACTCAGTCTGTCTATGGTTAGAGCAAATACAAATCCAGAAGCCATGCAGCCGGACGTTGGCCCTGGATAGGTGATGGATTCAATGCATCGTCCTTAGGCTGTGGTGGAGAAATCGCAAGGCGCGATTACAGTAGGTCAGGTCAATACGTCAGACCAAAAAGAATTTGATGGAAATATATTTTATCATGATACATAATTCCTTTTCGTTACACAATAAGGTCCTAGACATCTCCAGGGGTGATACGTCGGATGCTTCTCCTCAACCTATCTTGACCATTGGCAATCAGACCTAGGAACACTCAACACCCGAGCGCATTCAATTCATAGTGTGGCAGCTCATCGATGATAATCCACGCACATTCTTCTGCCTCGGCTAAAAGTTTACAGAGGCTCATTGTCGGCCCAGATGTACTTGATTGTGGCGTATGATTCACCCCATCCAATGGGTTGGGTGTATTGAGTACGGCGCGTTGTAGCCAGAGTAAATCCTCCAGCGTTTTCTTTAGACCAGGAGTCCGTTGAAGTGTCTCGGAAAAACCACCCGCATTGTGGTCAATATACTTGTGGATAATCAGATAGACTTTACGTGAGAATTTCGGCGTTGAACACTCATCCAGGCGTTGTGGGTAGTTCAACATATCTGAGTACGATAACTTTGAAAAATCCCCTAGCGTTTTCAATATATCTTCATGCTGGTTTTTTTGCAAAATCATCTTGGTCAATCACAACGGCTATTTGATGCCGTGATATGATCGCCTGAGGTAGTCCAGCTTATAACACCAGTAACAGTAGGTCAACTTAGGCCAAAAATAGACATGAATGTGTCCACACATCCATAAATGGACATGAAAGCGTCTTTGGCCCAGAATTTCTCTCCACAGGTCCTTAGTCACAATCCGTTCAAAATATCATTTACAGTACCTAAATTTCCTTCTGTTAAGTTACTGGTGTTAATGCAATGCCACCTCCGTGCCCCATAATCGAGCCCTGTTATCAAACCAGGCCTTCGTTTTCTGATATATATTTGTACTGCAGTAGCAAATTTTCATCTATATCGATGTTCCCTCCATGTTCTCAAGTTCCCTTAGCCGCTCACTGCACGGATACAATAAAAATGCAAAACTAGAGGACTCGTTTGGTATCACTGGACTGGTTGTCCAACATAGTTTGTAAGCAATTACGAGAGGGTGCGAATCATGAGGCGACAGAAGGAGGTGGGTCGCGGCCAACCCTAAGGCAAGCAATGAGTCTATCCCATGGTCCGTAACCTTCCAACCAGTCTTGGTTTTCTCAACAAAACTTGTTCCATGGCCAATGCACAGGAATTCTGGAAGCGAATCTCTCTCTAAACGATCTCGTAGGAGACGCTGGAGGCAGCGCCAAAAGAACATCATGTCTTTTAGTTCATCAATCGATAATCCGCGCTGATTACCCCAGGCAAATGATTCCGGAGGGTTATCGAGGACTTCACTCTGAAAACTGGTGCGGCGAAGAGCACAATTGTTGCATCCATCGGTAGCACATCCCTCCAACCAGGCTTTTTGACCTTGGAGATCACACTCGCGCCCTTTACCTGATCCGAAAATTCGGCAAAAGCTCCAGATCCGCCAAAGACCACGATGCATAGCGCTCCATTGTGGGTTTTGGTGATCCATGGGAGCCAGTAGCAGCACATCATACCGTTTCCTGTCAAATAACGGTGCCATTGGACACTGTGTGAGAATTGCCCCTGTTATGTAAGCACAAATAAACAACTCGTATGCGTAATGGTCGCAGTAGCTTTGGACATTCCAGTCTAATGATCTTCTTCTGTCATTTGATACAAGGTGCTCAAAATACTCCCACGATCCGGGCGATGGAGTCTGCCCCGAAGAGGAGGATAAGATCCCCATCTCTCTCAATTCCCACTGTTCGGGGTGCGTCCTCTTGAGCACAGATTTTGTTAAAAACAACCCAGTGGGATAGTCTGACAGGTTCACTCCGTGAACTCTAGCCCGCTCAAAAAGCTCATCCAACGAGGTGGCGCTTTGTAACATAAGGAATGGTGGCCCGTCGTCGTCATGAGACTCGCGTATCAGAACTCCGGAGGTCGTAGCTACTACGTCGTTTTGTCCTCCTGGCAAGCTCTGCGGGTCGGCTAGACGCGAAATTTCTTGCAAGTCTGACCCTGCATCTTGGCCCAGGTTTTCAACTCGACCATTACTGACGGACAGCATAAGGCGCACGCTCTTTGGCGGCTCTCGCAGGCCTGTGGAAGCATGGTCTATGGGAAGAACCTGGCATCGTCGATTGTGCGCTTTAACCGACGATATGTCGCTGCTACAAGGAAGCCTCCAGAGCGACTTTGATATATCGTCATCATTACTTAAGCTTAAGTCTTCATCAATCGGCCATGATTTTAGTATTCTGCGCGGCATGGGTTATTCGCGATAAACCTCGAATACAGTAAGTAGGTCACCCGTCTACAGCGGAAACAGTCCACTGATATCCAACTTAGAATATGAAATCCAGGCTCCCAGAAAATCAAATATCGAGTCTCATACCGGATCTGCTCTTGACGGCCATTTTTGTCTTTGGTGTATTTTGTGGACCGCCATTTTTAGATCACTGCAGATGATTATGTAAAGACGCTGTTTACGAATGTCGGACAATTTCCTCAGGGCAATTCCTCTGCGCAAGCCTTTTTCTTCCTTTAGTCTTGTCGTAGTTGCGCTCTCACTGTTCTGTGAGAAGACCAACTTAACTTACAGGGCCGACCGTTGGTTGGAACTGCCATAGTGGTCAAGACGAGTCATTCGTCTTCCTTGCTGATATTGACCAAGCAGGTGGAGCTGCTGCACCTAGAGTACTATACATTTGTTGGTCCCACTTCTTAAAGAACACATTTACATCAGTACTCAGGTGCAAATTTCGTGTCTTTGTAGAGTCTCTCAATCGGTTGAGCCAGTAAAATTGTCTTTCTATCATAAAATAATTCACAAATGATTGGGTCAAAAATTTTCGCACATCCATGCTTTACCCTCTGGCGAGGATGAATGCATTCTGCTTTCCAACAAGGACAACGTGTACTGCACGAAATTCATCTAATTATCACTATGGCGACGTAACATTAACTTGTCATTCCATTATCAGCAGTGCCCCATTGTATTGATTTCCGTGTATTGAGTTCCACTCTGACTCCACTGATAGGATCCTCAAAAGCCACATTGCTATTGGATATAAGGCCACCGAGGGCCATGCTCACTTCTGCGAGCAAGTCAGCCCCAAAGGAGGGATAAAGTTGGGTCTCCTCAAAGAATTTGTAATCTTGTTGCCGAAGATATCCCTCCACCGACGCTTTAGCGAGGACATGACGAACAGGGTGTTTTGGTGGTAGCGTGCATGCGGAAGCAATGTGTTGGGAAGTTATATAGTGGGTATTGGTATCTGCGTGCCGCCAATAAGGATCAGACTCGGGGCTTGGGTTACTGAGAACAACCTTTTGGATATACTCGGCCATGGGCGCTGCTAACCCACTGATACGACACATATCGGCCAGCCTTGCTAGCTCTATTGCTGCGGAGATCTGCTCTGTAGGGTCATCCACGGCGAAAACTACCGCACGGAGGTACAACCACTGAATCAGAGCCTCTAAGCTCTGATCTGAAACGACGCCTTCAACTTTTTGGAGAGTGAACACACTGTGTTGGGTCTCTAGAATTGGCCCCTCAAGCAGTGCTGAGAAGTACGGCGACATGGTACAGAGAAGACTTTTAGACACCGTATATTCTCGGTCACTGGACGCCACTTGCAATCTGACATAGGGACCACAGTAGAGTGGAAGAACGCTGAGGAACTGATGTTAGAATGATAGCCTTTGAACCCTTAGAAGTGAACCAGACGTACTTTGCAACAAACTCACTCGCACAGCACACCTCTGTCATCGTGGTCAGATTGGAGTCTTCCATTGTGCCAACACCCTGTGGGACGATTGATGTCGATAGACACAAGATCCTTAGATGTATTTATTGTCGCCATGGACGTCTAATGTTCCAAGAGTGTGATATTCCTGGATTGCCCCGCTAATCCTTAAATGACCCAGAGAGTTACTAAATAAAGATGAGTGCAAGGCAAATACCACCAGGGTGAGTTCGTTTTGGTAGCCGTCCCTGCGACGAGCCTCCCGTTCTTCTTGCTAAAAATAATGCCGACAGCATGGAAGACTAGTTTGTTTTTTCTGTTATATGTGCGTTTATTTTCATAAGTCTATTTATGGTGTTGGTTGATTTAATCAAATTTCCACTCTTATATGGGCGATCAGAAGTGACAACACATACTTCATCTCTGTAGAATACAAAGTCTGAAATTGGCATGCGGTTCATGGCCGGTGTGTGGTTTCGACTATCAGATAGGTATGTTGATAGAAGGCGCTCCGTGAGGTTCATGCTCTTACGTCTCAGTTGGTCGCGACACGCAACCTCTCCAATGATAGACTCATTTGATCTGGAGCCTCACGAGCAGGGCAATTTGATGCAACCCCCTCCTTATACGAGTTTGCAAACAAAGCCGAGAGAGGACTTGCGATGTATGAATTGTGGTAAACGTCGTTCTCGGTCGTACTGCCGATGGCATGAGTTAGAACCGATCAAGTATCCACGGTACGGGATTTGTTCACGATCACATTGTATCCCAACAAGACTGTCATCTGTGCAGTCCCCGTACGAGCTCTCGGCAGCAAGATCCCCTATTATTTCGATTCAATCAACCCTGGGCTTCAACAGAGATCAAACAACTTGAGCTTACCTTGGACTTTAGCGGAATCGTTGACTTCAGTGTTACATCGAAAATAATTACGTTATCCCTTCCCAACCCCTCCCTCATCCCCAGCTGGTTGCCAGCAATTTGTGATTTTGTTGTTGTTATTGAGTTGTACAGTAGTGATCATGAATTAAAGAGCCAGGAACAATCGACAGGTTGTTGGGTCTGATGGTCAACTCGATCCTCTCACCCATTGGCCACTCGATCAAGTGCCATAGCTCCCAATCGATTAGTCTTGTCAAGGCGATATAACGCACTTGGAAACATACCTCATGCTCTCCTAGATGGTCCACATACTTAAATTTGATATACATTCAAAGGCTTGGATTTGATTGAACTTGGCTGTGAGACTTCTGGTACCTTCTTGGCCTTTCTTGTCTTTGAGGAATAGTGCAGTACTAGGAAAGTTTTGAAAACACTGAGCTTTTCAACCGGTAGACGGGGCGTGGGAATATGAACGTAGTCTAGAGAATCTTAATCCTTCCCTGTTAGACAAGGGGTTTAACTTACCCGTCGGAAAAGCATGCTCTGCTTTCGATACTTTCTTTTGGCTCACCCAGAAATGTTGGAAAAGCTCGAATTACCGATTCCAATCGGAGGGTCTTGCTTTCTGTATAAGGGGCAATCAACTGCGACTCCCGGGTGGCTCTAGTTCGAGTCATGAATTGCCCCTTAGACGAGAAGCACAAGAAGATGTCGAAGGGCCTTCAAATAGCTCACCCAGACATCGGGATTTCTCACCTCTTGCGATTTCCAGTAATTGAACCCCTGTCTCTGATCGAAAAACTTCATTTCCTCAAAGGCTATCGTCCCACCTATGGGGCGAGTCGAGTCTGTGCTCAACGTCTAACTTCGAGCGTCCTATCTGACAGCCGCCAGTCTATCATGGCCTGCCCAAAAAAGCTGCATCTCTAGTACTACGCCCCAAAGCTTGAGGCATTGATACGTAGAATTAAAAAGAGGCCAACGCGGAATATGCTCAACATCTATATCTAAGGGGATATTTCTCTTGACCTGCACTCCATGGAAGCAGCCACGAAAAATACGACGAAATGGGCCGACGGTCCACGGTCAGCACAGAGGGGCAAGAAGTAAAGGATCGCGGAACACGGAATCCAGGTAATTGGAAGAGATTCCGAACGCTGCATTCATCACCCTCTACTGTTGCCCGAGCTTCAATATCTGTAGTCAATTTTCCAGCGCGAAAAATAACACATTGTGCGTTGAAGTCGTCCTTTGCATCGACATCCACCCTCCAAATCGTATTAACAGCCTCATTACCCCCTCGTGGCCATTCATGGCAGCGCAAGACAACGGTGTTCTGCCGACACTATCGATCACGTTAACAACTGCCCTTTCTGAAACACATTTTTGAGAGTCGCCTCGCTCTCCTGTAGGGCTGCCCATAACAGAGCCGAACTTCCCGACCTCAGCAAATTGCGTCGATATCAGTACGGATTTAGTAGAGAATAAGTAGAGTAGTTGGCTTTAGCCAGTGAGTTTATATTTTTCTCGACACTCAAGCAATCTGCAAGGAGGAGTAATTCGCAAGGCACACTGAGCAGAGACATTTTCTTGATTTGTCTCGAGGCTTTGGAAACACTCTTCTTTGCTATCAGAATTGTAGAATCCGAGCAGCTAGCAAGAGGTTGTCAGCTCGACTCCCATTAGCAGTTCCGTATTATTCGGATCATTATGTACATTGTTTGTGTGGGCCACGTATCAGGCTTTAATCATGTCGATGATAAATATTGAATCAAAAACGTAAAACCAGATTATCATTCCCAAATATAACACAACGTATTAATCATCGCGGTAATTTTTAATTGATTATGGCCTATATTATGTCATTCATCATAGTTTTGTCTTAAGATGGTGTCAGAAATGAATAATAACCATATATACTCAGAATTGAAAAAAAGGACGCGATAATGGCTATTGTGGTGTCCCTTCTCCTGGTTGTAAGGTTGAAAGCGCATTGTTGATCTTGATGTCAGGTACCTAATTGTGTCGGCATTGCTAGCCGCATTCACCTTTCTCTATTTCTGGTACATACCAGCCACTATATCGAGCTCAGCACAGTGAGCTCCGTGTCAGGAATTTTCATCCGCCATGGATGGTATCGGGGAGGTGGGACGTTTTGCCTTCGTTCTTGTCACTCGTACGGAAGATTTTGGTCCAAGCGCCACCAGCCAACGTTTAGTTCTAGGTTCTCGTTCCTTCCATCTAAAATGCCGCTGGGACTTCGCTCATAGGAATAGAATGAAACACGCCATCCAACCCTAGTTAAAATAACTCTTATTTGCTTGGCTGTAGAGCACTGGATGCTGGGGCTCAATTGAATACCGCGATATGCAGGGCCCGTCCCATTGCAGAGCCATCTCGCTTTAATCAAAAAATTCATTCCATCATCTATAGAAAGGAGAGCGATGCTAGTCTAGACCCCTTAGATTAACCTTGACCACTTGCGCCACGGCAAGTTCGTGCCAAGAAAGATTGGCAGTCAATGAGACCCGGAAACGTGCCTAAGGTTGTGCAGATCAGTTTTCCTTTTGAACTGAGGTTCTAAATCAATACATTTGCCAACGAAAGGGCGCTAATGGGATTATGAACGAGTACATGTAAATTCCTAATTTAGATGGGCACAGAGACCCATTCCCGACTACAATGGTCAGAAAAGGGTGTGAACTCGTTCTATTTTTAGGTTCTCCAACGACCATTAAAGAAGCTCATGAAAATACCGCCTCAAGCTCCAGAGGCCTTTTATGCGGCAACATGACATTGTGGAAGATCCTCTTTCGGGGGACTCCTATTCGTGTTTGGTCACCACACGCAAGAGGCTCAAAGCACTCTCGGAAAAGTTCTAAACGTCGCGCATTCAGAAATCGAAACCTTTCTAGTCTTAGTGGTCGTGTCACTGCCAGTTTTCCGACCAATGAAGGTACAGCATCCAGCTGAGCAAATTGCTTCCTCTATCGTCTCATTGCTGTGGGCACTGTCTTCTGTTTTGCAATCCCCTTCCCAAAAGTCATCTTCAACTGATAAGGCAGGCAAATCACAATGCTAGTGGATCTGATGGCCGCCAGCATGTCTTCCCCAAAGCTGGAGCTATCGCCATGATACGCCCCTTTCTTGAAGGGCCTGCTGGCTTGCTTTCCGCGTTGTATGATCGATGCTACGCTGTTGCTTGAACGATATTTGCTCGAAATACCAGAAATTGCGAAAACCTATTATCAAACAAAAGCCCCTCTTTATTTTAGCCGGCTATCTACTGATCAGGTCTACTGAGAACTATTCGCTACATATGCGTATGATTACTTCACCCCATTCCTCCTATACCAGATTTTGACACTAATTGTACAGTCCAAGACCAGAGCAGTATGATACGGCCCGAGTGCCGTATGATAACGTAATTCACAAGCGAACTGCTCACACTGGCGAGCCACACCCAAACAACCATATGTACTAAACGCGATAAATTACAAATTCATATTCCCGTAGCCATAATTGATATGAAAATGATACCAGCTTATACAATGATTGAAGTACATGGGAAGATTACTTTAGGTATGGATGACAATATATATTCTATGTGTCCAATGGAAATTCTACGCAGTACTTAATATTAAAGTGTCGGAATTTTATTCCCAAGTGACTTCAAAAAGCAATGGTGGTTGAATTTACAGAGGAAATTAAGTATGGTCTTTTGGTGTGAGTGGTCAACCCCTGGATTACGTTACCACCTATCTTATTTCACGCGTCATGTTCCCGACTGTTTGAGGTAGTACTGCCTGTTGAGAGGGGCAGTACATTGACTACAGGGCTGAACTGCTGCTCCAGGAAGTTCAGGAATGTGCTGACGGAAAAACCGGCTTCATTTTGGCAGAAAGCGTACTTGATTGGACAGGGTAAATAAAAGCGACACCATTGCGCGGTGGCCATGATGCGCCGCTTCCAACACAGCAGGCTGAAGCCATATTTTGTCATTGAAATGACATTTACATCAGTTCTATTACTGAGGAGCTTCGCCACTGATGTGTGCCCATAGTAAGCTATTAGGACAGAGGACCTTTGCGTTTTGAGTTATTCAGGCCAGTGTACACTTCTTTTACCCACATCAGTACTACCGTACCTTGTAGCTAGATGTAGGGACTTTTGGTGTAAAGTCTCCACCACTTTGCTTTGGCTATATGTGGACGCTAGTGATATCGGTGTACGACTAAGCTTGATTTGGCATTGAGGTCTGCTCAGAACTCTCTTCATAGTCGCCGGTTCTGCACCATATTCCGCCGAATGCAATATTCCAGAGCTAGTTGTCCTCGAATATTGTAAAGGGTGCGTTAACGGCCAAGAGAGTCATAATTATCCTTGTCGATTAAGCTAAAGGAGAGCATGTCTTGGTAATAGGCTAGAATTATTAACCAAAAGCTCGACAGGCAGTGATTTCAACATCGCCATGCCTGCAAAGCATAGAGATGCATTATATTCTTCCCCTTTAGTGGGAAGAGCCGAACCAAATGAAGTTGAAGTGGGTATTCGTGCGTTAAACAGGTCCCAGGACTCAAGAAAATTGCATGCCAGACGAGCATTCAAGGTCAGCACTGTGCCTTTCATCCCTGAATTATAAACGAGTAAATGGCTCTTGGGCTGGATAATCGCTTCTAAGAACTGTGAAAAGCGTTCTTAGTCGTCGATCATGTGCCACAAGTAGGATACCAGCTGCCACGAAGCATACTGCCTGACCTGCCGCCAGAATCAGCGCTGTCACCATTATGAAAAGATCAGCAACTAGTGAGAGCCTAGACAAATTATCACCAGGTCCAATATGGCGAGAAAGCAGATACAGGTCCTGTACCTATCCCCCAGTAGTGACATTCGTGATCTCGCTGCTGCCCACTGGAGAAACACCAAACCCAGGAATCCGTTTGCGACCAGTGCGAAGGAGATCCCTAAACCTATAGTTAATTTGATCGAATTTATTTGTGGTCTCTCGGTTACGTAACGCAAGGGGGAAAAGCAAGAAGCTCCACATTTGCTAAGGGCGAGACGAAGTATGTGACTGCGTGGTACAATACGTACCAACTCAGATACCTTAATACATCAGATAAAAATGGCGACCAGTCAACAAGCACGAGAAACACATACGCGGTTTTGTCTAGCCTAGACGCACGATAATCAGGCACCGTTGGAACAACAGCATTGGTAGACACCAGGTGAGAGCCAATAGGTACTGTATAGCTAGATGGACGCGGTTCCCGCCAATTCGGACACCACAACACCGTAGTAAATGCGATATTTCATCCATCCGAATTCCATGGCGTCACACTGTAGAGATGTATGTCGGCGTCACCAGACGGGAGCGTTTTTTTAGAAATGCAGGCAAATGATAATCTCCTGTATAGCTTAGGTACAGTATACATGCTATTTGTAATGCTTAAAATTGCTACTGTATACTATTAAAAATAGAAAAAAACCAACTTTCTTGTTGATATCGACTGACTGATAAGGATGATATATCTTTATCGGCCCGTGAACTACCTGTGCAGTATTTCACCACGGTTACTCCATTTTCCATGGTATATAAACGTTAGGGAACTGGCGTTCGTTTACCACAAACGGAGATCTTTCTGGTTTCTGGTCATAAAAAATTTACTCATTGTGGAGGTTGTGTGTCGCGACCAACTAAAATGTGAGAAAACGAACATCATAAAGCGCATTCAACCAACGCACCTACCTAAAAGTCGAAACCAGACACCAATCATTGATCGCATGCCAGTTTCAAGGTATTGTATTGTACAGATATAAAGTATATATCGTCCATATAAGAGGGGAATTCTGCCTAAATTGACAGACACCATGAATAGGTTACAGTAGCGACCGCTATTGCCTTCCATATCGGGAAACATAGAGATACTGTTTCAAACCCCAATCATATGATACGCTAAACCTTATATGGCTACTTCCGTGTTTAAACTGGTGACGCGCGCAGTCGCACGCTGTGACCCTGAAACGGAACAAGTACGAAAAATGAATCGTAAATTGAGCGATAACATAGAAGTCGGACGTGTATGGACTTAACAAGGCACGGGAAAGGTACATACGTTTGTCCTATGATCAGCCGATTATACATACCGAGTTGTGAAGCAAAGTACGCCACAGGGTGGTGATTGGACGAGTACGGATGCAAAAATATATGAAAAAACGACTTTTGAAATCGTGGTGCAGTATTGATCACTACAAAGCCGAAGCTACACTAGCCATATGCTAAAAACAGTAATAATATTATTTTATTGCCTTCCAAAAAACAAGGAAAAACATACAACAGCCAGGATTCGCATGTGGTCACCCACCATACTACTAACAGGCCGGCGTGTGGCTTAAGTACGGCTGAGCGGACGGGAAGCCCTGTTCTCCACACCCTATGGTCGTATGTGCTGGATTTATAGTCGTAGGGAATTATACTTAAAATTTCCTTATGAGGTAATAGTAGAAGATATCAGGACTACGCTACGGCTGTATAGCGATAGCGTGCATAAAGTTACGGAAGACAGCAGATGAAGCCGATAGGATCTTTCAATTCATGAATAGCCTGAACAATCGAATCAAACTATAAAGCTAAGTGGCTACCGAAGTTCCGACAGCGCTTAGTGTACTCTCACAGATCAGTGAAGCGATGAGCGAAGGCCAAGCCACAGAATCCAGCGAATCAGCAACGATAACCTTGCAAGTTAATGTCAATGCCTTAAGAAAGTTTAATTCAGGAAGAGAGTCAGACAACCAAGAACGAGCCAGCATGAGCCAGTCATAGAAGGGAAACGTACCTAGAAGTCCGGAACGAAGCCCTAGAACCCTAACAACTGAGAAGTCGAACAATAGACTCCAGCGAAGCATAACACGTCTTGGCGGCGAAAATTCGCGTGATTTTACGGTATAAACACACCAAAACTTTGCGGGCAACTCGCGCGGGGTACTATAAACCCTTCACTCGTTCCTCGTTTCAGGGCATTTTAAATCTTGTTCCAGGTTTATATTGTACCAATGATGAAAGTATAAAACTGTATAGTCATGTACTGTTACATGTCCAAAAATAATAACCCCAACCACCACAACGTCGTTCACGCTGTCCCTTTTCGAGATGACTCAGATACAACAATCCATATCCATGGTCCGACCTGTTCTCCTCAATGTCGCTAATTTCTCTTCCGGTAGAGCTGGTTCAGCTCATCGCGTCATTCCTCGAGAGAGAAGCCGATATCAAGTCCTTAGCCCAAACTAACAGATTGAACTACGCCTGGCTGAATGCATTCCTCTACCAGCGCAATGTGCAAGTTTCGGAAAGCTCAGCTCCCATCTGGGCGGCTCAATATAGGCAGAAGACCACGGCACACCTCAGTCTCCGTCACGGAGCCAATATGGCTGCGATGGGCAGCTGGGGTCTGACACCGCTATGCTGGGCAGCGCATAAAGGAGATGTACCGATGGCCGTGCTCTTATTGCAGAATGGGGGAGAGAATATCAATGCAAGAAGCTCAGATTCTCGCCGATGGACTCCGCTGTCGTTCGCGGCCGCTAAAGGGAGTGAAGACATGGTGAGATTGTTACTTGCGGATGAAAGGGTGGATGTGGAGACGAAAGACTCCGCAGGTCTATCACCTTCATTTGTGGCGGCATCTAAAGGACATTTGGCAGTCGTGAAGCTACTGCTTGAGACTGGCCAGGTGAATGCGAACTCAGAAGGTCCGCATAGCCGTACTCTATTCTCCTGGGCGGCCGGAAAGGGTCATGCGGTTGTGGTGGCGATGCTGCTGGCAACTGGCTCTGTTGAGGTCAATTCCCGCGACCGCCAGTTCGGTCGGACAGCACTTGCATGGGCCTCACTTTATAGGCAGGAGACTGTTGTACCGCTACTAGTTGGAACGAAACAGATTGACTTGAACGCCAGAGACTGCACTGACCGCACCCTGTTGCATTTGGCTGCGTGGAAAGGACATGCCGCCGTGGTAGAATTATTGCTTCAGTCCAGCCGCGTCGGTGTCCAGCCGAAAGACTCCAAAGCATAACTCCCCTGTTATTGGCTGCTAAGTGGGGGCACGAATTAGTAGTTGGACTATTACTGGAGATCGGGGAGGCGGATGCGAATACCGGACAACGAGTATGGCCAAACAGCACTACTGTGGGCCCCGAAAGGGGGCCACGAAACCGTCGTGAAACGATTGCTAGACATTGCGCACGTTGATATGGATGCCAAAAAGGACCAGGCCCGGACGGCATTGACCATTGCGATTGAGAATGACATACGGCTATAGCCCAGCTACTTCAGTAGACAATCCAGTGACAATAATATAATGGGCATCACGGACAACTACAGTCAAAAGGAAAGATGGATGATTTTATTTACGCTGACCTCTTGCTAAGTTGAGACCCTAGACTGAGGTTCAAGTGTAATGATCATTCTCTAACTATAGCTATTTGTAAGTCATAGTAGCTGTCTTCTGCTTAAAGTGGTGGTGGCAGCCCAATAGGCCGTTGATGTTATGGGGCGCACGAAGGACCAGGAGAAGGCTCACAGGGAGTTACTGTGACTCATCCGTGGCACGATACGGGGCAAGGCTAGGGGGGTACAAGGTTGCGGGGTGTGCTACCTAAGTTACCAGGGGCGGGGGAATACTGTCAATATTCTTCCCATGGGTCGACCATCCGGGGTTAATCGGTATCGTCACCGAAAGAGCTATGGGTCATCGCAAATTATCGCTGGGGGAGGGGTAGCCTAGAGCTGTAAGCGGTTATCCAGGAATGCCTGACGCCCAATAAAGACCCGAAGCCGCCACATGACGATAAGTGATGGTGATCACGAAACAAACCTTACTGTCAAGCCTTGCCTATCAACTTGACCCGACATGGACACCCAGGGCAGCGCCAGACCCTCTGCAGTGAATGCAACTGAGGGATGGAGGGGGAAGTTGACAGATTGCCAACGGTCACTTAGTTTGCTCGATTTGCATGGAGCCAGTCGTCCATGCTTCTGGCCCTCGGGACTTGTATTCATACAGATAGGTACAGTACAATACCAGGTAGAATTACGATGTATATACAAAATCGATAATATACATGAGATCCATATTGGGTTTAGCATATTACGTGATTGGGGTTTTAAACAGTGTCTTTATGTTTCCCGATATGGAAGGAAATAACGGTCGCTACTGTACCTGTAACTTAAAGTATACATACCGTTGGGACCGGAGTAACCATGCTGAAATTCTGCAGAAGCGCTTCTCTCAATGACCAGAAAATATTCATTACTCCTAGCAGTCAGTACCTCAAACGCCTCGGACATTCATCTTGCCATCTACTCTTGACTATTACCTAGCACTATCAAAGTGGAGTCCAATAATCCGAGCTGGGACAACGGCGAAATTTAGCCCTTTGAATCCCATTGAATCGTGATTTTTTGTCATTCATGCGTTATAGAGACCTCATGCTTCTTTCTACTTCACTTTAAAACAGACTACACAGAGAGTAATTTCTCGAGCAATAAATGTCCATATTTACATGAAGATATTTTTAGAAATCAGCGTCCACCGTATTGGTGCTGGTACCAGTTGCAATTTATTTTGTAAAGTATATATTATCATAGCATGTTATCTCCTTATGAGCCATATAATTAACGACAAAAGTACAACTTGCAGTATAGATACTAGAGTGTGAAAATCGTACAACTTTCACACGGCTACTCGTGATATTAAGACAGTATTTATAGTTGTGTATAATTAGAAATGTAATTTCAGAGAAATAGAGGCTCCAGAAGCTATATACTATTTCATGTTCGTAGTAGCAACTTGAATAAATATCTTTATAAATTAATTGAGTTATTACACCGTAAAGAGCACCACGAATTTTCTATTTCGAATAATCTTTTAACCGCAAAATGAATACTAATCTTAGACGGCAACCGCTTATGACTTTAAGTATTTGTATTTTTATAATTACGTTATGAGTAAAAGTACTCTCGTAATCTGATCAAATTATAGGCAAAAAAAACCATTGTGCTCTTATAAAGCTCGTATTAGCGCGTTTTAAGTATTCGAAAATTTCTGTTTGCAAAAGCGACAATTCACTAATTTTTACTAAAATAATCGATTTAACGAAGAGATTTTTATCGTTAGGAAAATCCACTGGAAGTTGGGCGACCCTACCCCTACCGGGTTAAACAGATTTCATTTCCATCAGCCCAGGCTCGACGCAGAACACTATGAGTGAAAGATTTCGTACAGTGATTGCGAACTACCGGGAATGGAAGGTTTGTCAAGCTCTTTAAGAGAAAGTCTTTTCAAGAGGAAAGACGCCGTTGGATTGGTCACCTGGTCACCCACTACAACGAGCTTGAAAGGGGAAGTTGGTTATAGCTTTCAGGAAACGCGAATCAAGCTCTACCAAACAAAGGACATGTTCCACTGACGTCAAGTCCCCAAAGTTCCTCAAACGGCTTATTCTCCTTCCGTCCTTTGAAACGTCCGCCTCTGTATATTGATTTCCGGCTGCCTGAATATTCCAGATGAGGTTCCTGACTTCTGCAGTTTGGAAAGTGATCAAAATCCCCTTACTTTACTTGTTGACCGATTCAGCTCTCCCCTGGAGTAGAGCTTGGTAAAGGACGGTTGGCTCGATGATTATTCTGTTCAGCTGGGTAGCACGATACTGATCCTTGCACGCTAGCCTTTTCTATCGAACAGGAAAAATGTGAAATTAGACTGAATAGAGTAATATATAGGTTGTTGAACACAGTGAAGCGCAACAGTCTTCTATAAACAACGATAACGCTTTTACCGCGAACGGTGTCACGATGAACTTCATAACAATGACTTAATAGTGTTCGCAATACTTATTTACACGAAATGTGACGGCGATTTCCCCATCTCCCTGGGAAATTTGCATCCACGATTCCCTTTCGGTGTTTGCACCTTGATGTGAGAGTTCAACTCATCTCCTGGTTGGCCATAAAGTGATTGTTACTACCAGCAGGGCTTGGATTCGGAAATTGATGTCGGAGAATTTCGGTGAAATAGTAGACAACGTTCGCTCTGCCGTCGATTGTCGCCATATTTTGTATAAAACGAGCCTTTTTACGGGTCAGAATCTCTGCAGTGAACTTTTCCAAAGGGATAGTCACTTACATAAAAGAACTGTGCAAAGGCCTGATAGAATACGTTCTCGACGCCTGATATGATGGGATCGGACTCCTGCGACGCTGAGGGATATTCAAAATAAGGATCAAACATGTTGTGCAGATTCTGCATGTTTTGAATATTCTGCATGTTCTGCATAGACTGCAATGGGGGGTTTGATGGCCGCCCATCATCCATGGACTGGTCACGGATTGCCTCATGGGGGTATGGCGGTGGAGATGGCTGTTGCTGTGGAGCCTGTGTGTCCATGTCATCAGCCTGCTCGCAATGAGCCTGCCGAGAGCTAGAAGGAGTGCATGGGGCGCCTGCCTGGGGTGTTTCGATCATTATGAGGCTTCAAAGAGAACTGAGGGATATTGCGAAAGAACCAAGAAATGCAGGATTTTAATGCTCTTTATAGTGACTACCTGAAGCCTATACTCCGTTCCGGCAAAAAGCGAACCGCTCTCAATGGCACAGTTGGCTCATTAAACAGGCGCTTTAGCGTACCACCTTGCATTAGCTCCAAGACAGGGATGATGAGTGAAACGGCGCAAGCGACAGACAGACCAGGGCATCATGGCGCCAACTGACTGATGGGCACTAGCGGGCCAAACGTTGATCCAAATGAGTATAGGGACAATCGTTCGCTCTTGGACTAAGCTCTTAGCGCATCGTGGAAGTTCTGGACAAAGGTACAACATATTGGAGGGTATAGCCCCGTGTTTGCCTTGCGGTTGTTATCTTCTGCTGCACGCCATCTTCACCCCGCCATACCTTAAGTTGATAGCACCGAGCAAGGGATTGGAAGCGGAAATCAGCCTGTAGAGGGTGCCAGGGGGTGGTAGGAGAGTAATTGCGTTAAGAAACGTGAACGTGATGCTGTAAACTCAAACATATGAAGCACGACTGGATCTGCGCCGGCGGACCACCTCTGACGTCCAAATGGCCACAGACGGTTGTGGCAATCTTCCGCCGTAAGATACCCACAACGGGCTCCAACATTGGCCGGGGATTCGCGGCAAGAGGAGTTCACGAGACCAGACGGGCCTGCTCAGGAACTGACAAGAACTAATTTGCAGTCCGGACCCGCTCACTTCTTTCTTACATCTTTCTTAGAAAGCATACATCCTGAGACTTGAGCGGGCCGAGTTGCGATGCTGCTTGTTTGCGTTTGCTTAATGTTACTAGCGGCTTCGGACTTAACCTGCGTGATATCATGAAGCTAAACATAAATTGTTCAGGATGAAGCTGGTCTGGGCATATAATATACGCAGCTATAAGCTAACAGTCAATTGTAAAGAACTAATGGCCAGTGAGTAAGAGATCGACCATGCATTTGGAGAGCTGTGCACGGCTACGTTAACGGCCCCGCCGGAGCACTATCATGCGTAGTCGCTAACGTCTCACTAGCTCTGATTGGGGCGCCGTCGGTCTAGCTAGCAAGCTGGGATCAAGATGGTAGAGTAGCGAATTTGGCAGAGTGGTGGATTGCTTTGCACTCGTTTGGGCACCACTTCACCGGAGCTCCGTCAGATAATACCTGGCCAGTTTCCCCTATCTCTTGTCTGTATATATAAGGCAAGCAGAATCCGTCAAATTGTATGAAAAATAGCATACCCTAGAATGTGTACGGAACTATAGTCCAGCGATGCCGATCGGATGTAGGGTGGGCCGCCTAGGTGGAAACAGGGCGGACAATGCTCTTCTTCTCCCCTCCCCCTCCTAACCCCCGGCCCCCCAGCCCGGTGCTCAACTGGGACGAATCCACCTGGTGATGCGATGTAACAGCAAAGCAAATGAAAAGGAAGCCGTCAGCGGGGCTGAATGTCCTTGGAGGGCCCCTTCTCTAGCACCTCCATACAGAGGGTGGGTGATAGCTTGCGAGGATACTAAGGTTCAGGGCCATCCCGCTACCCCTTTCGGGCCGGACTTGAAATGCTACGACTAGGCGTTACGGGGGTGGACCGTATTTCGACGCAAGACAGATCCCCCCCCCCCCCCCCCCCCCAACCCCACCATCGTGATATGTACGGAGTACTTTATGGCAAATGGCGGCCCGTGCTTGATCCTTTTTCCCCTCCTAGTATCAGCGAGAACTGGACCGGCCGTAGATCCTCGCAGATCGCCAATGTACGTACATCAAGCAAGCTAAAACACAAGCCTCTAGAAAAGGTCGACGCCAAATTGTCAGAGCTGCAGCGCTTGAATGATCCACCCCCGTTTCGCAAACAATGCAAGATCGTAGCTGACTAATAGCTGGAATCTACGATTACTCGTAGAGGGCAGACGAACCGAGGCCAAGCCCGAGAACATCCTCGCAATTAGATATGGCTCCTAGGATTCTTGGATCGGCGCGAAGGAGCTTGGGGCTCCTCCCTTTCAGGAACGACACGAACCTATATTAGTATACCAAGTGGGGCCATTTGCGGAGCCAGGGTGTATGATCGATCGAGTCTAGACTACCGTCTTGATCTCGAGATCAACGGCTTTACCAGAGGCGCCTCTTGCATTGCTGCTCCTCTTTTTTTAAATCAGGCTTTATGATGAGCAGGTGAGATGTATGTTTTCAATCCAGTAGTTCATTAAAGTCCCACTCCGTGTTCCGTTTGTATTTGTGGCGATATTCTCTTCTTATTGTCAAAGGATGACCCGGGAAACTTGGAATGGAGGTGGGACCATAACCACCGCGCTAGTCGGCTTGCGGCTACGGTCTCTCTTTTCTCTTTCCCCTGATTCGCTCTTGTGATTAATTGAAAAAAGAAGAAGCGAGAAAAACGGACACTCATTTCATTGGCCAGTAATGCAATAAGTAAAATTAGGATCGTCGCGGGAGCTGGATTTTATTTGCGGCTTACGCCTCTAGGAATATTAATATTCCTACTACCGAGAGGTTTGACGTACGAAATGTCAAGGGAATAATACCAAATCCCGTCGCAATTGGCCTTAACCCATGACATTTTACGTTCGGAGAAAAGCCGAGTGGATGCGATTTCTCCTGCATCGCCGCCACTAACGTCTTGAAGGGCGTGGGTGTACGGAGTACTAGTCTCACCATGGTAGATCGAACGTTACGGCATATTTCCAGGTGAACCGTCTTTTTAACTGGCTTGTCATCAATGGTTTGCCCAACGCCTGTTTATGACCTACCTCATCGCCTCGTCTCCCAAAAAGGTCATTCCTGATTCAGCACAGTGGATTTCATGATGGCATGCCTGTCGACGCGGATTTGCCAGAAATGATCGTCGTCTAGGACAGTATACTTTTGACGCTCGCCTACAGTCTGCGCGTCAATTAGGAAGGCATACGGAGTAGTTGGGGCGATCCAAAAATGGACCCGCCTATGTGTACCTTCCACTTTGAGACTTGGTGGCTTGGAGACTCCGGAGCGGGCGAAAATGATTTTCGCATGAATTATTACACCCATTATTACACCAATAGGGAGAGGCCGCGAGAAAAAGAGAGAGGAAAGGAAGAGAGGGAGAGTCCAGTTTTCTTCCGGAGATACAGCTGTTTCTATCTTACCTAACCTTACCTTCCTTCTCCCCGACCCCACCAACAATTTGAATCCATGACTCAGCAGAGGCTTAGCTAACGTAGTTCACGGTCGTGCGGGCCACCCTAAGATACCATACTAAATGCTGCATTTTGATTCCGTTATATTTCAACCCCCAAATGTTTAGTTTGGCTCATCTTATAGGATATACTTTAATATCCCTATAGGAATAATATATATATAAGTTCATAAGCTCTTTAGGGGTATATCGCTACTTTACCATAAAATACAGCGTATTTTTGATGTTTTAGATTCGAATATATATACCTCTCTTAGTCCTTAGTTCTATCTTTTTCTACCGCATGGGTAGATTATTCATACTCTTTATTTTGTTCGTACTTAATATTCAGTCTCAAATTCAAACGGTTGTTGAGATATGAAGTTGTAATTTATCGCATGTAGTATGGTGTTTTGGGGTGGCCCGCACGACCGTGTGGCCCGCTCGGCCGTGAACTACGTTAACGTAATTTCTGGCCGATCTGGACACCCCAAAACACCATATTAAATGCCATATTTTTATCCCTCTATCATTCAACCACCAACACATACTTTTGGTTGAAATTTAGGAGGAACGCTTTGCTCAGCATCTGGAACAACATAGTCAGGTCTTAAACCCTTTAGAGAATTATTCCGTCACTTTACCATAAAATACAAGGTAATTGGACATTTAATACGTAAATATATATATCTCTATAACTTCTTATGAATTAATTTTCAATCCTGCTCCAGCTAGCTAGGAATACTATCTAGAATACACTAATTTCATTTATTATCCAAGATACCCACAGTTGTCTAGATACGATGTTGTAATTTATCGCGTTTAATATAGTGTTTTGGGGTGTCTAGCTCGGGCGGGTGTCCAGATCAGCCGGGAATTACGTTAGCTACAGTATGTGCCTTGCATGAACCATCCATAGGCCCTGCAGCTGCTTGAGCCGCGGTCCCCCCTTTGGTGGAGACGCGCTAGATCGACGGGGCCTCGGGGATCGGCTCAATACAGTAGTGTCTATGGCCTTTTTTATCGAGCTTGATAATCTGGCCTATCTACCATATCTGATCTCCTTTAGCTTCAACATAATCTGATATGCTATGGGAGATATACTCCCCAGTCAGATTGTGTGAACCTGCACCGTAGTACCCAAGCCCCATGGTACAAAAGTTGATTGTTCTTCCTAGTTAAGACGTTCTGCAAACAATCGAGTGGTACAGGAGCCAGAAGCTTCGCCCGAAGTCCACATAGCGCACCATGTAGACAGACTCCTTCCTAGTTTGGCTGAGCGCCTTCTTGAAGTCCCACCTTCCGATCGCTTGGCTCCTTCTTTCAGCTAGCTCTACGGAGTATAGTCGGATGAAATACCGCCTAGATTCTGTAAGGTATTTTATAAGGATTCTGCCCGCGCGGGGAGGGGGCGGCAGCGACGAGTAAGATACCACCACCCTTTCTCTTGTCTTTACTAATAGCGACGGAATTTCATTCATTTCAGTTCTGATGTTTTATCAGTCCGCAACAGCCAGATGTTCTTGGACTGGAAATGCGATATGAGTGGAAATAATTATATTCCCCTAACCTAGCTAAATCTTGTTAGCAGGTGCAGAAATGTATGGGGGGCACTTTTCACCTGCCTCCCGTTTTTGTATCCTTTTTGAGTACATATTAACAACGGTCAAGGAGCACCTTCGGGAAAATTTCGGTGGGTAGGTCGAGACGGTCAATGCCTACCTTACCTATCCGGCCAGCTACGGTAAATCTATATTGACCCTGCTTCTCCAAGAGGCCGTTGCTGTTAAAAATGTTATATTCGCTTGTTCGGAATCTCCGTCGGCTGCATTCTTTTTAGCCGAAAAGAGCACTAACTTCGTCAGGACAATTGGGATAGGTGCTATCCACTTTTCCAGTATATAGAATCACCTAATATTTCAGAGGATACTACAATTCTGTACAAAAATACTGTAACGAGGGCCAGCTTAGTCCAGGCCTTCGTGACCATCAGAAATATACCCAGACTGGATCTAGAACAGAAAGCTGATTGCAAGCTTCGCGGCAAAGGTATGTCATGTACTGACTTTTCATGCCCTTGATCTCCGTAGCGGTGGATCCAGCAAAACGCATTGGTGACCGTGCGAGGGAAACGTTGCGGTCGCGTGTGGCGTTCCTGTGAGAAATATGTGGTTTGCGACTGAATTCTCCAAACGACTCTAAATGGACGGTGGGATCGCAAGATGCGTTCTATTAGGGAAGTCAGTTAGACGAGTCCTGTTCAATAAAGTCGTTATGTTAACCGCTTAACGCTGTCTTTTAATCATGGGGTTGTAGCACTCATGGCGTCGCACTACGCTCGGATCAGCAGTATCCTTGTGGAAGAACACGTGATAACGCGTAACATGGGACTTCCAATGACGGCGACTACGCAAAAGGGCGAGAGCCTCGGATAGGCGATAAGTGGCTGAGCGGTATTGGATGGATTCCGTGAATTACGGCTTGCTTTTCCGTCTATTTCACTTTCACCATCCCTGCCTTTTTTTTTTAATAATTGAATCAATCAAGTCCACTTCAGCCCTGCGTATAATGTCCAGCAGACGGTGAGAATATGGGTTGGCGGCTAGTCAAAAGACACTCGGATCTTTTTTTATCGAGAATAGCAAACTCGTCTACGGTATACTCCTCAACTAAACATTCTCCTAGTAATTCTGGCAGCACTGACTATCCGCCCGACCTCCTAGGTGGCCGTCCACCGGTACGTGGGCCGAGCCGCTAAATGGCTACCGCAGACTTTGGACAGAATGGCTACACACTTCTGCTTTCCCCTAATGGACAGTTCCAGAATTTCCATAATTCACGGAATTCGCCACCTTCTTAGTTAAAACCATCTACGCAAGCAATTAGGAATATGGAGGCTAAACCGAACACGTCAAACAGGCTTAATGAGGAGGGCAAACACTGCTGTATATATTACCGATTGTATTGAGAAATCAAAGGGTACGCCAATCTCTCGGGTCAGACCAGTTGAAAGTACTTGGATCAATTGGTTGCGGTAGGAAGAGCTTACTTACAGGCGACGAGGTTATCAGTTCCTTCTGCCTGTGTTGGACGAGTTGGCCGTGGTTCATGTAACATTTCGTTATAGTAACAAACCGCACGTCTAGCTCAATTGTATAAAATGCATTGCTAGATCCATAAAATGCCAACATTTCGCCCGTCCATCCCACCCTCAATGCCGCGTATTCGTCTATCACCATGGCCGGTGGTTCATCTGATTCTTTGTCATTTGCTTGTCGCTGCAGAATCTTGGAAGACCCAGGTTAACATTACAATGTGCAACTGGAACCAATTTTGCGGTACGCCTCGGCTCACTCCGAACCGGGAACTATCCCCTTGCCTAGTACTGATCACCTAAAGCCTTTCAACTCCAGCAAACCATCATCCTGAACGGTGGTTCCTTGTGGTGGCAAAGGTCGGTTGTTACCCCTTCGTCCCTTGTAGCATCACTAACCCAACCCAGTGGGTATTCTGATGGAACTATCGATGTTCCTGAGAGTGATGGTAAGCTCTGGAACGCTGGATGAAAAGACGAGGCCAATCAAAGCTAATCGGCCCATGAAGGAAACGCTGAGGGCACGTTCTTCAGCTTGCCTCTCGCTGACTTGTTCGATGTGAAGACAACCAATCTATCTGGACTTTTCTCCAGGGGACCCAACCCAGTTACCAAACAAGCCAACTTTGAAGGCGGTGCAATGTTTGGCAACAATCAGGAGATCATCCTCTACGGGTTAGTTCGGCAAGGTGTTTCGGTCTTTCAGCGCTTTCGCTAATTCCGCTGCAATAGAGGCCTGACCAGACCAACAGATAGCCAGGCTACCCCTGGGCCCAGGGAACTGCTCGGGCTTCGATATTCCAAGGGCGTGTCCACTGGAAACGAGGTGTATTTCTTCAATTCATCGCTACCAACTGATTTAACGCGATACGTCACAAGTGGCGGACAAGTCTCAGTGCCCAGCGAGAATTTAGCCTTCTACTTTGGGGGTATGCGAGGACAAGGATGGGGTCCCATCACATCAGATGATGCCTCTGCGAACACAACAGCTGACACTCTGATCATGCTTAACCTGACAGCTGTAGGAGACCAGAAGGTTTGGAGAAACTCAACGCTACCCAAATCAATCATGAGTCGAGCTGATGCGCAGCTTATCTGGGTACCAGTTTCTGAGCAAGGGGTTCTAGTAGCCATTGGCGGGGTGAAGACCCCAGAGTATCTCTTTCCGTCCGGTCTTTCTTCGTCCCAGCAAGAACAAGACGTACTATTACCTCTCTTGCCCCGTTGGGGGGATCAGATCTGACTGACCTCGCACAGTCTCAATTCGACTCGAACTTCATGCGAGAAATCGCGTTGTATGACATTGCGCAAGACAGATGGTGTGTTTCATCACCGCTCTATAGAACAAGGCACCAGACAGCTAAAGGGTTGAATGAAAGGTATCTCCAAAACACGACGGGCGACGTGCCACCAAATGGCCATGCCTCTTTTTGTTCTACTCTTGCGTCTTCATCGGATGGGAGTTCTCACAACATTTACATCTACGGTGGCTACAGCGGACAGAATTCGACATCCGCACCATATGATGATGTGTATATTCTCTCTTTACCGTCCTTCGTGTGGATCAAAGCCTACAATGGCACTTCTAGGCACGGCCGTAGTGGTCACCAATGCTTTGGTGTGCTACCTAGTCATATGCTGGTCGTCGGGGGTCTATACAAAGATCCGTCATTCTGCCTCGAGGGTGGAATCCTACAGACATTCAGTCTCAACGATTTAGAGTTCCAGACAACATACTCTCCAGAGTTGGTGGAGGAGTATCGTGTGCCTAACGTTGTGACCAGGCAGATTGGGGGAACGTGAGTCAAGAGCCATTCCAGTGACATATCTATATACATATGATGAAGAAAAAGCAGGCCTTTGGTTCGCTGACATAGGGCAATACTGACAGGGCAAAGGGGAAAGCAACTCAAACAGCACCCGCCTCTTGGGGAGATCCACAGTTGAAATCCCTATTCGGTGCCACTTACACAAAATCAATAGCCACCTGGTATCCATATAGCACGTCCGTTGCCACGACCAGCTCCAGCTCCACGACTACCCCCATTCAGATGCCCAAGAAGCCCACTGGATTGTGCCTGTTACTGTTGGCACAGTTATCCCTGTAGCCGGAATTACCTGCACGATCATCCTATGGGTCTTACTCAAGCGGAAACACCACCTCCGGCCCGGACAGTGTCGATGTAGTCCTGAAAAACGACACTGGGTGCACAAGTTTTGCCCCGGAACTAATCAATATCTCCCCGGTGAGATTGAGGGGAATCCAATAGAGCCAGAGGCAACACGCCCGGTCAGGACTTTAAGCGACATGATCAGCGAGCTACCCGCTCCTTGTCTTCCTTCCCGGAATTCGAATGATTTTTCCATTGCCGCGACGCCAGTTCAGATGTATTGCGATGCCAACTTGTCATATGAGGCGCCAGGTAATGACAAGCTAGTGGAGCTTTCCAGTGAGGCTTACGACTACCCTTCTGACGGAGCGAAGGCCGAGGACTGCGACGGCAAGCGCTCGCCACTGACCCGACAGTAACTACAGTCTGGGAGACATCGTGGAACGATTTTGGATACATGTTCTGCCCGGTGGCATTTTGAGGAAGTGAAAAGAGAATATCGGGTCATGTATGTGATGGCCAGAGTGCTAGAAAGCCACTGTGTAATAATTGTTAGGAAGCCTCATTTGAAGAAGTCGGTTCGTAGGTGAACTGTTTCGAGAATCCACTGTGCGTCATCTTGGCTCTACGGAGTAACAAACACGCTTGATACTCCTCACCCCATAGAACTTTAATGGTTCTCAGTAGATAGAGTCATGCTCTGTTCCACCCAGTGTAGGGCCCACGTTACAAAAGTCTACCCGTGGCACCGGCGAGACTGTCATATTTGGCACGAAGCCCTATTTATTGGGGACTGGTCTGATTGATTGTCCAATTTTGGCACCGAATGCGTCCTTCAATAAAAAGTTGCTCTCGCGTCCGGGACAGTCTACTGGAAGGAATACCCACAGAAAAATGGCCGCGAAAGCCCGCGCTCGCTCTCTACGAGCAACCCGCACTACCTTGACGCAGAGAATGCTGGCCCGAAATGATGACATTGCCATAGAGGTATTAATTGACAGTCTGTTCTTGAAGTGTCCGAGCCCTGATTCTCAAGCCAACGTCGATCAGCCCATTTTGAAAACAACCAAAAGTAGTCTTAAATACTTACCGCTCCGAGGTTTTCCTGCTGCTGATGCCTCGCGTATCATCCGCGATGTTTTGATTGCGAAGGGGAATTTCGCTAAGACTGAACAAGAACTGTTCGGTCTACCCGGCCTTCAAAAATTGACAGAAAGGACTCTTAGTCCCACCGAGAAACAATTGCTGAGGAGACACCTTCGCATATATTTCCGTATGTTTCGGCCACAATGTCCATTCGAAATTAAGTTTATCAATGCGTACGATTACACGCGGTTCGAAGCTGCCGTTTTTGCCCGAAAGCCCATCAAAGCCGGTGAGTTTGTCAAGTACCTCATAGGGACTACTGCCCGCCTGAGTGACAAGGAAGAGGCTTGTCTACGCCAAACAGGGAAGGATTTCAGTATAGTCGAATCGGGCAAGAAATCCGTATCCGTACTACTAGGGCCTGCGCGGTTTGTCAACCATGATTGTAATCCAAACTGTCGTCTGTTCACTGTGAGGTCCGGCAGAATGGTCGTAGAGGCTCTTCGCAATATCGAAAACGGAGAACAGATTACTGTTTTTTATTGTGACGACTATTTTGGTGACGGAAACCTAGATTGTCTTTGCGCAACGTGCCATGGAACCCCTCCCTGGTCTGTTACTACCATCGCGCTGATGACAAATGACCGCACGTCATCGGACGAGGCTGGTTGCCAACGAAGGAAACAAGTTGGAAGCCATCGACGATGCACTAAATGAGCAGACCGAAAAAGTCGCGAGAAAATTGGAACTTCCCAAGACTGAGATGGATTTTCAGGTGAAGCAGGATTACACGCTTGGGCCTTCCGCTATGCTCGTCTACTTGCGCACTTCCTGCGACCGTCAGCGTAGAATTTGACGAAAGTCAGCTTGCTCTATGGAAATCAAACCCACTGGTGTAATCTTGTCCAAAGATTGCCTACATTGTGAAACTCAGTACCAGCGTGAAGTATTGCTCACATAGCGCATCATTCAATGTAAACTCATTACAAATTTTATCTCTATATTTTCGACAGGAAACTGGGCTAGAGCTAAACCATTAGTCGTTGCTTCATACATGATGGATTAACTTACGAGATCTTTACATAAGGTCAAGTGCCGCACGTTCGTGGCCTTTCGCATCAGACAGTTCTCACAACGGATCCTTTAATAGAGATCTCCCGGCAAAGTGGAATTTATAGATGTCTGGAATATCTTAGAGACCGTCACTATGGCTCTCCTGGCGAGGCTCTTCATGGCCTCTTTCCTCCTCTTTGATGGCCCACACGTTTCTGTTGCTGGAGAGGTTGTTACCGTCACATCTACGTCGATAGCTACAGCCTTTTCAGACTGCACATGTGCTTTAACAGTTTCCGATCACTCGACGGAATATAAGGTCTCAACAACCTCTGTGAACGTGGCCCCCCCATTCACAACTGAGCCTACGCGAAGCGCATTTCCAGCAACTTCTGTGAGCTATCCGAACTGGAGCACTACCTCAGAACCGACTCGTACGTCCATCATCGCTCCCGTGTGCCGGCCCATTGATTTTGGCTCATCGTATTCTAGAATTTTCTCTTTCGATTTGCCCGACTCGCATCAAAAACCCGACATATACCGCTCCATTCCCTCAGCCAACTGACTATACGTGGGGCTGTCCGCCACACTACCTCTGCCAGCCGGATAAGAAGACACCGGACGGGGAGTGCAATTTTGAGGCTGGCCCGCCCGCAGACACCTATTATTGCGCACCCGACCAGTGTGTACCAAGCCCGCCACTGCTAACCCCCCAGTTCGGAAAAGCGTCCGACGCAACGGGTGAAGCTGGCTTCTTTGAAGTCTCGCCAGGATATTTTAACTTAAACCCGTACGAATTTGGCTTGGACTATGATATTTTCATCTTCCCAGGACCACCAGGGAATGCAAAGAGAGAATTGTCGGTGCGGATTCCTGGGAAATGCTACGATCCATGCAATGACGCGATGCTAGAAGCGGAGTCTACTGGTAAAACCACTGATCTATGCCCTACGGCCGCGGCATTTATCACTCTTGTTCGAGCATGCCAGTCCTGCGTAGCGTCCTTTGACTTGCCCCGCAACTCCGCTACTGTCCTTCCACAATTTCAGCAATTCTTGTTCTATTGCGACGGTTTACATGACCAAACCGCCTTGACGGCCATCCAGTCCTCGACAAGCATTCTCAAAGCGACCAAATTGACGTCAAACAGCCCCAAATCAACTGCGATTCTGTCCGCGTTGACCACAAGGATGAAACAAATCGAGTCCTCTAAAACAGTGTCAGGAATGGCGGATCCAGCCTCAATTACGACAGTCCCTTCCTCAACAAGAGTGTCGTCCGCCTCTGCGGGACATATTTCTATGGCACACCAATCTTCTATGGCACCGAAGGAGATGGCAACTGCCCGAGCAACTGGGACGCACCAGTCCTCACAGATGTTGCCTATTTCAACGCCGCTGTTGATAAATGGTTCTCCCGTGTTAAGCCCGTGCTGGACTTTGGGCTCTCTTCTTGTAGCTGCCAGATTTTTACTAACATTATGATAACGGAAATGTGAAATGCACCTCTAAGATATGGTGAAGATTGGGATACAATTCTACTGCTCTTCGGGTTGCCGGGACGTAATGACTGAGAGGAGTCACTGAGAGGAGTGCTCGCTCGCTATGGCTTCATCTAGATTTATAAGAGGGGGGCTAGATCGATACTTAGGGCATAGCAAAGTACTTGATTGTCGAGTGACTGAAGCTGATTCAATCCAAGAAATCACACTCGACCCACTAACTTGCCTGCGAAGCCACCCACTCCACACAAGTGCAGTCTTCTACGAGTGACTGGAGCACTTCTCACAGACTCAAAAGTAGTATTAAGAGCTTACTGTCGTATCTTAAATTGCGCATTGTGTTTTGTGTAAATTATTGTCTTGATCACTCGATTGGTTGGAATCGCTGTTAAACCAAGGACGGATTCACTTGCCTGAAAACGATCCTCAAGCACCCGATTCCGCTCGACACTGTGGGTCCTTTTTTTTTTTTTTTTTTTGGGATAGCTTTGGCCCTGAATGAGTCGCGTCGACATCGCATGGTCGTTTCCGAGTCGATGGAGATACGCGTAGAGGGAACGGGCGCCACAGACGGTGCGGCGGTATCAGATGATTTAGGAAGGTATGAAAAGGTGCAGACTTTCCTAATTCTCTTCAATTTTCTGTGCAGTTGTGGATATTCCTTTCTCTTTCAAAGGTGAAGGGTAAAGAGAAGTTTGTCGCGAAGGGAATTGTGTCTAATTCCAGTCACTTAGATCCAAAATTAGCATCAGGCGGTGGTCGAAGCGTGATCCCTAAATAGAGAGACGAGAGTATACGAGAGCAGCAGCCTCTGGAGTCAAATTTACTTCCCCCAAATGTAGACCCGCGCTCATTCGTCCAAATTAATTACAACCCGTAACAGAATAGCTGTCCCTAGCCCGCTCGGTGGTGTCCTAGGCATGGTTGTATTCCCTTCAAGTCCACAGGAAAATAAATTCCAATTTACAATTTGAAATAGAGGAAAGACTTCTGACTAAATGCAAAAGAAGACCTAGCAATAAATCGACATGAGTACCCCATGGCGGACGCGTATTTTTAGAGATCTTTCTATCATATGTACATTTTATTGCTACAGCGGTTACCCTGTGCTTGGCTTTTGTTTTGGGATGGAGCAAAAAGTTGCTTGAGGTGTGTACAACATGCGAGTGACACAATCACGATCTCATAGGGTTTAAGTGATCAAGGTTCGCTGTTGTCGCAGCCAGGATCATTAGACTCCTTTTTATAACGATACGGCCGTAGTAAAGAGCAGATGGCAAGTTGAGCGTCCGATGAACTTTCCGAACTTACTGCTGAGGGTGATGAATATTTCCTGGTTACTGAAGAAAATATCTCTGCGATACTTCGGCACGGTAACTTATACGTACATCAAGTGTGGCATCTCAAAAGATAGTAGACCGCTCTCTCCGGTACAACTATAAGGCCCTATTGTCTTCCGTAGGGTATTCTGTCTCCACGTCCCGTAACACACATGTGAAAATCTGCCAGTTTGCCAATCTTGATATGTAGTTTGGTTTTAAATAACCGCAGGTTAGAGCTCAGGCCAGGACTAAGCCATGCTACCTCATTAGGGACGGATTGAATCGCAGGAGTGCCGGAAAGTTGCTATGAGAACAAATTATTTCAAGCTTAGAACAAACACCTGTTTAGAAATCGGGCTCGTGCAGAGATAATGATCTAACGTTCTCAAGATTAGGAACGCACGGTAATGAGGCCTATAGTACAGTACCGACTGGTATTGCTCTCCAAATCCGGAAACACAGATGTATATTTTTTTCATTAGAATGGTGAGTTGAGTCAGCACTTTGTTTAACAAACTAATGAGGATTCTATTTCTTCGGCAGAACGGGACATTTCAGCCGTTGACGATTTGGCCGGAAACTAAGCATAGCTTAGGGTGGTCAGTGCCAGGGGTAGGCCTAATCTTGGATTTCACGAAGCTCTGTCCTGAGATCTCGTATAGAATTCGGGTTCAAGCGACCGCGTATAGCGACGTCAGGAACAGTTACTAACTTAAGCACATCACTCTCGCTCAGAAGCATCTCGCAGATCGTCCCTCCCGCTTAGTCGCAAGAGACAACTTCGTTATCCCCACTCACGACGGAGTTCTGTAGGTTGGCCTCCACTCGCCTGGTCGCCAACATCAGCTTCACCAACTCGTATAGCCCTCCCTCCCTCCCTATAACAAGGGTGTCCGGCAGCTAGAGTCTCTAGATTTGATATCTACCCTTCCGGTCGCAGGTAAAAGCTTCACCACCGCCTCATATCCACTCAAGGAAGCTCCCGATAACGGCGCGTAGCCGTCTCACCCATCCAGTCGCTAGTAACAGCCTCACCACTTCCTCGTGGCCCTTCCGGGCAGCGCGAGACAGTGGACTGCAACCTTCCGAGTCCTTTGCGTCGACGTTGACCCCCTCAGTCGCTAGTAACAGCCTCACCACTCCCGCGTGGCCCTTCCGGGCAGCGTGAGACAATGGACTACGGCCTTCCGAGTCCTTTGCGTCGATGTTCACCCCCTCAGTCGCTAGCAATAGCCTCACCACTTCCTCGTGGCCCTTCCGGGCAGCGTAAGACAATGGTCTGCAACCTTCCGAGTCTTTTGCGTTGACATCCACCCTTCCAGTCGCTAGTAACAGCCTCACCACTTCCTCGTGGCCCTTCCGGGCAGCGCGAAACAATGGACTGCGACCTTCCGAGTCCTTTGCGTCGACGTTGACCCCCTCAGTCGCTAGTAACAGCCTCACCACTCCCGCGTGGCCCTTACGGGCAGCGTGAGACAATGGACTGCGGCCTTCCGAGTCCTTTGCGTCGATGTTCACCCCCTCAGTCGCTAGCAATAGCCTCACCACTTCCTCGTGACCCTTTCGGGCAGCGCAAGTCAACGGACTCCAGCCTTCCGAGTCTTTTGCGTTGACATCCACCTTCCCAGTCGCTAGTAACAGCCTCACCACCCCTTCGTGGCCACCGAACGCAGCTTCTGATAACGGTGTGATGTTGAAGTCGTCCTTTGCATCGATATCCACCCTTCCATTTGCTATTAACAGGCTCACCACCCGGTCGTGGCCGTTCCCGGCAGCGTGAGACAACGGTGTTCTGGCGACGCCATCGATCGCCCCAACATTTGCTCTTTCAGACAAACACATTCGAGCTGTCGCCTCGATACCTTGTCGGGCTGCCCATAATAGAGCTGAACTTCCAGAGCGCAGCGAATTGCGTCGATATAAGTACGGATTTAGTAGAGAGTAAGTATAGTGGTTGGTTTGAGCCCATGAGTTAATGTTTCCTTCGGCCTCCAGGAAATCTGCAACGACGAGGAGTAATTCAGAAGGCAAATTAAGCAGACACATTTTCTGGATCTGTCTTGAGGCTTTGAAAATGCTCTTCTCTGATGTCAGAGTTGTGGAGATCGAGCGGCAGTTCCCTTAGCAATTCCGTCGCATTCTTATCATTACATTGCTTATTGGGACAAGTAATTTACGCTCTATTCATATTTGGTATCGGTGCATTATGTGATTAGGGGTTGAAAGACCACTTTCTCGTTCCCAAAATGGAATGTGACAACGGACGCCACTGTCACTTACCGTCCTCGCTGACTTTCCTGAGGTAAATCTCTCTATGAGATGTGCCACGGTCCACCAATTTAATATAGTAAAATTCTGCATTCTTAGATTGCAATGCTTCCACGGCATGATTGCTGTGGCCGGAAAGCTCAGCATTTCCAAATTTCGCAATTTTAATGGGCAGTTTCAGAGCAACTCCAAATGCTTTCTTCGGCCAAGATGGCCTACAAGAAGACTCAACCCCCCAGGAAGCTCTTGTATATACGCTATAAATGTTGTCGTTTGAGTTCTAAGATATTGTAGCAAAATTGAAAATTTCTCCTATCGCGCTCAAAGTTATCAATCATATTGTAGCAACAACTGTACTATATCATCCCACCCACGGCGTTCTGCCAGGGAGAGGGCGATATCGCCAGAAAGGTTACCTCCGCAACCTTGATATTCGGTACGGCAAGTAACAATTTAACCACTTCTCGATGACCCTGATAGGCCGCCACCGACAAAGGCGTGAAGTCGTTCGTTGCCTTTGCATTGATATCAACGTCCCTGCTGTTTATCAATAGCTTAACCACAGAGGTTTGCCCATAGTAAGCCGCTAAGAAGAGAGGAGTCTCATCATTTGCGTTTTTCAGGTTAATATCAACCTTGTCGACTTCAATTATCATCTGAGCCACGTCAGTGTAACCATATCTTCCTGCTAAATGCAAGGAGGTCTCGGCTTTCCAATTCTTGTGGTTCACATCTACGCTTTCGCTCACAAGTAGAGTCTCTACAGTACTGAAGTCTGCTACAGTGCCTTAATCTTATTTCTCGTGTTCTTATGGTCCAACTACGAACAACTACGAATTCCTTGCAGTAATGAAGGGTTTTATCGGAGGTATGCCGCAAGATACCTGCAACACAATTAACAATATTTTACCATGTAAATCCACTGCCTCTCCAGTCGAATGATTTCTACTTTTAGATCAATAATACATCGTGTTGATCGGAGGTGGCTGCGCAATCACGCGCCAACCCGCATAGAATAAACTTTTTCCCCTCGTTACAGTGGTCCAGAATATCTAATTCTCTTTTCACATATAATTATATTATTGAGCTATTGTACTAGTATTGAGGTTTACCTACCGTTGCGTACCTACCGTTGCGTACGAACTTTGTTTCTGAAGTTCAGTCCTAGGTACTTCATGTGACCGAGCTAGTCCATCTGTTACGAAAGGTGTTACGACAATTTGTCACGGTGATGTCACGATTATACCGTATTGTAAGCCAGTGTTACGGACATACAGTACTGGCATCCAAATTTGGCTCGCACTTGCTCACTGGTTGAATCAGCATACTGCCTATTGGTTTTTTCCAACCCCGTGTGGCTCAGTGGCTTTCTGCTCCAATCTCTCTACCTATTTTCGCAAGCAACTTCATCTTGTCCTTTCGTCACCAGAGGTTTGCCTGGTATCTCGTTCAACATCGTATTACATCGTCGTATTATATCGATCTTTGTGTGGTTCAGGCATGACATGTTCAGCCAAGTCGACTCAATCCTCTACCGAACCCTCAATATAAGAGCAGATATTTCCAGTAAATCAGACTACCCTCACCAGGGGGCAAATAACCAAGCGAATGTCAGACATGGTGTCACTGCGACAATTCTCGGACTCGTGTTAAGGACAGCGCGGCCCATCCTAGCATGGTCAGGTTATCATGGAGACCCGAAGATGCTCTTAGCCGCCCTAGATAAGTAAGGACCATTTTTCGCTTGCATTACCGATACTCATCATCCATCAATTATCAACTAAGAGGGAGGATCTTGGGCAAGGGTGAGTTCAGTAGCCTTGTATGCCTAATCTTGGAGACATGGGAGATTACGCCCATGAATATGAAAGGCCGGGCTGCCAGTCACAAAAATCAGCGCAGCGCAGTGACGAATGCCTACAATCATCTCCAGGCCAGAACTCCCCTGTCGGTTGTGCGCAAATTGTGCGAGATAGCATGGATCATATACCTCTTGTGTTGTTGGCCGAATCGGTGAATGGGGCTCGTAGTTCTCTTGCTAATCTTATCAATATCAAAGGCAACAGCATTTGGGAATGTTCTCAAACGGGTACAAATAGACTCCACGGATTTGGCCACCACCGCGGCATGAGTTTGGCGGAAAATATATGGGCAATCTGCCTTACTTGGCAAGACGGATATCTTATTGTTCACGTTGCAAATGATCCTCCCTTCCAACTGTTGCATGCCTCCAATTTCTGTCCGTCCAAAGAACAGAGAGCTTTTGTTTCCAACGCTCTAACTCAAAGCCATGTTTCATAGTCAAAATCTTGAATTTGCAGCAATTTTGGAGAAAACCCAAACGAAGAGTTCAGGCTTCACAGCCCATTGGAAGTGGGCGCAGATATCTTTCAGCAGATTTCCGGTTGGCGGGGATACAGCTACCACGAGAGCGGTGGCATTTGCCTGGAACAAATTTAAGGAAAGGACGGCTATCAAGGGACGAGAAGGCAGCAGATCAGCAGTATCTAGCTACACCAGCAGATGACCTTTGACGGGCGCGATAGCCACCTACACCTCAATTGGATCGAATTTGCTCCGAAATTAGCAGTATAAAGCTCTACGTGGCTTCGCATTCCTTGCATCTACCACAACCACTTGATGTTGGGTGTTTCGCAGTACGAAACCGTGCGTACGGTCGCTTCTCGAGTGATCTGTCGCGATCTGGCTTCAATCCTATCGAGAAGCTCACTTTTCCAGCCGACTATCCTCGCGCAAGATAAACATAGCAAATCATATGAAAGGCAAAAATATTGTTGAGTCGCAATCATCATATGGAATGAACAGTTTGCGCTTTTGTGACATCGAAGTGATCTATTACAGATAGAGCATTATTTTCAATCGGATTCGTCTTGTAGAGAAATGTTGTCTTAATCACTGGACGCCTTACTCGCATAGATGGGAAGATCCTGTACGAAATATGGAGGAAACCAGTGATACTTCCAACTCACGTCAATTACTCCCTTCTAGTATCATAGCATTGAGGCCTTCCGAGGGGCAGCCCTCGCATGATGAGAGAGCATAGCTTGGACTGCAATTATTGAATAATACGGGAATAATAGACCTTTGAGGAGAGGGCCAACTCTAATGATGTTGGATCGTTCATTTTATGTCTTATGAACCGAGATTGCTTCTAAAAGCGGTCTTCGACAAGAAGTATAGTCAGATAAAGAGTCTACTTTCATGCTGAAAAGAGGTCGATACAGTATATCGCCAATTTCTCAAAACCGGCAGCTAGTGTCCACTCAAAGGAAACACTAAAAGTCGAAAGAGCTACTTGGAAGAAATAGAACTAATCTAGGTACGTATCGAACATAATACTATACATTTCTATTCAAGAGGTAATAAACGCTTGAGCTGAGGGAAAATCGACATAGACAATAGCATAAAAAGTAGCATTCGTAGACGTAATGATACGAAATTCCAGCCGAGGGGGGCGGGTAGTCCCTTCCCATTGACCGAAATGCAACGAGTAGGCGCTACCACCTCGCTAGTCTTCAACATATGATGTGGGTATATGGGCAAGAGGTGAAATTGTCCTAACTCTGGATTATTGAGAACGTAAGTATGTGATATTCAATTCGCATATATGTGGTTTTCCGGATCAGAAAGTTTCAAGGCATCTTGATGAAGGGGCTAGCGAGGTGCTGATCTTGATCGTACTATATTTCAGGCACGTTCACTGTTCAGCGCCAAATCAGGTGTGACGATGTCTAAAATTCTAAACAGTGTTCGTCATCTGGTTTGGTTGTGAGCGTTGCCAATCTTAATTATGCTTCGTGTGAAATCCTTTTTTCCGTGGAGTTACTTGTATAGTAATGTTGACTGCATTATAGCGTTATGTTTGCTGGCTAGCTTAAAATACGGGACAAGGATGCTAGCTGCCCCACCTGAATTGTCACAAAAGAACGAAGTAATATAAACATGATATTACCATTCCTGCGGCCGACACCCCACTCAATACAGGTGAGCTTCATAAGCATGGAAATCCGCTTTGATATAAAGGTCTAATTTTATATAGTAGGAACAGAATTCTGTACGATATTTGACGTACTTGATTGGACAAAAGAATTCCGTAGGCTCCTCTCGGAGAGGCATACTAAATTATCATCGAGTGTACAATCTCACAGAAAGGCGCCTTAATTTGCTAGGCAGCTCCTCTCAGCAACCTTCTCTACCTTTCGAACACATTACAAGCGCGCTGTAGGTACAGAAATACCCAGAACAGAATATAAGTTACATGCAAACTGATCAGCCAAATAGTTATCGATGTCTCCTGTACATGCTCAAGAGGATTTAGGTCGCCAGTCACAAAAAGATTACGAGCAATGGGCTACGGAGCAGTACGGACATGAACCGAACCTAGAAAGTCAACCCTGGAAACTATACAATCTGTATCAAGTTTTAGTATGGAATGAGCACTCTGTTGTTCGTTCGACCATTCTTGGTCCACCAGGCCCGTTTCAAAGTGTTCAGTTGGCATGTCCAGAGCGAAGCACAATACTGGTCATTATTTTGGGCCATGTCATGGCTTTACTTGCGCTTCTGCATGTCGTGAGAGGCAAGAACAGGCAGCTGGATCTGGATGTTATTGGTGCCTAATAGACTTGGTCGATATCGGACCCATGCTAAGACTTGAAAACTGGAAATGAGTCAATCGCATATTATCCTTACTGAGGGCATTCGTTGCCTAGATACTTATCCGCTAGATTTTGTTACAAGACCAATTTTTAGCCACACTCCTGGTGCTAAGTTCTCTTTAATGGTAGAAATAACAACACTGCACTTTGATTTCTATTTTGAGAAGATCGAGTGTCCGAACTCGGCCCTGGAATCGCTGCCCTTTCTTCCATACCCTCACAGATTGTACAGCGCTATGTTATGAACCTTGAGCTTACCCAGATAACAACTGTTAGCTTTTCTTGATGTGTTATCCGCTCGGCTTCGACGACTGGCTCTAGGCACCAGGCTCTAGTTGCCCATATTCTAATTTATATGAATTATTCAATTGAGGAAAGATAGTCTCTAATCTACCACTATTAGAGAACAATCAGTATTAGACCTAGTCTGAGATTTGACTATATGACATGCTATCATCTTATCCCAGTTTACGCTGGACTTTTGCCCAAGGCTACGGTGCTGATACTGAGCGTCTCTGGACGGGGGCTATTGGTCCATTGGTACTCTCCACCCATCTTTCGAGATTGCTTAGTGCGACATCTGGTGCGTTTCTATGTTGGAGCAGATAGGACATCACCTGAGCTGGGCTGTACCTTCCTTCCGGAATCTTCCGAGCAAACTCCCTGGCCTGACTTTCAACGCCTAGTCTAGGCTGACTGTGAGGGTCTTGATTTGACGCATCCCCTTGCTGGGCAAACATGTAATGAAAGATCTGCATGGCAACGTCCTGGTCGACGAGCTGGAACCGGACCGTTCTATCGACACGTCCTGGCCGAATGAGTGCTGCGTCTAATGCACTGACATGATTCGTGGTCATGATTAAAATTCGATCCTCCTGAGAGGCCACGCCATCAAGGACGTTCAAAAGCCCAGAGAGACTCACTCCCTTTGTCACTGTCGACAACTCCTGCCCGGAAGCAGGCGTAGCAGCCATTGAATCTCGAGAATGTGCCGAGTCTACGGCATCGATGTCCTCGAGTAAGACGACACAATTCGCTGGAAGTTCTTGAAATAGAGATTTGAGCGACTGGTCGTCCACGGCGGGAATACTTACAGTGTAAATGTCCAAGCCCAGTTCCCCCGCTACGGAGAGACTAAAACTAGACTTGCCCGTGCCGGGGGGCCCATGCAGTAAGTAGCCTCGCCGATACGGGATGGACCGTTGTGCATACCATCTTCTGGTTCGTGCATTGAGGAAGTCTTTCATATCTGCTACCAGGGGTGCCTTTTCACTCTCGCGGAGAATCACGGTTGACAAGGGCCGAGCCTCTTTGACCCGATCCCGTTTCCACTGAACGCCACGATGACCGAATATGGTGATCTTATCTCTGATTTTATTCAGATACTCGGAACGACATTCCTGGAGAAAATCCTTCAGGATGTAGGATGACCGCCCCAGTGAAGTTAATGTGATCTTCTCCTGATCGAAGTAGCGGTAGTCTTCCTGCCTAGCCTCGTAGAATAGCAATTGGCCCTTATACCCAAAAATAAAACGACCCCTGGTGAGGCAACAGTTTCAGCAGCTTTTTATCTGTGTCGTTCATCGTAGCCCCCGGTGCGGTATCCACTTTAGCCAGGAAGGACCTTGCCGTGCTCTCCAACCCACGGGAAGAAATCCACGATGTAAGCATGTCGTGCATTTCATTTGAGGACTGAATGTGGACAGTGGACGCTGTTGGCGGTAAGTATGGATGGAAGTTAGCTGGTGCCAGTGGGGGAGCTCACTAAGATAGTTCCGAAATAAACTAGCTAGCCCGGCCAAATATGGCTTCGCGGTGACCATCAGAGCGATGAAATACAGCAGGAAGGAGACAGAGCCTTGCCTTCGTTTGAAAAGCACATATGTTGCTCCAATTGTTTTCATTAGCCTCGAATGAATGAGACCCAGGATGCGTTTTAGGGCGTACTGGTCAAGAAGGAAATGTTTTGTTCTTCGTATGCGCATGATCAGCCAATTCAGGTGCACTATCGATCGCGCTCAACATCTACTCTTGCAACTAAGGCGGTGCGTTTTATATGCTGTTCGTGATCCCCGCTTTGCCTTCCTCAGAATCCGCGCAACCAAAAATATCCAGCGAACCCATAACCGACCCGGGCTCGCATTGCAACTGGTAGACAAAAGCTGACTTGCCTGGCTTGATCATTCCAAAATTAGCCCAAAGTTCCAGATAATACAGGCCCAGTGGGCCTTGGCCTTACATTTTGTCCGTTGTCACGTGCCTCTGAGAGCCCAAAGGCAAGTATCAGCCTGGCCACCCGCTTCCAGTTGAAGAGTGGCCACCTATGCCGGGTTCACACAGTACACTTACTAGAGAGTCTGGCGTAAGGAAAGGCAATGCACCATCGCAGGCAGTTCACCTTGTCCTCTTCGACTGTCGGGCGCGGCAGTACCTGCCGACGGCTGGATCGAGGTTTATAAAATAGAGAGCTTTATCTATCAGGAGACGTAGTTTGGAGCGCACTGTGCACTTTCGAATTTCTATTTGTTGTACGTAAAGATTGAAATATATTATTTTGTATTGACATCTTTATCAACCTGTCTGACGTAAGCCCGTATGCGAGGAGGGGTATCTGGGATAGATGGGGTAAGCCGGAACATCCTAACCAGAGCGCGAGACCGAGGGTATAAACAAGCTGAAATATAAACAAGCTGAAACGGTAGCTACAAGCAAGCTAGCGACAAATTTTACTAACCTCACAAGCCAGACTTACGGCTAAAGGATGTTTCTTGCGATTCTAACAGTGTCGAAGACAAGAGACTTTAGCATGAATCTGTTTGATCCTTTGACTTTCACGCTAACTTCCGAAAGTTGATGCATAGATTTTCCAAGATGACCGGATAACGTAGGAGCAGCTGCACAGATGGACATCTGGTGCCAAAATACTTGAAAATTTGAGCATATTACAAAACGCGGCTAGTATGAGGGTGAGCTTATTGTTAATGATAAAGTGATAAAGTGATATTCGCAATCCTAAAGCAGATCTCGGGTTACAGATAGACATGAACATCAGGTCTTTTTGAAGCAGCATATACCCACGCTTTATATTTTTAAAAAATGTTTAAAAATCACGGTGATAAGACCCTAGTGGTTCAAAAACCAGATCAGGAGGTATTTAGACCACGGTGGTTTAAAAACCACAGTAATAAGACCCTAGTAGTTTAAAAACCAGCCCAGGGAGTATTTAGACCACGGTGGTTTAAAAACCACAGTCATAAGACCCTAGTGGTTTAAAAACCAAACCAGGCGGTCTAAAAACCACAGTCACTCATAGGGGGTCGATACGAGGAATAAAAATAGAACTACAAAGATAGCAGTGACTGTCTTGATAGAATGGTACCAAAAAAGAAGCAATAAGCGAAGCCAATCTCCGAGAGGAAGGAACTTAACTTCGAGCTGAAATGCATATATCTGATCTACTCCTGATTCGTGTTTTTAGATTTCTTCATTTTTATGTACGGCTGCGGTTTTTGTGTTATGACATTCCCATGTTGATGCCTAAGGCTGTGTGATGGCCTCAGGGTCCTGTCGGGACGCCAGGCAGCGGATCGTCAGCCTTCCGATAGGCTTCACCAGAGGGAACTCTACATGCGTGACCTCGTCAGTTGGTCATCTCTCATTCTGACGTTTATCCGTCCTTGCTGTTCTGGAGAAGAGACTGTACATAAATTGAGCCATGAGGTATCGACCACCTCAAGAAACAGTCTCTGAAGTAATCTGACTTGGTTTCTTCTACCTGATTGACAGGCCCTCACATCAAAGACGACCAATGCCACGTCGTTTGATTAAATAAAGGGAGGGGGAGAACGTACTTTGGCGCTAAGCAATCATCAGATCCCATGATGGTAGCTTACGTTCTACTGCCATCCTCTCGTTCTACACCACTCAACTCCTCCCTTAACATCCTCATCGGGATGGCGGTCCTTATTACTCATCCCGTGGGCGCTCCGAAGGAGCGCTCTGAAGTAGCAAATCCCCCCAGCTATCACGGGGTAACAATCTCCAATGCTCTGCCAGTTGCGAATCAAGAACGAACGGGTCTTCTGAAGAACAATACCTTCTCCATGAAAGATATTGTTATCTCACGACAGGCAGGCATCCCAAAGACAGCTCAATATTCAGGTTTGTAATTTACATGTTGCCCTACTTTATCCTTTTTAATGCCACCTTGATTACCTAGCTGATGAATTCAACTACGCATGACCCCGAACACGTTAAAGAGAAGAATTCGGAGTTCAAAGTTATCAGGATTGAAAGCGAGAGCCACCAGCATGCCCTAGGCATTGGCATCTCTCAACATGAGTTCGATCTTTTATGTAATTTGACAAAGCGCAATCGATGCAGAAGAGCATTGAGAAGAGAGCATGAAAATAACAGAGAGTGAATGAGAACCAAGGCAGGCGAAGAGCGAGGAATGAGAACAAGAGTTTGACTAATGCAAAAATTATAACTAGATAAGGTTTCTTCTAACAAAGGTATTCCCTGCGCACGAAGGTACTGGTGACGCGCGCTGACGCACGATGTAAGCCCTGCAAAGATGTGAAAGTCCAGGTGAAACAATGTGGATTTATTGACATGAAACCTGATTATCTTGTCGATTTGGGATAGGAAAAATATATAACACAGTATATCACAAAACCCAAAAGGCAAACTAGTACTTGTTTGAGGGACTCCAGTAATCAAACTTCACTTGAGAATCATTTCGTTCTATTTCGGACGGCTCTCGCACATACTTATCTAGGGTGGCTTGAAACAAATCGTATGTGAAATCGGGAATTGACTTCATCAGTTCTGAAGTAATTATCGACGTGTGTCCGTTTCGCAGATTCGGCAGATTACCAACTATCATTTCGATCGCCACTTGCCTCAGCTCGTGGTAATTGGCTCGTGTCGAATACAATTCCTCGATGGTCTCTGCAAAGGACTCCCTTTCAGGGGAACTCATGAATGATGCGCAGAAATGTACCTCTGCTTTGCTTTTCAGGTCGTCGATCATAAAGTAGTCTGCTTCACCATACATGCGCACGTGGAAGTAACATGGATGACAGTCAAGTAACGAATCGACCGGAGGGTCTGTAATGTCCCCATTATCCCCTTCCTCGATTCCATATTTTGGTGGGACTTTATCAATTGGAGCTGAGTTCCCATTCGTCCGTGGGCCATGCGCAAGTGTCTCTGGCGCGTTCCCTGGGCTTCTCATAACTGTTCCATTCAAGTGCTCGTCTGAAAGGACCTCAACTTCATCAATGACATCATTTTCTGGTTGGGGCCCCGGCGATAGTTCCTCTGCGGGCGGCCTATCCATCTCAGGTACGTATCCAGGATCGGCCTGTGTAATATCCAAGGTATGTGTAGGCCGGGGAGCGCTGTAATTTCCTGTATATAGGAATTCCAGCACTTTTTCAATAAGGACCGGATCTTTTTCGTTCAGACAAATCGGATGTTCGGCTTCCTGCAAGTCATCACCGAGTCTCAGTCTTAGGTTCAGTGGATGGTAACAGATAGACCTTAAAATACCTTGAACCCGCCGTAACAAGCATTTTGAAAGTATTTTGATCTAGGGCAAACAACAAGCCTATGGGCCGAGAGAATCTTGTCCTTGCAAATAATGGCCAAATCGCTGTAGTCAGAATTGAGATGCAAGCTATGCTATGTTAAAGATCTGGCCTTATTTGTACTGAAGTCGGAGTAGATGAGCTAGCTATTTCTCACCTCGCAATGAGCCCGAGAATGGTCTCTTGGTCCTCCGTAGTTTGTGCCTCCAGGGATGGAGGGTTGGATTCCTCAGGGCAAGACTCTCTATACTCCAACTTAGAGGAGGACAAAGGCCTGCTCTTTTTCTTTTTCATTGGGAAGCGTAATGGAAGAAGCGAAAATGTAATCGAAGCTGGCAGACCTTGAACACGGATGGGTGAGCCAAAATAAGGGGTTTGTTCTGGAGACCGCAGATGTTGCTCCATATTTAGAGAATAAAATTTTGACGCATTGCTGCCTAACCCCGCTTTCCTCCAGCTGTCCATTAGATTGATATGTGTAGTGGAACACGAATGTTACACGGGTGGTAAGTCCAATCAGAAGGAGACTTTATAGAAGTGCGTAGCAAAAGCATGCAAGCACAGAATAGCGAATAGGCGGCGGCATATGAGCACTCACAGTCTGATACTTGCAGGAGAGCAATGAGAAGAGAGCGTGGAAAGAGAGGGAACGAATGAAAAAAAGGGCAAAAAAAAAGCGACGAATGAAAAACAAGATTTTGGCTAATATCAACAATCATAACGAAAGGTTTTTGGACACGGGTACTCCCTGCCCATGAAGGTAAGCCTTTCTCTCACTACGTTCGTTTCAGGGCAACGCCTCACGCACAACGAATATCCATGTTCCCTAAAACCCTTCATCTCACTTCTTTTGTAAGGCATTTGACAATGCTTATACACCGAGTCCTTTATAATCATATGTTCCAATTATCCCAGACTGCTCATACCCCAAGAAAAAGCTCTCAATACAATGATCGTGTTTAGGGGCCACAGGATAGCCCTAGGTCTCACGGACTTTAGGATGTGCTCCCGGGTCGGCAAAGGCATTTTTTTGTGAGTTGAAAGAGGCTTGGTAATTATAGATATTGTTAATTTCTGCAAGGCAAATCCCAAATAATGTATTTAGACAAAATGCCTTAGAGTTGAGCTGGTTCATGGGACCAAATCAACGTACTAAAAGCCCCAGAACAACACGCATAATTTTTTGCTAAAATACTGTTGGACCTAATTTCGAGCGTCCTGTACTGAAGGATCATAATTCAAGGATATCGCATCGAGTCCCTTGATACAGGCAGCCTCGACGCCCAATGAACATTGTACGAGCATTGGCAATGCACTGGCCAGTTGATAAGACCGTGACCAGTGTTCGATATTTGAATCAGGTGGTAGGGTATCAGATTCCTATCAGCCAATTGTCAAATTTTTCTCCAAGATATGGAATTGAGATCAATGTTCGTGCGTATCTGACGCGAGGTTCATTCACGGATCCAGCTTGCTCTCGGTACTTCTCGTCCACGGGCTTATTATAATCCCACTGTAAATCACATGGAAGCAATTCTATTCTTAGCTCGATTTTATAATGAAAATCTTGGAGTCGTCATACAGGGCAACACTGAATGTTCTTTTGCAGCTTCTTATCCAGAGGTATTTTCATCAAAAGCTCTTGAGCTTGCGTTTTTTCCAGGCAGGTGTCAGAGAATATCTGACTAGGTATCCTACCGAGGCAGTAAGGTGTACATGTATTGGGGAGATTGGAAATCTTGAAAATTTGACCGGGCTGAGAGAGGTATAAAAAATGCTCGTAGATGTGCGTGTCTCCTGATGGCGGCATTTCCAAGGCTCTTAAATTTTAGGGCTAGAATGGATTCCTCTCTACTTCAGATGGTGTTGGTAGTAGGGGTTTCGACAAGCTAGGGGAAAGTTGTGCGATATTGACGGGCAGGAAAATAGTTTCGTTTTCCTCGGAGACAGCATGAGGCAGGTGGTGTGCCATATTTATGGAGACTTCCACATGACCTTGAGTAGCTCGGTACGGTACGCTGTAAGGCTTCCTAGATCGGTTTGGACTAGGCTGTTTCATCACATCCTTAACTATACGGTAATCGATATGTAACTCTAGTCAGCCGGGTTGCGATACCGACACTTCGGCTCTCAAAACTCCGTTGAATCGCGAATATATTACTCAAATGCTATAAGCACCTCATGACTCCTTTCGACTCCATTTTTAAATCAAAATTAGAGCTTGCACGCAGTTTAGGTGTTCATAACTGAATCCTAAAATATGCGTGTGACACTCTTGAGAAGGTAGAATTAGTTAAGAGCAGCGGCCCTCGCGAAAATTCGTACCGTAGGCGCCTGTTTAGGAGACAGCATAAGTGAAGCTGACCGCCCCAACATGGTCTAAATATCCGTATCATGGTCCTACTTTATCACCAAGATTTACCCGCTTTCTGATGTAAATTCCTTAACAGATTTATGTGGGCTCTATAAGATGATGTTGTGGCTCTTATGTACCTGAGCTGCGACCGTGGGAACTAATGAATAGGCTTCTGCTCTTGTGGCAGAATATTACTGCCAAGAGAGTAGAAAACGTAATCGTAAGCTTATAACTCCAACGGTTCGCAGGGTCGGATAATGATTCATATGATATGCAGCATGCTGTATGCGGACTGAAGTGGCCCATTCGCTAAACATACGCGAGTCGATCCAATTTTAGTAAATCAACCTCACCGGGGGGAGCTCGGAATTACTCTATCGAAGCAGGCGTTGGAATTAGTTGGGTATCCACCTAGAAAGTCGGAGCTTTGTGCCAACGGAGCTACAATCTGGCTTAAGGCAGGGCTTTTATTAGAATGTTCCGGGGTGAATGAACTCAATAGGCCTTCAAAGCCACTAATTCTCTGTCAGTTCCATTTTTGGAAGCCGTTCTAATTGAGACGGATTTGTCTCATTTGACTGCAAAGGCGCGTCAATTGAATGACGGTCAACTCTGGCAAACCACACGTTAATAGGATCTGTAGTAAAATCTAGCACGCTATCATGAAATTCACTACACATGCTAAATCAGGTATGCCTATTTCGGAGACTAGAAGAAGGAAGGGGGAGGTGGGATCGTAAATGGATGTTAAACAACTGTTGACTGATAAAACACGGTTCACCTGGATATGTGCTGTAACATTCAATCTACTATGGCCAGATTAGTTCTCTTACGGGCTTCAAGGCGTGAGAGGCGGCGAGGAGGGAGGAACCGCCTCTCTTCAGCTTATCTCCGAACGTGTCCTCGGTGCTCTCGTCAGTTTAACGGGCGCCTAGTAATATATCCAAAAAAACCTCTGACCTTTTCGGACACATCATTTGGTTTTCGCAGATGTACATATCAACGATTCGAGGATAGATCTATAGGGTCCCTATGCACGCTCATTTTTCGACGACTAGCCTCACACGGCCTTCGTCGACTGCCAGGAATTATACAGCGAGAAGCGCAAAAAGCATTGGAGGACGGTTCGTTCAAAGGTATTGCGGTAGGCAAGCTCTTAGCAAATCTTTACCAAATCGCTAACCATTTATGAAGGCTTGCCGCTAGTCGAGTATATAAGCAGATATCTGACAGGCGAAAAGTCATTGCTGGGTAATACTGGCCATACCCTGTCCCGTTCATGAGGATATTTAGGCGTAGAGAAGATACATAAAGATTAGGCAAGTTGTGGTCATGGTACATCTCCACGCTTTTTGTATTAATATTTTAGTGGGAAGTGCTGCGTATTCTGTACTAGAAAACCCTATATTATTTCTATACAATAGCACTTCACGCCTATCAGATATACCGCTATGCTTCGCACTTTTCAGTGCCCCCTAGTGGAAAACTTGCACTAAAAGCCGAGAAAGGCCTAAGCGTGACTTAGGATATTGACTGTAACTAGCTCACGACTGAGCAGATCACCCCAAAACACCATACTAAGTCCGATAATTTACAACTTCATATCTTAACAACCGTAAGAATCGGATATTTTTATGACGAATTCCAAAGGCATCATGATTTAAATAGTGTATCTAGCTTACTGCTAGCTCACTGGTATACACTGGTATACTATAAGAAATTTAATGGAATTACCGATGGAGACGTATATAATACGTGTTTTTGATGGTAACGTATCCAAATTATGGTGCAAATGGCTCAAAATGTATGTGAGCCATTCCAATATATGAGTGTACTAACGTGCGTCCCACCGCAACCGTGTCCCCTCGAACCCGCTCAAGATTGAGGTACTTTGGAAGACAACGCCAGCATAGTCGACCAACTGGTGTCAGACTGTTAAGCTCAACTAGAAATATGATTTAATAATATCCAGTATACACTGTTCAACTTTCAACCAAAATTACGTTGGTCTGTTGGCATATTTCATCGCAAATTACCTTCCCTTCCCTAACAAGGTTTCTGTGGCAAATTGTGCTAAGCTTCCATGGTCCCCAACCAGCCATTGTTTACGAAATTAAGCTTATAATTCACGGTAAATGGATCCCTCCGATCAATATCCACTAGAATTATATACTCTATACACTGTCCACATCTGAAATAATTTTATTGTTTGTTCACACATGAAAGTCTTAGGGTACATGGTCTGCTTATTAAGGATTGTTTTGTACAGCTCATTACATACAAAGCGTACTGAACATGTAATGTATGGAATTCTAATTTTAGAGATTCCTGGCCACGTGCCCCTCGGGGTCAGTCGTGTTGCCCACCTCCAGAGCAAGCTTTACATTTTCCTGTTACACAACACGCGCTAAATCCTATGACCGACTATAACGACCCAGCAGCAACTGTACTCGCCCTCAACGAACAGTCTGGACAGCCTTAAAACTACTCCGCCCTGTCGAAGTCTAGCGGTATTCCAATCTCCACGTTACGGGATCGTGACCAAGGTAGGATTTCTAAAAAGGAGCGAGCCTTGGACCAGCAATACCTCACTCCACAGGAAGAAATGTCATTGCTGGAATACGTTCTACGGTTATCGAAAAATGGTTATCCCCTCCCGGTCAAATTCTTACGTGCTCTGGCGTGGGAGATCGCTCGCCGACGCCCATCAGATATGCCAATCCCAGTCGCCAATGAAGACACTCGACCTCCAGGAAAGAACTGGCCACAAGCCTTCTACAAACGTCACCCGGAGCTGACATCGAGGACACTGAAAGCAATAGACTGGAAGAGGCATGACCACAACATTTATGACAAGGTGCAAGATTGGTTTCGCGTCATTAAGACGGAGCTGGACAATCCGGCGATCCTCGCTGAGAATGTTTATAACATGGATGAGACAGGCGTCCTTCTGAGTGTTTTGGGCGCGCTCAAGGTGTTAGTAGGGCGGGAGGAGATGTGTAGATACCGTGGCGCTGCTGTAAAACGGAAAATGGTTACCGCCATTGAGTGCCTGTCTGCAGATGGTAGGTCTCTGAATCCCCTAGTCGTTTGGCCTGCCTCTACTCATCGTAGCAACTGGACCACTTACCCCACTCCCGGATGGCATTTTGCCTGCTCAAAGAACGGATACACAGACAGCTCTATCAACCTGTACTGGATCCAGCATGTCTTTGACCCTCAGACCAAGGCTCGTGCTGGTAGCCGGCCGCGCCTTTTGATCAGCGACGGGTTTGCTGCCCACGAGTCCCTCGAGGTCTTGAAGTTTTGTCTTGCAAATAACATCATTCCCTGTCGACTTCCATCGCATACTTCGCATAAGCTTCAGCCGTGTGATGTGGGAGTATTCAGTGCATTGAAGACCGCATATCGGGAACAAGTAGAGCTCTTCTATCGGGGTGGAGCTAATGCTGTGCGATTGGAGCATTTCACTTCCCTCTATAGCCGGGCACGAAATGCTGCCGTGACGCCCCGGAACATCAACGCCGGTTGGTCTAAGAGTGGATTATTTCCTTGGAACCCTAACCGGGTGTTGAAGGACATTCAGCCACCTCCAGGTGCCAGTTACCCCACCGGAAGCAATGTTGTTGAACTGGCCCGTTACTCTGACGGTAAAGAGCTGCTACAAACACCACGAACACCCATCACGGCCGACGGTCTAAAATTGCTGTGTCGTAAGATGCAGAAAGAAGCTCGTGGGTGGGACGAAGATTCTAAGCTTCTCGTCAACCATCTTGCCCATGCAGCGGAGAAAGCATTCGCGGACCGTGCACTTCGTAATGACAACGAGCGGCTGTTGGCACAGAACAATGAAAAACGAAGTCGAACTTCGAAACCAGCACGCAAGGTAGGCAACGCTAAAGTTATGAGCTATGAAGATATAATCGAGGCCAAGCGCAACCTTGAAGCAAAAAAGGCCTCCCGGCCTGGAAAGCGCAAGACCAATTCTAGCAGTGGGTGCCGACCAAAAAGGTCATGCAGCGATGATGTACGAAAAGCTGAAGATGAAATACAAAGCTGGGGCTTTAGAGAGTACTGTTCAGTTATTAGCTTTTGATAGGCTGCCTTTCTTTCAGCTTTCGTCAGTTAGACTATTTTTAGATTGCGATTAAGTGCGCGCACTACGTGTTCCATACGGTCGAAGAGATCACAGGGCATTTTTGGTATTTCCAATGATCATTAAACCATACAGTTTTCGGTATATGCGATATGGGTTTAGTTTCATTTCTTTGTTTCCCTAACTCAGAGCCCAGTGATTATCTTCGGCGGCTAGCATTCCAAGGTACCATAGTCCTAGTAATACTGAAAGCTGTCCAGTCCCGCCGCTTGTCCATAAGACAGGCCTAGCGACGGCCAGGTGGCCGTCTCTATCCAGTCGTTTGACGGCAACAAGCTCAGAATTGGTTAGAATAAACCCGTGCCGAGCATTGTGCTGGTCCATATAAAAGTTCACTTGTGCCAAAACTTGCTTATATTCTCGCCGGTCTGCCAAGTTCTGCGAAAACTGCATTGATGATTCCCATTTCCACGAAACCTTCAAATCCCCAGGGGCACGATTGACACCAGTGGAGAGGCTAGCGTCGACTACAATAAACGCGACATCTGGTCGGAACTGATCAATGATCCTTGCAGATCCCCCTCCGTCTATTGTGATTGCGGAGAGCTGTCGGGCTCGTAGCTCGGGGGCAAGCTCTTGGAAACCAGCTCGAAGGGCCCGCCTAACCCGGCTCATAACAAGATCAGCGAAGCGAAGATGAAAAGTGGGTTCATCTTTTATCGGGGCTGGTGGAGATGTGAAAGGCTCCGCGCGGATCAATTTCGAATGTAATAGCTGTCCGTATCGGGCAATGACGGAAGGATAGCTGAACTCAGGCCACGGCTCGATCTGAGCAATATCGCCCGCATCGTACTGGGGATTAGTAGTGTTTGGACTAGAAGTAGTTCCTTGGGTCGGGATTCTTGGGAGACCGACAGAAAGGTAGTGCAGTAGCGTTTGAGTTGCCATCTCTTATCTGTAAATCCAATCTGCATGTTCGTAAGAAAATGGCAATGGAACCATGGTTGAGGTCTGGAATTGCGGGGTTGGTCTATCACATGATATTTAGATCACATGATCGATGACTGATGTTACATAATTCAAGGGGTGTGATTCAACCTCATCCATCGCTTCTCATTCTAAATCGGCCTGCGCAGCGACCATGTGTTCTCAAATTGGTTACATTTTGGACTTGGAGCCGTTCGATATTGACATCAAAAGAGAGATCAACCGCTCAGATGCCTCTACGGTATACGAAATAGGACTATATGGAAATACGTGTGCTATGAAACTCGTAAGTGCGATTTTTGCGCCCGCAGAACAGCGCTGACTTGTCAGTTCCATGATAACGGCGACCCAGGATACACGAAGAGAGGCCGAGACTTAAATCGATTCCGCTGCGAATTAAACGCCTATAAAAATCTCCATAAGTTTGGTGTATGCGACCGTGGCTTTGTTCCCGCATTTTACGGCTATATCGATCGACTGGATCCATCCGCTTTTCAACCACCGCTTGAACGATTTGTTGGCGATAAATACCAACCAAGGGCCATTCTTCTCGAGTACCTGCCAGATTCGGAAAGGCTGAATTGTGTGAATTATTCCCAGAGTCTTTTTCGCTCTGCGGTAGAGGGTATACAAGAGATCCATAATGCCTTCGTGCACCACCGTGACATTTATCCGAAGAACATGCTTGTTGTTCGTGGTGAGAGGGTTGTCTGGACCGATTTTGATGTTGCGACAACTTTTCAAAATATGGGTCCTTTCGAGATTGCATATTGCGAATATGAAACCAATCTCGTCAGAAGTTTTGGGGAGCTTTTGGTAGGCCCCTTTTCTTTGTTTTGAATATCATGAACTGACGATGTGTTTATCAGAATAACGACCAGAAGCAGGGTCTTAGACCAAATACAAAGTATTATTGATCGAGCGCCTCGAGGGTAAACGAAAACGCATTGCCCATGCTCCATAGCAGTCATGTTTTAGCACCGGTCGTCATTCAACCCTTTTATTTTACCCTGACTGCCATGTTTAAAAGGGCATCCGGCTTTCTCCTGGCTTGGACCAGCATCAGAACCTGCCCTGCCACCCGGACGAAGACGTCAAGTCATCAGATCGGATTCTTCCCAACGTCTTGACTCAGTGAGTCTGACGACGTTTTGCATGACGGGGGTGGCGTCTGGATGTTGGCCGGCATGGAATGGGGGTATTTGATAATCCTGCCCGGTGCCTGTCCTTGAGTCTGTACGATTGGTGACAGAATACTCACTACGCCTGTCAACTTGGCTGCAGAATACGGCTCTTATCTTGTGTGTCATATGGATAATGATCTCGCACTGTCATGGGTTGGTATCCGCTACCATTTTACGGTGGTCCATGATGTTTGGTGCGTGAATAAGGCCGTCGGAGTCCGAATGATGCCAATGACGAGTGCTGAAGTCATTTTTGGACTCAACAAGGACAGAATCACGTGACTAGATGATGGTCAAATTTAGAATTTGGTTTCTGACGGGACAGGTCCGTTACACTGCTGTCGGTATTGTAATTTTACATGTCGCCTTATTAAGCAAACAATGTATTCCCAAGGTTTCACGAGCGAGCGTATATAAAGCTCATTCAGATGTAAAACGTGAGGAGAGGATCTAATTTTTCGTGGACTTTGTTATGATGTATCTATATATCAAGGCAATAAATTCTTATTACTCCAAAGAGTCGGTGGTTGTGAGCCATGGTAGATTTGACCGAACTGTAAGAGAAATCTCAGAGCAGACGGCAGCAATTCTCCCAATGAAATATACCCAATTTTAAACGTAATTTTAGGTGAAATTAGAGTATCTCATTGGATCAGTAGTATGAAACAACATCATTTTGCTTTAATTGCAAATATCATTCGCATTATTCGCTTTTTGAGCGTTTGGTTTCCAAAGTACCTTAAGTGTGCGCGGGCGCAGCGGGAAGCGGTTGCAGCGGGATTAACGTTAGTTAAATACATTTTCTAAATTTCCAATTGAGAAAAAAACTGCGGGTGGTTGATAAATGGACGAATCAAAAAATGTTATTTAGTATGGTGTTTTAGTGTGATCCTTTGGTCATGCATTACGTTACATGCAGAGAGTTCTTTCCACAGTCAAACAAACAGCCCTGTGAGTGGAGTGCCTATAAATTGACCGAGGAGTAAAACTATCACCCATTTTAACATGGATAGATGATGGAACTCAAAAATGTACAAATGAAGAACCTCATGCTAAATATGTCGCACTGGAGGTTAATCCAAATATGACCCCCTCTGTGAACCATATTTGATTTTCTCTACGTATCTGCTCAATTTCACTTAAAAAGAACATACAGCATCATTGGGGGCTGCGCAAAGATCCTCAATCAGATGTTGTCGCCGACCGTCGAAGTCTCATGGAACCTGTCAAGAAACGACCCATGCCAAACCCAACGGGCAGGTGTGGACGATCCCCGTGCACACTTGACATCAAGGAAAGGGATACAACTGAAGGAGCTTGAACACCAGGCCAAGTTCTTCGATAGATGGGGCCTTTTTATTGGGCTAGTTCCGGTGTACGTCATCTATATCATGCTGCTTTGGTCTTCTTCTGCATACTCTCCTTAGGTGACGTACTGTTTTCTACCTTACTGATTCTTCCTCTAGGGTCGGCGATATTGTTAACACTGCTTTTGCGTTAATGCTAATCTATAGGATCAAGAACATTGGTCTGGAAATCCCTCGATCTGTGTATAACAGAATGGTTGCCAGAATTCTCCTAAGTGCCGGTATTGGTTTGATACCACCAGGCTTTTTACTAAGTAGGCTTTACCGATGCAACAGGAGGAACTCTTTAGCCATTCGGTCTTATGTTGATCGTCATCTAAAAGGAGACGGGGGAGCACCAAGTCCTCTACAGCAACTTCCATCCGCCCCGTGATGTATAACTAGCGTGAGAAAGCATTATTCCGTTTATCTCTTCAGGATGACACAAGCGACGAGCAACAATAGTGAGCGAGATCAAAATTGAGATATAAGTTTACAACACGTTTGAATGGTCAGTAGGAGTTTCAATCTCACATTCTCAGAGCTCGAAAGGCTACTATCTCTATTTTCTAGCATCTCATTGCAGTGGGGCTTAGCGGAAATTATAAGCAGGGTAGGATTCTGACTGCCAACTAGTTTGAATGTGGTGATTTAATTCGAACGTATGAGTTGCTCGAGAAGCCTCCCTTTGAAAGCAGAAAATCAAGGTTACGGTGACGGTAGAGTAGAGTGAGCGAATTCCTCCTTGCAGAGACGGGGGTTTACTTTGTACATTATCGGTATTATCCATAAAGTCAATTCCCTGGAAGAGGTATTGTTGAAAGTTTCCAACATCATCCAGCTTTATGATTAGGTCAAGGTATTGCACGTCGACACATCCCTGCGAAATATCCAGCCGACCACGTAGTACCATCAACACTCTTTTTTTGCTGCGGACTCGGTAGGTGGGGTTCTCCTAAGTATTTATCTGCTCTGTTGGAAAAACTCTCAGGGCAATCCCTTCTTCAGGAAGTTCATAGACATGAAGAGTTAAGTCATAGTCGAATATGCGAGCCAAAGTTGTACAATCGACACAGTAAGCAGCGGGCATAAGATGAAGATGAAGAGAGGTGGATAAGCTTAATCAGTTCTGTTAACTGATCTCGAGGTCTAGGTCGCACACAAACTATCGTGGTTTCGAAATTTGAATAAGGCGAAAGAGCGTACGATTTCAGAGCCCTTCTATTTGGAGAATGTATAGTCCAGTCGTGATCAAAAGCCTATGAGATCCTCGAGGGCTTCCATGGCATTCTACCTACTATTTGTTTATACGCACTAGTAATGTTACGTACTATTTATATCTTGGATTATGACATTTGTCTTAGTGCAAGGCAGCTTACAGATGATTACGGCGATTTGAGAATGTACGCTCCTAGGAGCACTATCCAGATTGGAACGATCTTGACTTCCTGGGAGCTATCACGGGTAGCTTTGACGGGTTTATTAGAATACACGATGAATAGGGGAAATATGGTGTAATGGATCAACATAGCTTTCAGTATCCAGCTTATCCGGCTCTCTTGCGCACTTTGATGTCCATTCCTGCGCTGGGGAATGACCAGGCCAGCACAATATGGAAGTAAACCAAACTCCAGGGTAATTCGGTTTCAATGGGTAAGGCTAACACATCTTATTCTTTTACTATGTCTGTGCAAAATTGGGCAATCACGCTGTTCAGTCCATCTCATTTCCACCTCCCTGTTATCGGTTCCCTGGCCCTTTTAAGCGATATTAAGATAAGATTCGACCTGCCGATATACCTCGAATAAAAGCACTCAGCTCGTACCGTAGTTTGGTCTCGTAGCATAGATTCATCCGTGAGAATCTCCAAATAGGCGGATACAGTCCTCACATTCAGAATCAATTGTTTTAAAATTTCAATCTTTTCACTGACGTGATATAACCACGAGACAAAGTTAGTGCGTCCATTAGACCCCCGTCTCTGCGCTCTTTGTTGAACTTCTCCGCGTCTTTCTGTATGAGGAATTTATTAGTGTCGGGCAAGCCAAATTTCAAAAGCGAGTAAAGAGCATTACTCACCCTATAGTACTCTTTGCGCAACCGAAATTTATGATACGAGATTATATCACGCAATCCACCACCGCCCCTCCCGCCTATGGTGGCATAGACCGTTTTAGGGGTCCCTTTGTTCTTTTCCCCGTAATCATTCATCGCGGTGTAGGCAAACCAGTAGCAGTTATTCCCAATCGGTTTGTAACTTCCCCCTTTTTTGCTCACCCACGAAATGGTTTCAGCGAGGCTAATGAAGCTGGGCTTCTTGGCGGTGTAAATGTAAGACTCTAAAGGGAGAGGAAGGTCATGAGGACCGTTCCATCGGCCTTTTTCGCCCTTTTCATCAAAGCCAATTGTCACTCCATCCACCGACTCACGGCCAAAAGTGATGGGAGTGACTCCCGTGGCAATGGCGTCGATGCTACTCTTTGGTACTCCACGCTCCGCATAGACACGCGCTCGTTCATTTGACAATTCATCCTCAACAATGAATTGTATGTATTCATGGCCCCAAGCTGAGTCAAGGTTTTTGACTCGAGTCAGGGTAACGACGCGAAGAGATTCGTAGTCTTGGCTTTTATTTAGAATGTGCTTGTACCATTCCTCTGGCAAGTAATGTTTCACTTCACTCGAAAAAACAAGCGGCATCGTGGTAAACATAGTAAATCAGTAAAATAGTAATTCTATAATTATCCAAAGATGCAAAGCAGCAGAGTAGGGCTATGACCGAACTCTCCTTTGATTGTCAACGCCCAGATCATTTAGTGTAAATTGCATGTATGAACCGACGACTTAGAACTCCCGATTTATATTAGCCTTCGCCTGATAGTGAAGAAAACGAAGAAAACGACAAATAAATTGCATCATCTTTAGGTTGCGCGATATTACGGTGTTTTATAGAATACCCAAGTTGTGGGCGCTTCCATGTCCGTGTCGTCGTATCCACGCCTGCAGGCTATGTTTAGTGGAATATAGGTCTAGAAAACCGTCAAGTTCCTTCCTTTTATAGTTTATAACAATCTTTTCCATTTGAGGAACTGTCTTGCGTCAGACTTATGGTTGCTAGAGCTCCTAATTTTCAGTAGAGTACGATTAATTTGAGAAGTAGTCGCAAATCAAACTCTTTTCCCTGCCTAGCTCACCTGACCCCGGGGGTCCGATCACAGGACACCGCTTTTCGTCTTGAGACGCACGCTTCAACCTTTTACCAAGGCTGGTAATCCCGTACAAAACCTGCATATATATTTTTAACTCCTGCTTTTTCTAGCATTCACAATTCTTTACTGTTGATATGGAGACGAATATTTCCTCTCTTACCGAAGAGCCTCTTCCCCCTTTTTCCACTCTTGCTCTTTTCATCTGCTACTACTGCCGATCAGCAGTACGAATCAAGTAACTCATAGCCCATCTAAGCTCCTTCTCATTCTCTTCGTTGTCGTACGGCTGCTTACTCCTTTCCTCAATCGTCTAAACCCCCTCTTTCTCTCCACACCTTAAGACGAGTCACGCGAGTATACTTTGCTGTGATTGAGCCCGTAGAATCATGGGGAGCAGAGCCTGAGCCACTATTTTCTACGATAGATAACTTTGACCAGCTAGTAAAAGCAACACCGTCAGATCTGAGACGGTGGAGATAACTAGGCTATGCCATGGCTCCGTCGTACGCGGTGGTCCCAACATCTGGCGAGTGAGCTAGCAGAGACGCTCCATTCCTTAATTGAGCCACGAGAGCAGGATCCTCTAGATCCATTATGGCTGATCCACTGGGCTATGGCTAATATGGCTCGTACGGCGCAGCAAATTGCTAAACGGTGCGGCCACCTCATTCGCGTAGAGGTCGTTCAAACCGAGATGGACCCTCCCTCGTTTGGCGGAATTTGGGGCTTTATTTTGCTACCTCCCTCCGGCCGTAGAGTGTGGTGAATACTAGCGACGGGGGAAATGATGTTTCGCGACGCGAGCTTCCACTATGAAATGCAGCTGAAAGACAGTCAAAGTAACCTGTCGCTGACTGGACGATTTCATATCACACAACACTCAAAATTTGGCTGCGTGATCAGGAACTTCTGCCTAAACCAGCGCCATTTTAAGATGAGGAGTCACAGATTGGCATTCAAAACAGCCCCGACGAACCCCACTGCCTGCGCGGGTTAAGGATAGGTGGCGAAGTCGAGAGGGCCATCTCAAACATGATGCGCCCCGTGCAGCCTTGTGGGAATCGAACAACATGGCCCAGGTCGGGGGGTGGAGGAGGTTGGTCCAAGACGTATAGGACCCAGTCGAGGCTGAACGGCAGCCCGGATCCATAGCTGCCCGTCTATGCGCGTAACGCTTATTGTATTCTGTTTGTGTGATGTGGCTGTGTAGGGATGAATCATATTTCGTATCTGCCCTATTCTGCCTAGTGCACAACTAACTCCTCCTGTACACCGAAGCCCCGATGCTACATAACGAATCTAAACGCCCCCCTTCCTGTCTGACCTCTTCCCGTACCCTTCGGTTTGACTTCTATAACTCTACACCTCTCGTATACTTTACATACAATTATTTCATCTCTTTGGATAGGATCTTCTTCCCCACATCGCCAAACAGATCTATACTATACACCATTACCACTACAGCTACTGCTTGCCCACAATGCATCGTTCCCCTAGTCATAGGAACAGCAGCGCTTTCAGTCCCAACGCAAACCCAAATGAGGATTGGACCAAGATCCCCGATCTTGCGGAGCGTCGGCGCATTCAAAACCGCATTGCGCAACGAAACTACCGTTAGTATTCCCATCGTGAGTCCCCAAACCACCCGGTATTCATCCTACTAACCGCACCCACCCACAGGCAAGAAGCTGAAGCGAAGACTGGAGGATCTAGAGCGCGGTGCAGCATCTTCTGCCTCCCCAGAAGCCTCACACGCTGAGCCGGTAGCACGTCCCAAGGCTGCGCCTAACAAGGCTCGCTCGAAACAACAACGAGCCAACAAAGCCAACAAAGCCACCGAGAACAAAGCGCACTCAGTACACGCCTCAACAAGCGAGGGCCCAGCCTCTTACGAGTATTACAACAACACCACACAAGATGAACGCGGTATGTTCGGACAACAATGTACCCGCCAACTATCCGCCTCGCCGCCACCAGTCTTCTCCTACCTACCACTACCATCCTACGACGGCCATATTTCGTTCACCGAATATGGCGAGCCAGTTGCTAGCGTAGGTCCCATGGTGAGCGCCCAGGGAATGTACCGCAAGCCATACGACGAGGATATGAGTCCATTCGGCAGGAGCTACGCAACAATGGCAGGCATCGACCTAGTGCCGCAACAGCACGCAGAAAAAAGCCTTCTGGTACAATCCTCTTACTAGTTCCAATTGCAGGGATCTCAATAGCAACCACTCTTTTTTTCTCTTCTTTATTTTCATCTTGGAGCAATGCAAGTTTCTTCGACCGGAAAATGAGAAAGCGAAACTCTTCTGTTGTTTCTGCACACAGGTGCACTCGTTTTGTTACAGTCATGCACATGGTTCTGCCCATAGCCAAGAATATTATCATTGTGCAGCTTTGTCTTTGTATCCTCTGTTACGGGCAAATGAATCATAATTTCCACAGATGATCTGCGAATACTCTAACTATATGCTTTGGTATTCGAAAGCTGGAGACCTGCTACGCAATGGCTTCTGTTATCTAGTGAGATGACTCTCGTCCAACTCGAGCGTTCTGGGGCTAACCCCAAGCAAAATCCCAGGTACATAATGTACACACATTGTCCACCTTCCCCCGAGCAGCTATTTAATTAGCTTCCCGAGTGGCAAGTGTTTGTGTGCCGCCAATTTGAATAAGTCGGTAAGCTTCTGGTTCGCCTTCGCCATAGCAACCACTCTATGCCCATCGAGAGGCATTCGTGTGTATTTCGGGTCAACCACTTGGACGTTCACAAAGTTTTCAAGCGTTTATTTCTTTCGATCAAAAACTGTGACATGTTTTCTCGCCCATTGGTCCCGGCAAGCCGATTTGAGTTTTTAGATCCCCTCTCGTCCGCTGTCTCCAATCGCAATGAAGCAGAAGACATAAAGTTCGTTCAAGCCTTGTCAATATGGGTAACTTTTCAGTCATCTCGACCCATGAGTGATGGGCCCAGTCACTTGAGTTGAACAACAGACTAGCTGCACAGTTCAATATCCCGCAATGTAAAGTAATTTAGTTTGGTAAACCTATCCCAGCCTACCCTCCCCCTGATGTCTCTTGCCTCCTGGAGAAATGGGCCATCTGCTGATAATCCAGATATACATCGGCCGCTTCGTATGTTTGGGAGGAAACAGTCATGTATGAGAGTTTCCAGTTTGTTCCTCTCGCCTCTGAGTGAAAGGGACGAAAGTGCTTCCAAGGTGACATCTAGTGAGCGTGTCGAGGAATTCATGTGAGGTCTCGAAGGAATGGCAAATTGGCAGCAAGAAAGTAGTATAATCGAGCTATAACCTACAAGGCCCTTTTCGCCCTCCCAGTCCTGCTCTTTCTATTCTAGCGCCTCTTGCCATAGCCTCCGGGAACGAAAAAGCTTGAAAATGCTTTGTGAAATGGGTGCTTATACAATCACAAGCTCCCCAAGAGGAAGTTTATATTCAGACAAATGGTGATAGCGATAGAGATGGTTGAAGTGAAATACGATATATCGTCTGATGCTCTAGAAGCAAGGAATTCCTCTTCGGGCCTACCGAAAAAACTGAGCCGAAGATAAACATTCTGCGTATTATATACCCCTCCCATAATGAACTCTTCTAAATGATGGCAGCCATTGCCATTGGTTGCTGAGCGAACCGTAGGCGTAAGCGAAATCCTACTGAAGATGATGCTCCTAATTTACACAAAGCACGCAAGAAGTTTTCTATCTCCAACAAGGACTTTCCACTCGGCTACCCGAAATTCCGGACTCGTTTCTGTCTTGCCACCCGAATCAATCTGTGACTTAGCGGGGGCAATGCGAACTTAGCACCGAATAATTTCTCTTCGCGGTTCTTTTAAGCGGGGGATATAGAAAATGCGAGGGGGAAGAGCCAAAATGAATCATTCAGGAAGTTTGCTAAACAGGCAAATAGAAAAAGGGGTGCAATCACACGAGAGAAACAAGATGTCCTACACGAGACAGTTCCCTACACGAGACAGTTCGAAAACTAAATGATCTCTCCGGTGCCGGTCAAATTGAACATACAGCCAAGGTACACATCAACAAGTCCTAAGTTGAAGAATTATGAGATACATCGCTCACGACAAGCGCTCGTCACGAACGGAGGAACTATGGATTTGGCGTGGGCGTTTTCTGAGGTTGTATCCACTATTTCCCGAGGATTCTTCCCTTTGCTGGCATCGCTCGGTAGGCTGACTGGGTGGCCTGAAGGAAGGTTGTTGGTTTCTCCCGGAAGTAATAATGTAGGAGTCACCTCGTGATGCATTGTCGTAGATCACAATTGGATGACCGTAGCTTCCTCCGAGAATGTATCTTATTGGCTCCGATGCTGCATGTTCCACATGTTCAAATCTCGGGTTCGTCGCATTATTAGTACGCGTGACCTCTTGAAGTGGCCGGAACCAAACGCCTGTGGTGGTGCCAGTAACCATTTTGCGTATTCGTACTGGGTTTCTCCTGCACTGCTTCGAGCGGTATAATCGCAGCCATTGTCGACGAGCACTTTGTGATGTCTTTGAGAGACTTCTCGCGCTCTTGAATTTCTATTCTGCGTGTTGGGGCGATATGCATTAAGTTCCACCCTTCCCTATCTCGGACCTGAATGGAAATTCCATAGGAGCTGCATCGTCCTAAAGCCAGGCCCCGTAGGTAGCAAAATGGATTGGGAGCCGCCCATAAGCATCTGGGGGTATTTTTCATTCTTTCAAAATCCCCATTTTGTCGCAAGGTCTGAACTATCGTGTCGCATCGGTACCGTACTGCCCCTTGGAGTGTTGACCACCGAGAGTTGTCGACGCTGAGGAGCAAATTCACAAGACCGATTTCTCCGTCATCACATGCTATTTGACGAGCGATTTGTAGCTCATTACTGACAAGTAGGCCAATATCTGCACAGCGCAAGCCAATACTGAATCATGGCCGGCCGATTATTCATGTCAATTGTCATTTACTCATGTGAGTAGAGAAAAACATCCATATATCGGACCGTACTAACTCCGATACATAAAAAAGCACCATGTGGACGAACTCTCCCGGCGTGGGCTCCATCCTTACCCTAATCTTACCGAACGAAGGGTTCGGTTCGACCTACATCCACGGTAGGGCAAGTTCATATCACCTGCCTACTGCCCACGACCAAAATAACACCACGCGGGGTCTATCCCAAGGCATAGAGATTTTTTAAAGATGAACGACTTAGGAAATTATTTTCTTTGAGACATTTTCAACCTCCCTAAATCGTCATAAGTGTAACGAAACCTCACATCATTCAATGAGTTTAACACTGCTTAGTATAAAGCGCTGCGGAAGCGGTTGAATCAAGAGCAACATGTCGCATTCGGAGTTGCCACGTAGAAACCATCCCTGTGATATATTGGTAGACATTGCCAGGGCACTGATTCCTCGCGTCGTTGCGGATCTTATTGAATGGTCAAAAGTAAGCATCGGATACCGAGCGTAACACCGGGAAGGTCATCAAGCCCGCAGTCAGACTGAGGTTAGTGCTCAGATACATTCTGAATGCATTGTGTCAGTGAAGAACTTCCGGTCGTGGGAACAGCAGCAAGCTTATCTTACTGTCAGAGAGGCACCAAGATGGATGTTTGATGCCGGATCGTAGACTTATTCAAAGACCCCGGCTCGGAGGTATTCCATCAAATCCAAGAAACAACATTTGAAATTCTATACCTTCAGCCACATTATCAATTCCAAGCTGACACACTTTTGAGGTGTCACTACACCCCCTCGCTTCGGCATTTCTTACATCACTGTCGACCCTTGTTTGTCTGCTAGTTGGTGTTCGATTGAAATTGAACAGCAAGTAGATCAACCAAGGCGATACGAACAGCAGTACGAGAAATGGACATCGCCACCGAATATAGAATGAAGACTCCAAAGAATCGTATTGTGCATCGTATTTGCGCTCATCCGATTCTGGGAAAGGCTTGGGTGCTGCTTAATGATCTTGCGAGCCATAATTTCGTCGATCCAGTGCTTCCTCAACTGATAACGACGTATACCAGTTGGTCTGGTTAGGCTCTAGAATTTCCGCATCCGGAGCTCAGTCTGTGATAATCAAGTTGCTCTACGCCTTCCAACCGAAGCGACAGCATGATAGCAGTGATATTCCAATTCCGTCACGGCCATTACATGCTCCTGTTATCCATTCATGATCCAGATATTGACGCTTTGTCTTCGAATCTTTCAGCTGCCCTCTGATTAGTGGGGGTTGTGCCATCAAGCCCTCCTGCGGCTTTTCTATCCCGCAGAGCAGCATATGGCTTCAAGATTAGCACAGTCACCCGGTCAAGTTGCTACTCAATCTACATGATGAAGTCACGTTACAACCAGTCCCATTCGGCCAACCAGCAAGTCGATGGATTCACCACGTGGTTTATCTATATTCGAGCCAAGCTTTCCGCAGTTGAGCGGTTCACCGTACCTACCACCAGAACGTGATTATGACATTGGAACGGCTTTAGTCAGGAGCTTCGGAATACCGAATCGGTGTGACAAGAATGAAGCCCTGGTTACTAGGGGCATACATCCCGCAAACGCTTTATTCATATCGATGATGCACGCCTCCTCTGTTGGTGCTGTAGGGACACGGATAGGGCAGGATGAAAGACCACTGAGAAGCTAAGTATGCCAAGATGAACAATGTTTCCACCAGCAATACACCAAATCGCAGTATACGATTCTTAGCTTGTATTTCTGCCGTCTGGCACTTGTCTTGCTTGACGCTGAGATCTAGCTGCTTCTACAGTCACGCATCATAGCGCACTTGGCAACTGTTGCAGAAAGATTATACCAGCCTCTACACAATGGAACATTGCAAGCCGGCCGCCGAATGGTCTCTCAAGTTTTATGTACTCGCGGGGACCCTAATCGCCTACGAGAATGGAATGATGTCTTTGTCAATGGTCTTGGGCGGTCTGAGCAACCTTGACATATGGAGCAGTCTTGATAACGGCAGTGGTAACGACGGAAATGACTTTTCTCTTTCTTCGAAGGGGAAAAAGAGCTCCTACATCCGCCGCTGTGCCAGGCATGTTTACTTTCACGCTTGTACTATATCAACACCTGTAAGTATCCATAGAGCCTGGATTGGGTGTTCCCCAGCCGTTCCTTGCTTCTTTTCTTCGGACAGTCAGTAGGTTGAGTACTCTCAACCCTCCTTTTTCTATTCTAACATATATCAACTACAAGACAGTCCATCGCTGGCGAGAAAACTATGAATACGATAACCATATATTTTCTGAATGGAAAATACAATAGAATGACAGTTAGTTCCTTCTATAGAAGCTCTAAATATATGTTCTCGCCGAATGATTGTGCTCAGCGAAATCGATATCCCGCTCTTTAAAATCAAAACATCACTGAAAAAGGCAAGGGCATTGTGGCTCGTTTGATATATCTAGTGGTACCTACATCCTTTGCGAAAAGCCGCCCCTTATTTCCCTTATTTTCCAACATCAGCCACGTGAAGAATTGAACCTGCTGCGTGCGGCGCAGCTAAAGGCCATGTCAAGGGAGTCACTGCGTCAGTTCTTATCCCTTCCCAACAACTTCCCAGGCAAGTGCCCTTTCACTGGCATCGTCAAGGTGAATGCTCTGCCCTGTGGATCTGGTTCTTATGTTGGCGGCGTCTACCCAACTGTGAGCCGTATCAACCACAGCTGCATTCTGAACGCCCACAACAGCTGGAACAGCAGCAAGGAACAGGAAACTATTCACGCGATCCGACCTATATAAAGTGGAACGGAATTCACAACTTCATATGATCATGGAGGCCCGTCGAGCGCAAGGAAGAGGTTTCTGGAACAATTCTTCGGTTTCACCTGTACGTGCAACAACTGCACCCTCTCTCCATCGTTGTTACAAGCGAGCGACAACCGCCGCTTAAAGATACAGAGCCTCGATGAAGCCATTATCCTCAATCCATCCCTGGCTGTAATCTTCAATACCACATCCCCGGCGGCGAGGCGGAACGCATGATCTTCAGACAACTGACATATTACTTCACCGTTGAGCTACTGCGCATCAACAACAGGAAGTTTCTTCCTGATATTGAAGCTTGTCCGCCGTACTTCTTTTGATACAATAGCCCAAGGATTATTTTCCAGTCCCTGCGCTTGATTTGTTCTTGAGTCCGAGATGTACTTCATGTGATTCTGCGATAAAAGATGGAAAAGTCTGCTGGAATTCACAAAATTGTTGTCTAGCTCCCCTTAGTTAAGTAAACGATCTCGACAGAACTCCTGGAAGGGGCCGAGTTTGTATTTTAGCTGGGTGCCGACGAGGGGCTGCTATTGGGAAAATCTCTTGACAGGATACTACACGAGTCGATCGGATATTCTCCCTTCCATGTCTCTGGTACGAGCTCCGGTAGATTCACGGTTGTTGACGAATCTGATAAAGGAAGCAGGTTGCTTTCATTCGGAAACAGATAAACAAGCATTCTGCTCTACGCTAGGCCTAATGAAGTATTGTGTCGGAGAATTTCGTCTAGCCTTTCATTGAATCTCTGCTGGAAAACTCCGAGTTCCGGTATATTCGAGAATCCCCAGCCGGGTCATTGAGGGTTAAATTAGGGGTTCAGTTACAATACCAAGATTTATAGCGCCTTGAGAATGAGAACCATATGGAAGAGCCAGTCAGAGGAGGCACATTTCTCGTGCATGCGGCGGCCTGGAAGTCTTCGGAACGGTCCAGCAGTTTTTGGTTGAATCATAAGGGCTTGGAAGTACAGGAAACGAGCAAGAAGGACGCTAACAATAGCTACAGAGAGGTTGCTGGAACTAGAAAACCTTTGTTTATCTAGTGAGATATCCTGTTATGCTTAGGAGCCGACCTATGTGGGTATACCATTCAAAGAAAGGGCGGTAAGGAAGGCATCGGGTAGAGGCAGCAGCGCACGGAAATGACGTGTCAGATTACCAGAAATCAACTTACTGTCATGCTTCATCGCGAGTCATAATTTAGGAGTGTGGGGCTTGAAAGTCCAGATATATTTTTGGGCCAAGAGGCCTGTACGACAGTTCTCGTATTACACCGCTCACCACGTCGGAATATATATTCAATTTTTTTAATGAGTTAGCAGTGCTTGCCACATATTGCTATCGAGAGTTCCATGTGAGAATGACTCACCGGTGATCTAGGTGGTCATAGCTCAATCCAGGCAGGCACGGCTCGCCCAATGATCAATCGCATTGCTCGCAGGCCTGGAATACCTTTGACCATCATCAAAATCCCAATCTTGAACAAAAGTCGAGCGCGATTAAGTTCTGTGACGAGGTTTCTATACATCGAGGCAACAAAGTTTACTTTAGTATTTGATGGATGGGAACGTTGTCATTCCAATTCAACTTGTCAATAGTATCCCCAAGGCCTTCTACAGCCGTGAAACTTCATCGGACAAGAGCCTTGAGACTTATTTCATGGCCTTTAGGCGGCTCCAACGGTTCAAAGGTTGCGCGTACTTTGCGTAGACAGTTGATTGCAGGAGGCCCTTCCGATCCAGTAGGCGTAGAATTCATGCTGGGCAGGTACATAAAGGCCCAGTGGTGCTAGGCGTATGTCTTATGATTAGGCATCCGGGGCTGGTCTTACATACGTGTACGAATGAGTGGGTTGCTATCTCCATACGTAATGCAGAATTTTGGTGAGCCGTATAGGATCGTAAAGGGTCACCACCTCCCAATTGGACATTCATAACAAGCAAACCAAGTGAACGTATTGGTACCGTCAGTCTTCTATGACCGCCCCGTGTGGCCCAGCCATATTTGACTCCATGCATAATTTCATCACTCCATTTACCATGAGTGCGGCCCAATGGCTACGATACGCTTTTCCATTGTATCCTGGCCGGGCTTGGTGAGAGGGGAGGAATTATCTTTGAGAGGCGTCTGGTGGTTAGTTCTCGTTGATAGCATTGCCGCTTCCAAGGGCCTTTGGGGGGAAGGCCACTATCGAGCGGGATATTTAATACACGCAAGAATATACACGTTTCGCCAACACAAACACCGAACTTTGGATAGCTGCAACTCGAGAGTTGAACCTTTTGGAAATGTTAGATGCGGCCAAGCGAAAATAATCGGCGACATTGAACGCTTCATATTTATGATAAGAAGACTTTGTGTCCAGAATTAAGATCACTACGATTTGAGACCTTTCCTACTGTCAGAACGTATTTTGAGTAATTTATCGCGTTCTTCTCATTGCATCCGCTTCAGCCTCAATTCTTTCTCTGCGGATAGACTAGGACGATCAAGTGTGGGCGGAGCAACGGGCGGGTGGAGATACATACATACATGGTATGGGCTCCGTAAATACGTCCATGATAGGTTACCTGACCGAAATAAGTCATCTGGAAATTTTGACAAGTGGAAAACGCAGATAATTGGCTGGTGAGATGGGCACCTAATTGGATCATTGGATGGCCCCTTGATAGGTCAAATGCTGCATTGGGGGGTTTCATCACTTGTAAGCCCCGCAAGGTCCTTGCAAATAGACAAACCATCAAGTGCGGAGTTAGAACGGGTAACCTTTGGTTCAAATGAGCGGATACGAGAGGTGGTAGTCGAGGAGCCCCCTGATTGTCGCTCTCCACATCCCGGTTCGCCGATGAAGCGTACTTCTGTGCTCGAATGACAAGAAATCCCCCGTGGAAGTATTGAATAAGCTAGCAGGGATAAAGCCCTTGTACAGGATTGCTGCCGCAGGTTTCCCCTTCGAATATGATACGGGAAATCCAATACAGCTAGCAGAAGCTTGCTCGGCTAGTCTAGACCTGTGTGAGCTATGTCAACCCGGGTGAAATTTCAGCCCGGAGGCTGTACTCCGTAGAGCACCAGCAGATGCCAAAATAAGCCCGAGAGGGCACGTAGTGGAGTCAGTGCGGCTGATAGCTTAGCTGGATTGTCCCCTGACTTAGCTTACTTCCATATTCTAGTGAATGTAGACGCATTTGATGGATATCAAGTATGTTTGGACTTAACTCTGCTGCTCGAAGGACCGCTAAAAGGCAACTGGCACTAACAGTTAACCCTGGGACTGAGCCAATAAAGAATACGATCCAGAGAGGTTGCTAAACCCTGTCATTCCAGTTACCTACTGCCTGAGCTCTTAGACCTCGAAGAGTATTGTCTCTAGTATGGATACATCGCGTGGTTTTATAGATTCCAAAACTCTCACCCAAATCACTTCTTCCATTGCTTCAAATCTCGCATCCGTTTACGTGACACCGTCACACCATCCAACGAGAGAGTGAATTTAGGGGCCTCGGACAGCTAGCGACGCTATTTTAGTTAGCTAAATCTCAACGTATAGTTCAGATCATAAGGCTAGAGAGGGCTGTGGAACAACTAGCCTCATTTACTTAATGCATATTGGCGAAAATGAGGATAAGAATTGTTCTACGACTGATGGCATTGATTATAGAAGATCAAGAAGTGGGGTCAACGGCCTTGATGAGCTACCTCCACCAGTTCTATCACCTGGGTCACCGTTGTAGGATCCACGGTTAATCAACCCTATGGGTGGAGGGTTAAGATGGTCGAGAAGGCAACCAGCGCTAAAGCCTAGAAACCCGAAAAGCGGGTACGACCCTCTGGCAACATCCTTGCGGCCTAGAGAATTAATGCTCGTCTGAGTCGTCAGGCCAAGGGTGTTATTACCGGTATTTTGTCTTCTCCACAGGATTTCTTAACGTCTTATATATGTATAATTTCCTACCCACAACCCGGGGTGCTTCGCCCAGGTGACCACAGGCTCCAATGTCCATCGATATCATTTTATAAACTCTGAGAGGCCGCACCAGGGTCATTAACCACCATTTTACCCCATCGATGTGCGACAGAAAGCCCAACCATCGCAACAACAATAACGTCAGTCTAGCTCCCATTCAACCTGACTCTACCCGAGCATCTTTCTATGTTCATCCTTCCCGCCACTGCCACACTTAGTCGACCATTTTTGACTTTCCCGTCACATTCCGATTGAAATACACACCCACCTGCAGGGTTAAATGCCAGCACAGACACCCAATTGGTTTAGGCGAGCCCGATTAGCTAATATAGTCACTTCTCAGGTCAGATGATGCGACTGCACAAAGTCCTGAAACAATAAAATAATCAAGTCACACAGAGACGTATGATGGACAGGCCGTCCTTTCGAAGACGGCGAGGCTCCCACGGAGTCAAATCTGGCTCCTCTCGGGTGGATCCCAAACCCGGTTGGCGAGGTGCAGACAGGTCCTCACCATATCTATCTCCTAGGCAGGTCACCTCCGTGGCATTGCGAGGCCTCCCAACTAACTGCCATCCTAGGCGTCCCATAAGCCGGGTTCACTTGGATGAGTTGTCGGCTGAAGTGCCCACGGCCATTCGCCTGCGCTCATCAGCCAGCCTGCCACTCTCTACTGGGATGCTATCCGATGATAGTACTGTGGATACCTCCAGTAGTCAGGGTGCCCGAATGTCCAAAGCATCCTCGCGCACAAAATTCGCTGCCCGTGCAAAGAACGTTCGCCGCCGAGACAGTTCACGCACGCTAAGAGAGCGGGATCGAGGGCGGTCCACGTCTGCCTTGAATCAACCCACCAACTATGATGATACTAGTGGGGTACTGTCGAAAGCACAGCTCACTGAATCGGAGTTCACTCGAGTATCTGTTTATCAAACAAGACATGAGATGCCGCGAGCAGAACCGTGGAGATACCATGCAGACCCCGCGGTACCTCAAACAACGGCTACTAAAAATGGTAATGGCGGTAACAGTGATAATGATGTGCATGAAGACGGGCATAGGGTGGGGGATAGAGATCATGATGCTGATGATAATGATGGTGATGTTCCAATGGATCTCGGCGGGCCATCCCCTGAACAAAGCCCAGAAAATGAACCCAATGATGATCTCAATGACACGTATTCATCCCATTCCTTGGAGCCACCATCGGGGTCACAGTCGTCGGATCCACCCCCGATGTACAAGCAGCCAGAGACCAATGACATCACAGAAGATCAGTTGATCCAAGAGGTGCGCTCGATCTATGCTGGACTAGTGATGGTGGAAAAGAAATGCATCGAGGTCGACAAACAACAAACTGAATCCAATGCCGAGTTATCTGGCCTACAATGGCAAGCAATGATATCCCTGCATCGAACATTACTTTATGAACACCATGATTTTTTTCTGGCCTCCCAACACCCGTCCGCCAGTCAGGTGTTGAAAAAATTGGCCAACAAATATGCAATGCCTGCACGCATGTGGAGATATGGCATTCATTCATTTTTGGAGCTGCTTCGGCAAAAGCTGCCATGCTCTTTCGATTATATGTTGAATTTCATCTACCTCGCATACTCGATGATGACACTCTTACTTGAAAGCGTCGATGCATTTAGCGAGACCTGGATCGAGTGCCTGGGTGATCTAGCACGATATCGCATGGCTGTGGAAGAGTCTGATATGAGAGACCGGGAGGTTTGGGCCGGAGTCTCGCGATACTGGTACAATCAAGACGCTGATCGCAGCCCTGAAGTGGGTCGTATTCAACATCATCTTGCAGTATTAGCTCGTCCAGACGTGCTTCTGCAGCTTTTCCACTACACCAAAGCGTTAGTGAGTGTACGTCCTTTCCCCAATGCGCGAGAGAGTGTGGTCCTTCTCTTCGGTCCGTATAATGGACAAGATCAGAATTTGAATCAGCACACAATGGTCACTGCTTTTATAGCTACTCACAGTGCCCTATTCAATAAATGGCCGGCTGAACAATTCGTCGCCTTGGCAAATCACTTCTTGATACTCTTGCGGAAAGAATCCCGGCACCTGGGTCGTCAGGGTCAAACAGGAGTTTACATTATGTCGTGTAATTTCGCGTCGATCCTTCAATACGGTGACGACGAAGTCGATGCCGATATAGTGATGGAATTTGCTCATAAAAATGATACATCGGCTGCAGGTGCTTCTGAATTTGCGCTCAATTGGACGTCGGGTTTGGACTTGGGCTCGAAAGTGAAGATCAAAGAAAAGGGCCAGCCAACAGATCCTAGCGCCCATCTCCCTGCAATGGTTTTTCACGGCAGTACTCTCGCCTTCCACACACTTTCAGTCTTGCTCGACCAACTAGGTGACCCTAGTATATACCCAGGTGTACATATCTCATTATCATTCATCTGGTGCCTTGCCCTCCACCCGCTCGCCATGCAACCAGTCGACGCATTCATCCCGTGGGTCAGCATCGGGAGATTCCTCAACACTCTTATCGACGCTTTCCTCAACGCTCTCCGTGAATCTAAGATCGACCCCGACAGCGAATTCAACAAAATCGAAGATAGAAACTTCCCACTGGAGGATATGCCGACGCGTCATCTACCGGAGGATTTCCTTATCCGCGGTCAATCCTGGAGCCAGCTCTACTACCCCGACAAATTTTTCGAAGGAGCCCCCTCGGAGGACGACAGACCCGTTATTGAACCAGATACCATTCCCATCCCTCGCATGAGAAGATGCCTGTGGCTAGGCGTGCAAATAGCAACGGTTTGTCGCATTTTTCTTTGGTTCTAGCGCTCAAATATGTTCTTGATAGAGATGGAGAGAAATGAAGCTGATCGATTTGACATGCAGTCCCGTCGTTGGTTAACATACGACAATCGCAGGTTCAACGTTACTCCGGGCGCGCTTGGGAACGCAAAGATTGCAGAATCTTGCGGAGGCCTCAATAGCAGCGCAACTAAATCTTCACATTCTTACGACGGGACTCGGGACAAGATGTGATATGTGGGCATTCTGGTTCACTAATTTTGATGTCAAGGCAAGAATATTTTCCGGATTGAGAGAGTGATGGATTGTCGCGTCAGGACTGAAAGATCCAAAAGCGATCCAAACCCAATGATAGGGATGCTATGGGCATCGAGCTGGAAGGAGCTAAGCAGTCGCTGAAGGATCGTTCCGAAAGCAACAGAGAGAAGCCCATTGAAGATTGCATGGCTAGCACTCATCGATGACTTGACTCGCTGCGTCGTGGAGCACGTTCTTTTCGCAATTCCAGAGTTGCACGGTTGATTCTAGGTCGTCTACTACTGCTAGCTCATGACTGGGTTTCTCACCTTGTGGTGAATAAAGGGAGACGGAGGGCATGAGAATAACCCCGAAGTCACCGCATCCGGTGCGTGTTGTTTCCTCTTTTGTTTTTTTGGGTCCAGCAGGTCGGCCCGACGACTTTGCGTTACGAAGGAAACTGACAATCGTTTGCACTAGAAGATATTTCACGTACTTTGATTTGGGGCATTGTGCTTCTTCTTCGAGTTGATTTGATTGTTCAGCAGAAATACGCCGCGGGATAGCGAAGGCATAACCTGAAAATTTGTAGCTCACTTTGCCTCGAAATTCAACCCTCTGAATCACTCATGGCAGCTTTGTTCTCGTTGGACAGCTTCCAGATATCGAAATCCGTAGTTCGTTCTTTAGAAATTTTATATTTCTTAAGAGTTTCGGAGTTGAAACGACGCAAGGCACGTATCCTTGCCTCGGCAAATCGATGTGCAACAAAGTATACTATGCAACAAAGTATACTAGTTCTACCGATGAGAGAAGCACATGACTGGGTCGTAGCATAATGGAAGGCACTGATAGGGACAATAGCAGTTCAACCCTATTGTGATGCCTACTAGTGCTACCTGACGGCCCACTGGAATGTGTCACCTCGTTTCAAGTGTTCACGTGACCGTGACTCTCCCTTAAAGGAAAGCCGCGCCATTAATTCGCCTGTGTCATCATCTTGAGGACTGCAAACCTTCCATCCAGCCTTAGTCTGTCTGATATTAGCTTCTTAGTTCATGATGGACAAATTCCCGCCAGAAATCGTTCTTCAAATAACGTCACACTTGAGTGCGTTTGATCTCTACCACTTCTTCATCGCTTATCTCACATGTATCCAATTCACACCAGGATGGCTCAGTAGCTCTTTATCATGCAATCCGCATGGGGAGATTGGGCCTGATGAAAGAGATTCCCAACATACGCCAACTCATCAAAGCGATCGATAACTTCACTCGCTACCCTGGCCAACATGACGAGGATTGTTATTTTGCTGGGAAGGAGAGGCAATTTGCAGCGAGTAGCTTCGGCGGCTATATCAATCCGCTAGCTGTTGCAATCATTCAACGCCAGGCACTTTCAACCAAGGCCCTGTAAATTATGGAATTTCTCCTCGACTCTGGTGCCGTTCCAGACGGGTTCGACCTAGTTCATCGACATTCATCTCTGTCTGTTGCCGCGACCCGAGGCGATGATGATGCTTTGTCTCTACTTCTCCGCTTTAGAGCCAACCAAAATTGATACTCTCAGAACACGCTTCTTCCACCCGATGGTGCTGTCCGGGGAGGCCATCTCCAGACACTGAAGCTCCTCATTGGAAACGGCGGTGGTCTGGCATCTGCGGTTCAGACTGATAAATCTTAACACCCGCAAGCCATCACCAGAACTCATGGAAATTTTTCAAAATCTCTACAATCATACAGTGTACTGCATGAACCAGTCTCAAATATTGAGGCTATTCAAGTGGGCCAATCCATCCATTAACATGAAATGTCGACATTCGTCGCGAATTGAGAAGCGGGCGAAGAACAGGAGGAATAAGGTTAATTACAAATTCGAAGAGCAACTCGAGAAATTTCTCTCTCTCTTCACTCGGCCCACCCTTGCATCTAGCACCTAGCGCATCGAACTTGTCCTGACTTGTCACCCTCCACAAACGACGCCTTGCTGGGTCACGTCCACTGAGCCATCGCTAAGGCATAACGGTCGCCCGCCGCGTGTGCTTCTACAAGTCTTGCGCCCGACCTGTGGGGCGATATATGAGAATCAATTCTTCTTCCCATTATAATCATCATGTTGGATAGCCGCTGCAACAGCAGATAATATATCATGGAGTGGCTGGTAACGAGGCTGCTGGGGCTGATCCGAACGCAAGAGCGAACGCCGAACCGCCACCAAAGCCTGTTTCCCTGCGAACGCTCACAGCACCAGCCAAGTCTACAATTCGCCAAGCGATGAGAAAGGATTGAACGTGGCTTGGGAGAAAGGTAAACACGGCAGAGAGATCCTTAGGCTTGAAGTGCAGCCGGTGAAAGCTGTCCTCGAACACACGTCGGCGCACATATGCCAATGAGCTCAGCATTCACACAGATGCGTATAGGTAAGACCAGCCTACGTGCCTGCTTTCACGCCACCAACGAGGCCGACACATAGGACCCCTTCTCTGCTCTGTAATACTGCTTGCAAGACAGGACTTGTTGATAGGAAATCAGTCAAAATTAATACAGGCCAGGAAGTCCGAAGAAGATCATTTCGGGATTTTAGTTAACGCGTCACGGAATAGTGGCTGGCTACTGTATGGAATAGACCATGGATTCCAAGGCGTCCATAAGGGGTTTCTGGAGAGACAATATAACGCCTGAAACCTTCCTCTTGAACCCTCCCTGCCCTTCCAACCTCACCCATTCTATCATTTCTCGCTGCTGCTGTAGATATTCAAACATTTCTGAGGCCAGTGTGTGACTTCTGTGAAGCGTTTCAAAAAGTCCGTGGAGTTCAGGTAAACGCTGAATTTCCACCCTCACGTCGGCCAGTTCCGCTTGTAGGCCATAATGCCCATTGAAATACCACGCAACGTGAGAAAGAAGTGCAAGTATCCCACGGGACTGTTGGCATGCAATGTTTTTGACTTGGCTGGCAAAACCTTTATTATCAACAATGCAGGCCGGACCCCGGTTATGAGGTTGAGTTGCAGCTCTCTGACAAGTATCCGGGTACTTGCCTTTTTCAACACCCAATGAATCTGAACACCAGGATCCGTATGTCCGCAATAATCCCTCGGCCGCTGCGAGAAGGATTTCATTGCAAAGCGGCGTGGGAACACCCTGACCCAAAATTAGAAAAAATCCCGGCCAAAGATTGAATTGAAATTTGGGATGTCTTACCCCTCGTGTTAAAAAACGGCCATCTGAATTTTGGGGGTGCACTTGGTGTCTGAGAATTTTGAAGATGCAGAAATGGTGCAAGCTAGTCTCAACAAGCCATGATCTTCGTGACTATCACAGTCCCCGTATATGTTCGAAAGTATTTTCAGTAATTCTACGACACGTGTAGGCCAATCCGGTTCTCAAAGCTATGTAGAACCTATAAGCGTCCCTATGTGAAGCACTACACCTACAGTACCGATAATGGGTTAGCAACCTTCATCTATCCAGCTATGGCGCCGCGTCCTCGGAAACCCATTGCCATCACCTTTTTGGGGTCAATGGTTTCCGCTAATCCGGCTAGGCCAACCCCATGCATGCGAGAAAGAATTCCCAATGTGATTAGTATCGAACTAAGTACTGCTGATCACGGCGCTTCCCTCCGAATGATGATATGATAGCAGCCCCGGGAGATAGAACGGTATTTATAGTAATGCTATTACCGGTTCAATTCGTACGGCCCTGGCCAATGAGAAGTTATTCTCTCCTATGATCAGGAGCTACGTTTTGACATCTCCCTTGGGGCTTCTCTATTCGGCTGCTTTGGGCGTCAAAATGGGTTCGCCTCTTGTACGAATGACTTCCTGCGGCTTTCTCTAGAGTTGCCAATGAACAGGGTCTAGGTGATCAAGTTTCTAGAAAATACCAATGGATAGAAAGATTGATATAGTTCCCTTGAAGTTTCAGGATAGACCGTGCATTACATTTAATCTCATGAGGTGCCAAAGTATTCATAAGCTGTCGAAAGGAAACCTGAGATCCTTTCATATCGACCCTCTGATCAGTTGGCAAAAGATGTGACCAGACAGTGTAGCGGCAGCCACAGGTCAGAACCATGCAGGGTCAAGTTTATTCTGAGCAATTCTGCATCATTAACAAGTTCATATCATCTGAACTCCTTTGATACCAATCAAGCACAAGTTTTGGGGTTTTTCCGTTCTGTTTTGCTTTTGCGTGTCGCGACAGATACATGCGGTGCACCATCCTGTACTTGCGCTGGGTTGGGGTTCCGGGATCAGTTGTATATTCGTTCGACTCAATCAAGGTCAGCTTGTCCAGCAGCAGCGGGACAGAGTCAAAGTGGTTGTGCACGCGTGCGATTTCCCGTTTAACCACGGCCAGATCTACCACGATGTGGCTGTCGGCAGATATATGGTCTGCCAAATAAACGCCCTCAAGCGGCACATCTTCCAAGATCGCATCGTCGAGACCTTCCGCTCTTATTTTTGCCTTGATATCAGGGCAAGGCCTAGCTAGCCAGGTCCGCACGGTCTAATAAATCAGTATAAACAATAACCATATCGTCACCTTGACACTTACCTCTAACGGTTCTGGCTCCACACTAACGTTGGACTCGTCGTGTTTTGGCATCGAAGTCTTCTAGTCGCGGGGCACTGGATCAAGACGGGGAAGGTGAGAATCGGAACACCCTGCGGGCGTATATATATGTATTCCAAGGCTGCCGGCAAGGCCAGCCCATGTTATCTACTAACAACTCATCACCTTCGTGCAGCGAAGATCAGCTGAATATGGTAAGGGCTTAGATCGGCAACTGCGGACTGAAATGAACTAGATGCGTAGAATCCGAGTTGTAGTCTAGACCATGTTCGAATTCCCACTTAGATAGCTTTGTCTAGTGGACAAAACTATCCAAGACTAAAATTATAAGCCTGACTCATGTGCACGGGGTAGCGTTGAAGAGTTCGAGGATGGATTGGCTCGTGCAAGCCTCGTTGGTCTAGGCTTCCCAGCAACCGGCTCGTATCCTCGAGGTCGATGTGCACGGACCGCTTATTTCTGATTTGAAATTAGTAAGTGGGATGGCGCCCCTTGTCTTGTTACAGATCTTTCCAAACACCATGTCACACATGTTGGTGGGGCAGTCAGTAACCAATGGACACGTGCTACTGATGACAAGAAGTCTTTTCAATTGTTTTTTACCGTCACTTTGAGTTAGTTAGCTCATGCCTTTACGATCCAGGCTCTGAGGGTTTTCTTTTGCTTTGACGCTGCGGCTAACTGTCAAACTTATCCGCGATCGTTCCTCAACTTGGCATCACTTTTTTAAGTATTCCGAGGAATTTCCTAATTATTTGCATCTCGCGGACTCACAATCACTTCGTTCCAGTCTCTTCTCCATCCCTTTTTCATGGCGACACCTCACCATATATCCTCGTCTGAGCTACTAAGCTCTTATATAGACTTACTCCATTCATTCAAAAGGGGACACATACGTAATTTAAGTGACCTGGGTTGCTTTCATAATACTGTAACTAACAAATGTCCTTCTTCCGAGTATCCACTGTTGCTGCTGTTCCGTTTGGGGTGGCTAAGCCTAGGTTTGTAGCCTTAGCAATCAGGCCTCAGAGGCCTTGACTCACCAGTTGCTATGCAGCCTACATTTATATCTAGGCTACTAGCTATGATATTTTACCCGGGGAAGACATCCTCGGTTGAAGGGATTTGCAAACGAGCGGGGTTGCAAACCAAGGGGGGTTGCAAATCAAGGGGGGTTGCAAACCAAGGGGGTTGCAAACCAAGGGGGGTTGCAAACCAAGGGGGGTTGCAAACCAAGGGGGTTGCAAACCAAGGGGGGTTGCAAACCAAGGGGGGTTGCAAACCAAGGGGGGTTGCAAACCAAGGGGGGTTGCAAACCAAGGGGGGTTGCAAATCAAGGGGGGTTGCAAACCAAGGGGGGTTGCAAACCAAGGGGGGTTGCAAACCAAGGGGGGTTGCAAACCAAGGGGGGTTGCAAACCAAGGGGGGTTGCAAACCAAGGGGGGTTGCAAACCAAGGGGGGGTTGCAAACCAAGGGGGGTTGCAAACCCAAGGGGGTTGCAAACCAAGGGGGGTTGCAAACCAAGTGGGGGTTTATGCCGTATGCCCATGTGACATTGGATATGCAGATGATATTGCATGAATAGATTCGCCTAGCAAGTCGGATGGAGCTTAGGGCGTGTTGTAATGAGTTATAGGATGTACAGCGATCCAATCATGACACGGAGAAATGGAGTCAACTCCTTAGTTGCTTTAAAAATAGGGAATATTTGTCTCTTTGTTATCGGTATGCCTGAGTCCAATGTCGAAGAGGCTAGATATCATACCATAACTGAATATCCATGCACTTCTATGAAAATGCTCGTAGTGTTTGTAATATTTCATGATTGCTGGATCTGTTCTCAAAATAACGTTCTTCATGGGTAGAACTCCACCAGGCAATTTTGAAAACTCTCACACTTCTTATCAATTGGCTGTTTCCGGTACAGCAATGATACACCCAACGCGGTCTATGCCCACATGGCCCTGAGCTTCGCGTTGATCTCCTCCTGTAGCAGCTTGAACGCCTTCAACACCATCAGTATATGATCAAAAATACACCGCTAACGCGTTGCAGGTGGGGACGATCGAATCGAACTCCCGTGCTCAGCGACAGGGGTGGTCAAAAAAACGCGACGCTAGCGCTGCAGGAGGGGATATGTACTAATAGAAGTTAGGAATAGTGTCTGTGGATTGGGCTTCATTATATGTCCCCGTATCTGTAGGGGGCATGGCAGTAAAAATTATTCTGATCGTAATGTAGAAATGTTTTACCATCGTTTTTTACATCACTTTTGCATCACTTTACCATCATTTTTAATATCTGATAGGTCACAATGGAAATGGCTGGCAAGCATGAATTGATGATAACAGGCTAAAAGCAGCCATCAGAAACTTGGTCTATCCAATATTGTGCATCGCCACAACATTATGGTAGTAAACGAAATTAGCATATAGAACAGCAGGATCATAATCAATCAATCGATCTTTACGCGGCCCTGAAAATATTAGTTCTTGTATTATCGATCTACCCGCAAATTGGTGGCTTCAGCTGTTCCCAGGAAGAATTCGAAGGATCGTGAAATGGCGAAAGGGGTTACTTACGGGTCTTTCACTCCGGTCTAACCCAGAATTACAGATTATTTTGACCTGGGATATCACGAGTTCTAGACCGATGATCAAAACCACCTACCCCCGGTCGAGTTTATTTACAGAGTTGCAGCTCCCTTAATTCCGGTTTGTAGCGTATCACAGAACGCGAAAAATGGCTCCATCAATCATACTTCGAACGTATAGACACTCTTAGTGGCTTTTTGGCTCTCACTCTCAACCTATCTCGCTCGCCATTATTGGCATTACAGATATGGCGGCTGAGCGCGGAACAGCTTGACTGGGGGTATGGAGAACAATATAGCCATAGTTATGAAAGAAAGGAATGAAGAGAATAAATACGATGTGTGTATTGGTACCAAAAATTAACTTGGTACCAAAATTGGCCTCTGCTAGACCCTTTCCTCTGGGCGTCATTCTGGGATGAACAATGACTCTCAGGGTCGCAGACCCCATAGAACTCCGGGGCGACATAGGCAGAATGGCATATTGCGCAAAGAAACTAGGGGACTCATCACAAAGATAGGACGAGGACGACTTATCAACATGTTTGATTTCAACTCATTACTTGCACTTTCACTAGGAACTGTGACATTATACGAAACCTTAGTATCTCTTTCAAGTTGATTCCACAGCGTGGACTACGAAACGCAATCCACTTTTGTAATGGCCACATTTGCTTCCTCTCGTCTGGATTCATTAATGGACTCATCGTCTTCTCTTGTCATTTAGGGACACAGCCAGCTGCCTCCACTGGGATGTGCATATCGGAATTGCAGCATGGGGCTCTATAATGATCAGCGGGTGAAATTTGTGACTCACCGATACCTCGTTTGGGAATTTTATTCCCTTTGTGAATGAGAACGATCCTTCTTGTTTTTGTTTTTTTGTTTTGATCTAGGCACCAGCAAAGCATCTAATAGGTACGATAGAATCGGAAAAAAGACACCTGTCCAATTTCATCTGGCTCTATAAATCTCTTGGTGGCATCTATCGATGGACCGTTCAATCCCATATTCCACTGAATCACGATCTAATCAGACTTACTGCATTGAATCCAAATTTCTACCCATGATGATGTTGATGAAGGCTATCTGGACTGAAGCAACTCGGTTCAACAGAGTAACGGGAAAATCATGGACCATTGGGTTTCTGTTGTCGCTGATCCTAATTGGTTCGTGGAGATTTAAACACTGCCCTCGGCACATAGATCTGGCTCTCTAATATCGTGTTAGCTCTATCTACTTCCTTCAGTCTTGATCCGCTTATGGCATGCTTGGTGGAGTTTGTGGCCATTATGTGAGTGGTTTGGAATGGTTGAATGGATGCTATGGCCTTTACTAAACGAGCGATGGAAAAGCTTTTTCAGAAAGGTTCAAGTCCTCTTTTGGGACGATGCCATCAAAAGCCGGTATGCTACTACTTGTATTCTAGGAAAGTCATATTGTTGACACTCTCCTTAGGTTTGGAGATATCGCGATGGTCATTCTGGAATCGATCGCACAGTGCGGCTCCCTTCCTTGCTCAGTCGGACTCAGAGCGCTGATAATATTAGAAACTCCACCGAATTCATAATCTGCTATCTCGGCGTCATCCAGAGCAATACGACATGGATCGGTAACTTTGTTCAGGGTTGTCTCTGGTTACGGTTGTTTTTCTTGCTTGGTTGCTGTCTGACCCAGGCAAAGGTCAACTCACTAAATCGTTTATTCCTAGAAACAGAAGCCAAGTCCGCAGGCATCCTTGCCAGCGCGGTATTCTGCTTGATTGCTCACAATTTCCTACGCTGTGAAACAAGTTCTGCTGGTTCAATTCAAGGTCCTTGGCTCGCGAGGCTGGACTTTTCTCCGATGGGCGCTACGACAGTCGTCCTTATCCTACTGTCGGGTTACCATGTCTATTTGCAGCAACAGCCCGTATTGATTTGCCCGGAGACCAGATCTACCGGATGCCTGCCACAGTTTTATCTATGGTTCTCGCTGCCGTTAGTCGGCGTCTCGACTGCACTTATCGCCTGGTATTTGAGCCACATGGTACGTGTTTTCCAGCTTCTTGCCTTCATCACGGGCTTATTGCTAATCATTCAGCCAGTTTCACTCCCTCCAGACTCTAATATCTGACGGGAAATTTTCTGAGCTATTTGTGGGCCAATTTATCCTTCCATTAGTGTGTAACACTATAAATCACCTCCGGATAGCGACGTATACATGCCGACATCGTCCACATACGGCATTTCGGTATGTTCAGTACTGGAGTGTCACATTCTTGGTTTTCGTCTTACCATTCGTTTCGTTGGTGGGATACGCATGGGGTACGTCGTCAAGAACACGAGAGTCATGGTAGCCGCGCTAACCCTGGACTAGGAAGCAACGTTTCGGTATGGTGCACTGTCATAAGGGCCATGGGGAGCTTTTACTGACATCCATAGACGCTATCTACTGACTTGGTAACCTTGAAATGGGCCCTGCTGCCAATCGCGATGGTAAATAAGGAGCCCACCACCTATTCCACATGAGAGATCGCTGATCATGGACACCTGCAGCTTGCCTGGATTAACACTGGTGGTTCTTTTCACTGGACTATGGGAGCCGGCCTCATCGGGTGCTATGCCAGGTTTATAATAACGGCGTGGAATGGTGTAGAAATACCACTAGCTCATGCGCCATAACCCGGGGAACCGTGAATGCTATTCTTCGATTGCTGGGCTATATTGGGTATTTTAACATACAGCAGCTGCTATATGCTATTTGTTCTCCGTCTGCCCACTTTTTCTTCGTATCACTTTTCTAAACCCACCAATAGCTGACCTTACACAAAGTCGTTGACTTTAGGCAGTACAAAGAATGTGAACTGCCGGAATTATGTCGTCGCAAATGCCTTGAGTGGATCTGTTACTATCGTCTCTCTTGGGCTCTATAACCTAGGACTCTATCTGACGATTGACATGAGTGAATACTTGATGCCGGTATTCTCCCGCTTGAGCTTAGCGCAGGCTGACTCTCTCGGCCACATGGATGGCTGTGAACCCTGCTGGCGTGTGGTGGCTGTAACGTAGCTTTCAGCTAAATAAATACCCTAGCATGGGTGACTGCAAACGACAAGTAGCAGGAGGTAGAGTATAGGATAAAGGGGAACTAAAAAGCAGAGCAGTATCATAGCCATTTTACGCTCTACACAGGCTTTGCTCCACCATGTTTGTTTGATAACAATACCAGTTCTAGGCTTTCGTGGACCAGGAGGAAACGATGTTTCATGAGTTCGCTAAGGAGTCCGATTGAACAACCCCCTATAGATACTTGGAGAATGAACTATGAACCCCTGCAACTACCATTTGAAATACTCTAATGGACATCCTTCTCCAGGAGCTCATAGACTATGTATCTTGCGTCTCTTCTGGTGTTATATTCGTCCACTCCAATGTTAAAATTTCCAATGCCAGTGTTTCGTCCAACGTTCTGCCTATTGCTGTAACTGCTGTCTTCGGAATTGGGCCCCTTCCAAATTCGATGTTAGGCCTAATAGCGAAAATGAACTGTTGAGGCCCAAAGAAATATTTATGTGTGGAAGACTCGAACTCAACATAATTTGTTTGCGTCCGATGTCGATTCGAAAGCACGGAGGCCGAAGAGCCCATTTTGGTATTTCTCCAAGCTAGTTCTGAACTCCTTACGTCTAGGTAACATTGACCAGGCAATCGCGTATTTGCTCTACCAGGAGGCTTCTAGTGTTCGAGCAGTCAACCGTTGATTTTGTCAGCTGGTAACGACAGGTCGATTAAGCTCTGGCGCATGAGTGGTTTGTTGGTTTCAGTACAGCTCATTGGATCCCAGTCATGCAGATACTGAGGCATTGGAGATTGGTGTCTGCCGCGGTCACTCCGAGAATGTTTCTGCTTGCCTCTTCCACCACTACCAAGACCTAATCCTCTCCGTCGGCGGAGATGGCACAATTTGTGTGTGGCATCGCAGCAAGCTGACCACCGTCCGGTCTTTCAAACGGGACACCACCCGGTTCTGGGCTAACGTTTCTCATCCAAAGAGGAATCTATTCGCCACTTCCCACGATACCGGTGCGATGGTGTTCAAGCTGGAACGTGAGGGCCTTGCCTCCACTCTTTACCGGGAGAGGCTCGTCTACGTTACGAACAAGAAAGATGTAAAGTCATTGTAAAGTCATACGACTTCGGCAAAGATGTCGACATGCCTCCTATCCTGTCGCTTCGCCATAAGGCTCTTCCTCGAACCCTCTCGTATAACCGCGCCACGTATGCCATCCTGCTCACTTACCCCAACCATCCTGGAACATATGAGCTCATGTCTTTGACTCGCAACGCAAAACGTGCTGATGAGTCCACCGTTATCAGCAGCGACCCTGCTAAAACTACTTCTTTGCCACCCTTAACCGTTTCGCCGTTTTCAATTCTGCTACCCAGCAGGTCGATATCAAGGACCTGAGAAACTCCACAATGAAGATTATTAAGACCCCAGGTGGTACGAAAGACATGTACTTTGGTGGCACTGGACGCCTGCTCTTATTACGCACACTACCGTTACTCTCTTCGATGTCCAACAGAATAAGCAGTTGGCTGAGATTGCGGTCGGTGGTGTGAAGTAAGTGGTCTGGTCGGCGAATGGCCTATGTTGTGCACTGCTCAGCAACCACAATGTTACAATTGCTACCGCCGCTCTACGGAGAATGAGCACCTTACACGAGAATATTCGTATCAAGAGCGCTAGTTGGGATGATTCTGGTGTGCTTATCTACTCGACTCTCAATCACATCAAGTACTCGCTACTGAACGGGTATGTTATTGCGTTATTTGTTTTATCCGACATCTATGCTAACGATTTATCGACATGCGGCAATGATAGTGGAATTGTCCGCGCCTTTGACCAACACGTCTACCTTGTCCGCGTCACAGGATCCAATTTGTACTGCCTCGACTGCAACGCCCAGCCTCAGATCCTTTCCATCAACCCTGCAGAGTATCGATTCAAGTTGGCACTAGTCACAAAAAACCATAAAATGATGCTTCAGGCCGTCAAGAACACCACACTGGTCGGTCTGAGTATCATTTCGTACATCCAAAAGAAGGGCTATCCCGAGATTGCTATGCAATGTGTACGGGACCCGCGGACACGTTTCGATTTGGCCCTAGAGTGTGATAATTTCAAGGCCGCTATCGTTATCGCTCGCAGAATAGATGATCCTAGCTACTGGGACCGACTGGGACCACAGGCCTTGGCTCATGGTAACCACAAAACTGCGGAAATGACGTACCGGAAGCAGCGCAACTTCAAGAAGCTCTCCTTCCTCTATCTCGCCACTGGTAATCAGGAGAAGCTGTCCCGCATGGCCCAGATGTCTAAGCTCCGTGGAGACTTTGTCGGCCGCTTCCAGAACGCCATCTACCGTGGTGACGTTGTGGATCGCATCCAATTGTTGAAGAAGGTGGATCAGTATAGGTGTTTCAGACTTAGTTTATTCTGCCTTGAGTTTCCTGGAATACTAATTCTCCTATAGCCCCCTTGCTTACCTTGTGGCAAAGACAAAATGACTTTAATGAGAAAGCTGAGCCCATTCATGAGGCTAGCGGTCTCACGGAAGACCAGATAGTCCTACCCTGGTTCGAGATGCCCCTCACAGTCCCGCATCCTATTGTTCCCACCTTCAAATCAAACCGGCCTGTCAGGACGACTGATCCCTCTTCGTTCAAGAAGGCCTTGGTCGGCTGGGCCGATTCTGGGGACAAGGCGGCTACTGATGGCTTCGAGGTTGAAGGCGATATGGAGGCTGGTCTCGGCAAGAACTTCGATGAGGAGGTCAATGCCTGTAACCGGGAGGGAGATGATATTAGTTTTGGGCTCTTGCATGATGGGAACATCGAATCCAACGACAGACACACCATGGAAAGCAAATGCACGAAAGCTTCGTGTCCCGGCGTACAGTGTTCGTGATGACTCGATGTACGCCGAAGACGAGTCTGTTTACGAATAATCCATTTCCTGGCATCTACTTGGAGGACTGATGATGTTACAAATGGCAACCGGGGATCCAAAAGCCCTTTCATGGACATTTCGTTGTGAGCCTTAGGGCAGCTTATAGCTCTAAGCAAGCTACCCGTAAGAAATGATCGAACTAATACCTCGCCCGCCGTGCACCTGGGTTAATGTAGTGATAGGATGTACGTATGAATGACCTTTACTTAGCTTTACTTGACATGACTAAAACATCCCTTGCGACTTCATGAATATTCTGAGTCATGGTTTTGTGTGGACGCTTCCGCCTCCACTAACATTATCTCAGGCCCACTCAAAACCTTCGCCGATCTATATCCACCTCCATGACTATGAATATTTTCAACCACCAGCGATGCTAAATAAATCCAGCAGCGACCAGGTTGGTTCAGCCGGGAATGGAACCGTAGAGCCTGAGGGCACTTTTGCTCCGCTTACAATTTGTCCTTCGATGGATGTCTACTATAGACCCTTTGAGCTAATCTAAGTAACATTTATCGGAAAGACCGTTGCATGAGGTACTCAAAACGTAGACTGAGGATCGCTTAGGCTTTCCGATTACCAGATGGAACGAATCCCTTCTGGTTCACCCACAGTCGCGGTGACTCCGTCTCGAAATCCAGCTCTCTGAATATCAATACTATCAAAAGTTTCAAGCGGGTAAACGAAATCAACAGTTTTTAGCGAAAGCAATACTGCACGGCTTAACTGGCCTAGATGGCAGATAAGTGCTTCCCTTTCGGGCTCAAGCAGACTGACTGTCAAATTTTCCAAGCGACCAGGGAACACAGACTCCGTCGATAAAATCCGCTGATCAACTCTCAAAGATCTCAAAGAAGCGAAACACTCAAGCGATCCCAGTTGCCCCCAAGTATTATCAAGGTCATCGGGTAGGTCCTGATCCGTGTGTTCGACGCCGACGAAATAACAAGGAAACTCCAAGACCAGTGATTCTAGGCCGTCTTTGAAGGGAGTAAGGGCCTGAACGATCTGGAATGTGTTAAAATGGGAATCAATGTCCGAAGCCCCGCATGATACAGGATGGCGATGTTCAAATGTCATTAACCCTTTGCAATGCCGGAAAATTTTGCTGATACCATCGAAATCCAATTAGCTACACTCGAACTCCAGATGCTGCAACTTCAATTCATTCGACAGTTCAATGATGCCGGCCGATGGAAAGCCCTTTAGGTGTAACGCCGATATAGATGGAGCAAACCCAAAAGGTTGCCGCTTGAATAGCTCATCCCCGTCTGAGCGGAAACCAGGATGCTGTTCGCCCTAGAGCTCAGGCAGATTGGGAAACTGAAGCCCTTGAAGAGAGTGAAGTGTAAATCCGTCGATCGGCGGGCATAAAAAGCGAAGATTTAAAGCAGTCATGTGTAATATTAGTTTTAGACGATATGCAAAGTGGGAGACCTTCTAATACAAGGCGTGGTCCCCATTCATTGAGCAAGAAATTCTTAATCAAGTTGCTCAATGGGCTGGAACTAGAAATGGCTGCCCACAACAGACCAAGTCGCTTCCATATGTCGGGGTGGCTAGAGCTTGCCTTGACAGTTTTGAACACCAAAGGCTGCGCAAAGTCTCAGAACCATTTTGAGACAAGGCAGAGTGGTATCAGGGACTGGAGATCCAGATTCTCCATGATCATCAACATAATCTTGGCCGATATGCATTCCATATGGGATGTGACTCTGAAGATATTGGGCTGGCTGTGTTTGCAGATACAGTACAATCAGATTGAGAGGTATGGCAACCCAAAGTAAATCAAAGAGGCGACGGCGGCTTTACGTGCAGATGCGCCTCGCCACGTGATACCAAGTGGAAAACGGAATGCCTTGTCGGAATACTGCTCAGTGGGTCATACTAGTGTACCAATAGGATATTAATAGGTCTAAATTACTATCAAGCCCCTAACTGGCAATTTGGATGGGCTCAGAATACCTGACTAAGCTACGCGGGAGAGAATTAACTAACTAGTCCTTAGTTAGGAGGTGTCATGTTTCGTATACCACTCTTCTGCCTAAGATGATTGCCCGTGCCCTGCGACAGTTACTCAATATATCAGCCATCAGACACAGAAGGTTTAGTCATTGGCCCCGCAGTTCCGGTTGAAAGAAAGTGGACAAAGACGATATTTGAGGGCCTTCTCTTGCCATTTGGCGCACTACCAACTGCCTCCATTGGAATATGCATATCAGAGTTGCCGCATGGGGCTCTATAAATGATCAGCGGGCGAAATTTGTGACTTACTCATACCCCCACTCGGGCTTTTTACACCCCTAACTACATAATATTCTGCCGCTCACAGTATTGAAATATCCGTCCAAGATCAGCCGGGCCGTCCCTATAAGATTATCCACGCCGCTCTCCATATCTAGAAAGAAACATCCCTTTTAATCAAAATGGGAAACCAACCAAATCCTTCTCGGTAAATGGAATACAAGATAGGAGGCAACCACATAAAGGGGGCCAGTCGTATGAGCCATCCTATCATCGAATCACCCCTGGAGGGTTGACCGGGGTGTGCTGTGCGTGCGTCCTGCTTAAATCCAAGCCAAAGAATGGACTAGTAGCGTGATACATAATTACCTGAGGTCGATCGAATGAGATGCTGGTAAAATGGGTGCGGTTGAACCTGGGTGCGGTTGAACCTGGATGCGGTTGAACCTGGGTGCGGTTGAACCTGGGTGCGGTTGAACCTGGGCGCGTGCAGTTGAACCTAAGTGTGGTTAAAAACATGTTTTTTTTGATAGAGTAGGTCTATAAGAAGTGCGGCATATCCGATGACAGTTGAGTTTCCAAGAGTAAGAAAATGACTCTCCCTCCACCTACCGCTCTTTGCCGCTCCCTCTGCCCATCGCACTTTGTCGCCACAATACGCGATTATATACCACCCTGGATTAGCGAGATCCAGCGCGAGTCTTTGATGCAGAAATTTGACCTTTTCCGGAAATTGATTGGTGACGGCTCATTTCAAGTCGTTGACGGCGTTCCCTTCCCAGACGTGAATTGTTGCGAAGCTATGATGCCAGCGCTCCGACAATTTATAAGTTGGTTTTCCTCAAGCCTGTATTGCTAGGTTCTAATTGATGTTTTAGATCTGCTAGACGAAGATCAAGAAGGGAAATGTCCTGTCAAGTATAAAGAGGCGATTGGACTTAGTTTACAAGAAGTCGAGGACATACTAGACCACGCACTAATGCTGTACGACTACTGTGCTGGACCGGTATGTCAATGAGCTCCTCGTCCAATGTGATCCTATGCTCATAATCTCATGTTAATTCGGCAGGAAAGCCTGGAAGGTCGGGTGTGACGTCCCGGATGACGGGAACCATGAGTGCCAAATATGGATGATAATATGGGGCGCCCTTACCGAGGGGCAAATAAAACATCACCCCAACAGATGGCTTTCATTCCCTTTTTCTTCTCCAGTCTTGATACCTTGGTTTAAAGCATAGAGTAGCCAATATTTCAGTTTGACTCGTAACAGTAGAATATACTTGATGCAGCTGGTGATAGCTATGAATATATACGGTTATGATGCCGCCTTTCGAGTTCCGAGTTACGTTCCGCCGTGATCGATGTAATCGATAAGAGCTTTCATAGCCAAATTGCTTATCTTGCCGTGCTAGCACTGTAAAGTGATGCATGATGCTAAACAAATCCATTAGAACAAAAACATAACTATTGTTACTCTTAGCTGCAGGGGCTAAGTTATCTCGTTTCCGTTTTGATTTCGCCGGCAGCGAATTTGCACGCCAGACTCATAACAATGTGAGGAGGACCGACTGTACGGTCTGGGTCTTGGGCGAACATGGACAGAGACGTAGCCTTTTCTTCTTGGCTTTGGGATGTGAGTGGTCTGGGAAGAGATGGAATGCACCTGAGTCTCGCAGGTAGCGATTCACAGTTACAAAATCCTAGAATAATTTGGGTGCGTCTGCTGGCACGACATTAAAATTCTGGCGAACTGATTTTTGCCAAGCCTTTCACGCCTTACAATTTACCAATTCAACCACACTCTTTCTTCTTATTGCCATGGTCGAGTCCAGGCCTAACCACTCTCCAGGCCTAGCCACTCTTCACGATGTCCCTTAAGGTGGCTATCAAGGTAGGCAGGTGGGACAGCATGCCCGCAGGGGATGCACACCAGCACCTGGCATTCTGAGAGTTAGCGAAAATTCTCCATCATGGCCACTGGTAGGGTCGACGCGTTCAGCGAGCGAGGGCGGTTATGGGGGATGACGCTATGTATTTGGCCAAGTGTAGGAGTACGCCAATAGGTCGCTTATCCATCAGGATCCTCATAAACAACCTCTATCAATTAATAATCCTGAACGAACTCTTTGAGGACGCGCTCGTACGCGTTGGGTGCGTGGCGATTCCCGGGAGAGTCAGTGGTAACTACTGGGGTTGACCCCCCCACATCCTCAGGGAGAGAAGTTGGAGGGAGCCCTCCCTCCTTCAAGGCAAGGGGATAAGTCGATTCCACTCAGTAGGTTTAGAAAGAAACAGAGTGGGATACGGCGTGATATCATTCGCTACTCTCAAGTCGCGGCTTTTTAGCATAGAAACCGCAAAAATGAAACCGAAGGCATAAAAAATTAGAATGAAGCTCAATGAAGATCAGAAAATTTTAGCCACGCAGGTTACACTCCGCACCGATCAGTTAGATAATGCTTATCGATGGTAATCAAACCACATCATCTCCGATAATCCGGGGTACGTCAATTTCAAAGCCTCCAGTTCCACTTCATCCCTAGTCTCTGAAAGTAGCCAAACAAATCTCTTTTCGGCACGTACCCAGCATACGTTCTCTGCCATGCTGCCGCAAATGAACCTTCGATAGGTCCCAATTCCCCAAAGCCGAGTATCTCAAGAGCCCAGGACGTCAATAATGCGAGGACGCCAAGTGCAATCAGTGTGGCATAAACAGGATGATCTATTGCAAAGCTGGCAGCAGCTTTCTTACTTTGAGCAAGAACTTCAGTCGCTGCTCGGGCCATCTCCGTGCCGTTCTTGATTGCATTCTGCAATCCATCCAGAATAGCTTTTGCTACGGTATCGGACCAGCCGTTGATGCGAATCACCTCGTTCAGTTCTTTTTGGAGTGAACTGCGTGTGTCGGCCTCGAGGATCTTGGTGACAATTTCAGAAGCAACGGACTCGGACGATCTATGATTGGCAAGGGACAGCGACCTGTTCGACTGCGTTCCAAATATGCACTGGAATATAAAGTCAAGCATATTGGTGATTGCTCAGAGTAGCTGGTACTCTCTATTTTTGTAGAAGCAGTGCTTGATCTGCCGTCTGGTAAGTGAAATGGGAGGTTCAGAGAGCTTGAGAAGCGGTTCGAAAATATTTGTGGATAGCGAAGGGTGTTGGGAAAAATAAAAAACTGGCGGTGAAAGGGGGATGAAAGAAAATGGGGAAAAGGTAAGGAGGCACGTCTGTGTCTCAAAAGAATCAAAAGCTTGTCGGATTGTCTCACCCGTAGCACTGACCACCGTACCCCTGAGCAAGCTCAGGTGGAAAGCGACAGATCAATCTTTCTTAATACCTCGTTATCGACCATAAAGTACTCGTCTAGACCCTTCTTTTATGCACACCGCGCTGGCACGGGCATAAGATTGTAGAGTTGATGCGCCTACATCGCACGCTTTGTGCTTTCTCATACATAAATTGTATGCGCAACAAAACAGTGGGGTACATCGTTCAAGACTGGGCGGTATTGAGGTGATAGATTTGCCTCTGCTCTTACACCCGCTCGATTTACGGGCTATTTTCAGGCGCTCCAGGCGCTTATCCGGGTCGGCGTGTGGACCACTCAAGAAACACTGTCCACAGTCCCTACACAAATAGTTGGACGGGCTGACACCAGAGACGCAGCCATGGAAGGTCCTAAAATGTAAGAGCAGCACAAGTCCAGGATTGTTCCTGACAAATGACTTTGCGTTTCTTTTTCTTGATCCTATCATTTAATTTTTCAGGGAAGCTGCACTGCAAAGAATGCTACCGCATATCTGTGAATACAACCCTTACGAGACGTCATCTGGACGGTAGACCCGCTCGTTGGGAGCCAAATCTGTATGCAAAGCACCGAGCCTCAACCTCAGCTCCTGCCGATGTGGAGTAATCGGGCAGGTCTTTAGCCCCCTTCAGCCTACCCCCACTGACATGGCCCTTCAAAACAATCTGATATCTGTTGAATATTTCACAGGTTTGGGGCCTCAAATAATATTTCATGTTAAGGGCTCCGCAAACTTAGGATGATGTTAGAATGGGGAGATTCCTACAGACCCGTGCCGGAGTTGAGAAACTCGCCGGTGCCGAGAACGAGTGTCGAACACCTGATTCTGTGCAAATCAACCTGCCTGTCTCCAGTCCTCATACTTGCGAGGCGAGTCGTTGCCGTAGGTCAGGCCAACGTACATCTCTCCTCTAAAACTATGAGTTATTTTCGGTATATTTGGCAATCAACCAGCAACCACTATATCGCTATGACGACAACCGGGACATCGCTCCGCGCACCCTTGGAACTTACATCTGTTGAATTGACCAACACGCATGTAGGAAATTCATCATCCGTAAGTGAAAGATTGACTTGATTTGCAGCGCAGGGTCGCGCGGGTGCCGATCGGGAGCATGTTGGCAAGAACTGGGCATATTACTTTCCATCACGCCCACCAAAACACCCTCTCACTTGCTCCAGTGAAGCGGAAGCTAAAGGAATCGAAGTGGATTAAAGCTGAAGATGCGAGGCCTCCCTCTTTCTGGGTATCATCGGCTTGCGACACTACTGAAAGGTGTACCATTCCGGCTAGTCTATAATTTCGACGAATGTGGTGTCCAACCTGGCCAGGGCCAGTTTCGTAAGGTCATTAGGGATAAACCACACTGCTCTGACCCTGCTGAGGCCGAGAGAGGCTAGATTATTACTGGCTCGAGTATGGGCGACTACCTCCTTATGTCACGGGATAATTACGTTGAGCCACAGCTTGAACTCTGATGGTGGTTTAGTAAAGCGACTTACGCTGGCTTGATCGTATTCATTAAGTTGACATGACAAGATCGACCCGATTGCGTGCCGCATCTGTCTTTTGACTGTGCTCTACGGCCGCAGAGATTCGGGGGATAGCGGAGACACCTATGGCACTATGTAGAATATAGTCTAGGAGAGTGATGTAGAAGAGAACGCAGGTGCGGTTCTATGTCACCGAAGCGTCTTGGGTGAAACCTTTCGTTGGCTTTTGCATAGGATCAGGCATATATGCGAGTGCAGCGAGTTTCGTGAAAGTATAGCCCTGGCTGTAGTCGCGCCATCGGGTCATGGCAAGGGCTGTATTCAATGTAATCACGATCCGTCGTGATTGCTGGGTTGTACTCTGTCTCCTTTTGCTCACATTGACAGGTCTGCTCGTAGATCTATTTGCGAAAATCCACGACTTAGTGACATGATCTTACTTTCTGCAAATACGCTAATGAAGCGTCCAAATAGGAAAGGCTGCATAACTTTTCCATGAGATCTATGCTACGTTACCCATATCTTATTCATATCCCTGCTTATTTAACGTGACCTGGTATATGATAAACAGTGAAGCGAAACATTAGTTCATAATCACGGTCATGGCCTCTGAAAATATGTATGGGACCTGGATTCTCGGTTCGGGTGTGCGATGTTCGCTACTTGCCTCTGTTGGGTAGCTGGACGGAGGGTACACTTCTGCAAATTTAAGGGGGAGGCCAGATTTTTTTGGCGCCCCCCTCCGGGGCCCGGCCGGAATACCTTTAGGAAAGAACAAAAAGTCTTAGCGCCTCTCTTTACGTACTTATTGGTGCAACGATGCGTCGCGTGTCGAGTGACGGAAGACACATTGCTTCTTCTGATACCCCTAATCCCTATCGACTCGATGACCAGAGATTGCTGACGGTGCTGATAAATAAACATTATTGGAAGATATAGAGACAGAAATGATATCTCCGATATCTGAGCATGTGGAAAGCATGTCTCGATCTAAAAGAATAATACATACGATGGTAGGAGTACTGCTCGGGAAACATAAGGGCATGGAGATGGACCGTAATGGTGGGACAGGTCGTTGCAGTCAACCGGACTCTTTACTGCGGGGTGCACGGACGAAAAGCGTGAAATGGTTGACCATTTCACCGAAGTCTTGTTTACTAGTAGGAGTAAGGCCGTAGCGTACCTCCTGGGCCGGGGTTGTGGGATCCGGGGATCGCCTGCAGATAAGTACCGCTTGATTGGTCCACGTAGCTGCCAAGCCAGCCCAGTCTCTTGATAGTTGGAAAGTCGCCGCAGGCGGGTCCTGAGCAGCGAGACGGTCCTTAAAACTACATGATAACATTGTTAATGAACTTCAAATGTCAACTCTCCATCTTCAATATATTGATTTTTTTCTTCATTGATCTTTCTTCCTTAACATGGAGTGCCTACATATTCTTGTTGAACATCGATTGCTACCGGTGATTTGGGGAGCTAACGATGCGAGCGGGGACATTCTGAGCACATTCAAGAATGGTAGTTCAAGTGACGTAGTCTCGCATAGCGTCACACAGCAGAGTACCACAGGGAGTAAGTAGCAAGGCGCTCATACACTATGGTCTGTCTACCCAGTATGAAGACGCAGAGTGTTTAAGAATCCCAGCAGACTTCCTCACGGACTTCTTCCACTGAACACATATCTTCCATACTGACTACGATCTAGTCGCTTCTCGTCAATATGACTAGAAAGGATATTTCAAATTTGATGAGCGGTCTCAACATTAATTCGACACCGCAGAATAAGAGCACTCTGGGTTCTGGCAGAAACTATACCAATGAGTCAAAGCCACACAAAAGACAACGTCAGCGTCGAGGTCGTTCTCAGCGAGGAAATAATAAGGACCCATCGACCCAGCAGAATGGCAAACCAGACAGCAGCATGCAAAATCATGACCACCCACCTAGAACAAATAAAACCGTCAGGATGCCAGAGCAGCTTTCACCACCGAAACGCAATTCAGCCCTACGACAAAATCGCATTGGAACTAGGTGGTTGGATTGAATGGAGATCCGATATCGTTTGGGTGAGCAGTATCGTATGGGTGGCGGACCCTCGCTCCACGAGGGTCCGTAAAAAATAGTATTTTTTGTAAGGGTCCGGTTAAGTCCCACCACCGTCCGTACGGAATACCATCCGGTTCCATCCCCCACAGAGTCTAGCCCCTTTCAACCGCTTACTAAGGACGAGGCTGCCTTCATTATAAAGCTTACCCTTTGCGCTCTTCCTCTTCTCAAATTCGACTTGAACGCAATTACTTCCAAAATTTTGGAGAAATCATTTTCACGCTCCGATTTCATCTTGCGACGAATGACCTCGTTGGTCCTGGCGCAAAAATTAATACCAACGTACTAGCCGTAGCGCGGGATGTCGTCGGCCGAGGGGGGAGCAATCGAGGATATTTGCGACCAATGGTTTCGGGACTTCCAAGACCTTCGTAAGGTGTTGTTCGAAAGCAGAGGCTTCCTATCGGGGTCATGGCTCCTTGCGAAACTGTTAAAGATACATGGGCGGGAAGTCCCTTGGGACACCAGCGGATGCGGCGTAGATCTATTTGTGCCGGGGGAGCCACCCATCATTAGAGGTGGATACCTCGTCGAACCTGATCCAGTTGTTTTATATCTCTATTCTGAGGGTTATAAACCTGAGAATCCAATCATCAGGGATGATCTCAAGGTATGATTCTCTTTTGCCTGACTTTGTAACATGCTAACGTCGAGAACGAAGGTGCTCGGTTTTTGCAGACCGCATAACAGCAGCTTCAACCTGCAAGTATACTATACCGGATCGCAGCACCCATTGAAGACGATGATGAAAATGTATCCGTTGTCGGTTCTATTCAATGTAATGACGTGGAGAGGGGTCTATTCACTCTTCCCCAAGCTCCTCGTTTCTGGTTTCATGTTTGCGTTGCAGTTGGATGCTAAATCCCTTGGAAGCCTCCACGTGGAGGAATTTATTGGCTTATACACGACAAGGGGCTTTGTGGAACTTTCACCCAACGACCCCAACATCGATGGGGGGCTAGTATCAAAGGGGTCTGACGTGCGAAGGTTCAATGATAAGCTATCGTGGTCTCGACGATTTTATGGCAACCTTGAGATAGAAGAGGGATGGCAAGGCGACAGCATCGCAGAACATGCCATTAAACTAACATCTCAAGAGGGCAAATGGACCATCCGCTTGGTTTCGAAGAAGGCCGGGAAAGTAGGTGGATCGACTGCTTAGTACCAAGCTCAGCCGAGGCGTGTTCCACATGGCATCTGAGAAATTCAAAATCCAAGTTTCCGGGACCACTGGATCATTGTTTATACTATATTTCCGTGATTTGGCATGGATGCCTTGCGACATCTGCTGGCTTGGGCCCTTTGCCTCCCGTGGTTGCGCTTTCCACCTCAGGCGAAATGAACATTAGATGTCTTCTCGTGGAGCTAGTTACTACACTACGTAATTCATTTCCCTTGCAATTTGAATGTGCAGTACTACACCCTCTATCAAAAAGTTTCCCGACACTCGTGATTATGTAATTTTGACATGCCCTACCTACCATTTGCAAATATATATTTCTACACCAACCATATAGCCTACCACTGTATAACTATATGAGAAGATTGATAATTTGCCAGAAATAATATTAGATATTTAATATTTAGTATACCACCCTCTAGCCACACGCAGGGCCTCTAAACGCCTAGGCATGCTGAGAATTAGGCTATCAAATTTAGCCTGATCCAACGTAGCCCATGCAGCCTTTAAACACTCTATGAAGTACTGCCACCCTGCCTCAGATCGACCCATGTCAATTAGCTCTGGAAACATACTAAACACCTTCAGTTTTAATAAGCGCCACACCGGCTCAATAGGGTTCATATCAGGCGAGTGTGCCGGCCAGTCTACCACCTCGATACCGTGCGATTCAAACCACGATTTCGCGATATCGGCTGTATGGATCTTTGCGTTATCTTGTTGGAAGATAGTGCCGGGGGTATAGTGTAGAACTAGACCCTCGCCAAGCGCATCGATATAAGATCTCGCGGTGTAACCGTTCCTCGCTGCCGATTCATCACGCTCCATAATCACTAGGTCTGAGCGGCCACCTAGCCAGATAGCCGCCCAAACCATCTGTGATATATCCCGTACGTGAGGCACAATATTCACAAGACCACGCCTATAGGCCTCCGAGGTAAACCGCCATACCCAGCCGCTACCAAAATCCATAGTTTTGGAGTGCCTTTCAACGGAACATTCATCCGAAAATATCCACGTATCCCACGTGCGAAACCGGCGATATTTCAAAGCAAAAAGGTAGCGCTTAAACGCCCCAGAGGGCTTTAAAGGTATTCGTTTCCTCGCACGGCGTTTGCGAAGCCCGTATATAATAAGAATTGACCGAATAGTCGTTTTGCATGGTGGATTGGGTAGCTGCGAGCGAAGCGCTAGGTAGCTCCAATTAGGGTGCCGGCGGGCTAACTGATAGATCTGGCGTGTAGCGCGAGGGCTAATCTTGACAGGGCGCCCGCTGCGAGGTAGGGATTTAACGGTGTTATGCTGTTTGAAGCGCTCGAGTGTCATAAATTGTACTACGCGCGCAGGCGAATTCGCGCGCTAGTTTAGTAGGCGTGTGGCGGCCCTCATGCTTGGATACGATAGCAGCGCGCTGCTCAGTCGATAGCTCTGTCTTTTGTCTCCTATTGCCACTAATAACAGTGCCAAAAGAGCGTTCCATGGTTGTGTAGGATAAAAAATAAAACGGGGGGTTCGGGACGCGTTGTATAAAAACGCGCTAAAAATTAGCGTGTGTGTCGGGAAACTTTTTGAACGGACTGTACCTCAAACATTGGAACACTTGAAGATTCCGAATAGTTGCAAGCGCAGACTCCTGTTCAAGAAGGAGAATTTTTATCTATCAAAATGACTAGGAATGTCAGCTTGGCTTCAAGCCCCGGTGGAGGGTTCATCGGTGACCTATTGCGTCGTGCTGTCACCCGATCTAACCTCAAAAGGGTAATCTTCTCGGCGAACCAGCCTATCCCATAGGGGGGGGGGGGGTTTGAGGGTTGATGGGATGCGCCTATCCCATGGGGGTAAATCGGATCTTTTCCGATTTTAATTCATTCGATTTAGCTTTTTATACTCCATCCTTTTTATCTTCCGGGAACTCTACGGACCCTACTATTCTTGACAACTTGATGACACTGATGAAATGAAGATCTTCGAAAATAATACATGATACTGCGAGGCTCAAACATTCTTCTAGTTTATCTTTAACATTATATCCTGTACTTCTGTCCCGACCGAAGTCTTCGTCACTCCGGGCTTGCGGATCACATGAGCTTATGGCATGCTTAAGATTGACGCCAATCCGTGCTAGACAACCAGAACATCTCCCGCCGGTGCGCCGTAGCACTAGCCTGATCGTAACCTCCCGGCCATATATTACGCCGGCGATGTGGGACGAATGTGTCGCCTGTAAATTGGCAATGTGACCCCCAAATCGCTCGGGGTTCATCCGTCTTCGTCATCTGCACCGTCGACTAGTACCTTCGTCATGCCACCCTCTTGCTGATTCTGGAGAAACACGCTAGACTCGCGTAAATGCCGCCGACTAATCCTGATCGCAATATTCGGTACGTAGAGGTGTTCAACGACGCCCAGTGCAACCCGATAGCAGTCTCCCACTTCAGCACAGATACCTTGTGATGACAACAGCGCTAAGTGATTGGCTGTCAGCGATGTTCTAAGTGATCAGCACACAGACATACAACGATGGATCAATTGATACGTACGAAAAAGTGCGCTGGAGTCTCCTACACCACCAGGGGATCAGTAGGCGTGCAGAGAAGTCGGAGGGAGCCCTCCTTTAAGGTTTTCTGGATCAGGCTGATGCGATTGGTTGGTTGACAACGCACGGATGGTTTGCATGTAATGGCGGGACAGGTCCCGGCTCAGAAATGAAGCCGCAACATCGGAATCTATCAAGGAAGGTGGGGGGAGGGGGGAAGGGGAAGGGGGTGTACAGGCTGAGGATGAGTAACAGCATATTGGGCCTTTGCCAATCTACGAACATCTAAGCTTCATCTGCACTGGTCGCAAGTATATCTTTCCTGCTTGCCCCTCTTCTGTTCCGTAGCTCTTTCGCCACGACCCTCTGGAGTCTGTTCCTACGCCTAGCTTCACTGTCCTGTAAGAGCGTACTTGTCCAAACGCCGGTTATAGTTACTTAACTTTGTAGTTTATCTGCTTATTTAGGATACTGTATTACGCACATGTACCCGATAGTGTCTGGCAACTCTGGGCTTTCCCTTTCCGTTTTAGAGTATGGGACTCGGCATGGTGCGCCAGCTCAGTGATTTGAGGCTTCAAGTTAGAATCCAGCTTCACGTTACGCGGTGTAGAACTGCTAGGCTATCTAAAACTCATATTGCAAGAGGTAAACAAATACTGTGCATTATTATGGCAAATTGAGAGCCGTAAACAAGGATGCGAATAAGAAGAATGCCTGGCCCATGTAATAAAAGTCTGGCATGACGGTTGAGATTTGAGCCTGACACAGCTCATTTTCACACCTCATCATACACAATGCCGGCCATTTATCTAGCACGGTTCATCCATCCAACCGGCCTTCCATTCTCCTCCTCGCCAATAATCTCGCCCATACCCTGAGAACTTGTTAGGAACTCCGCATTCTTTTGATGTCACACCCTGCTCCGCTTACCTACCCGGTTTCATTCCGACAATAGGCTTCGTACGCGATGCCCACGGTAGGCATGCAGACAAGCAATCAATTCCGGAAAAAACGTCAGATTCCAAAGGACCGGCAAATATGGTCTGGACGAATATCTTCAGAGATACCAGTTCAGAAGCACAACACTTTGCTGTGCTCTGCTGAACATTATTGTGCACCGATCCAAATTCTCAGTTACATCTCGCTCACTCCGAATGCTTCTTTCAGGGGTTGCAAAGAGGTTCTGTGGCCTGTTTTCAAATGTGAAGACTGGAATAATTGTTCACGTTGGCTATGTTACTGACTTAGGAATGAGGCGCGCCTTTGGAATCCTATCAAAGACTTACGTGAGTGGAAAAGCAACGTAAGGTAGCAAAATGGTGCAGTGACATGGTAACGTAGTGTCCTGGCATACCTAGCAGCAGTCGAAGCGACCTTTATACTGGAGTTGTATGCTTAAATATCGATGAAGATATCACCTCCGTACGAGATGTTATGCCAAACATGATCTTTTCTTCGAAATATGAGGCAGTTAGATGTTAGTGGCGCGCTCTATCGTGACCAAACGCTAGGTGCGAAATCAAGAGTCTAGCAAATCTTCGCTTTCTATTCAACAACACGGTCGACATCCTGACTTGCGAAAGGCGTTCTGACTACGTGGTTGCATTTGCCTGCAAATCGGAAAATGGAGAGCGGGTCAAGATCATGCAAACATACGCTGGGGATGTGCTGAAGGCACTCAAGTCTTTACATGACATGTCTAGCACTCGTATTTCTGAACATCTTGCTGATTGTGGCCATGAATTACGTCATGAGTTCTTGCCAGAGTGTCACATACCCATCCCGACGAAAGTTCAATGTGCACCAGATTTGAAGAGTCCTGCGCTATCGGGCATTGACAGCGCACCGATCGACATACCTTTCCCGGAGGAAGAGCCTGAATCACTTGGAGCACAGGACAGTCCTACCGTTATTCTAGAAGGTATTCGGAAAGATTCTCTCGGTTAGATTTCACCATAATCATGATACTAATTCAACTATAAGAGCAAACCATGATCATTTCTCTCTCAGAACAGAGTGCTGCACTACCTACAGGTGGCTGTGAGGGTTCACAGCCCTATTTGACGCCTTCGATCACAGTCCCTTCCCACGTCGGTGCCATGGGCTACTCAGTACTCGTGGATATTCAGTATCCGTTCAAGAAACCTATAGGCGCTCTGAGATTTATAGCAAGTCCCAGCCGCCAAGGTCTTCGACAAGTTGTGGCGCAAATTTTGGCTAGCAATGATCCCCCAAATGACCCGGGTTGGTTCATAAAATCATTGTGTGTTCGAAAGGGGAACAGTTCATACGATGTTTTGGGCTACCCACAGGATGACATTGGTAGTTTACTGGACGATGTTCTTGAATTTGAAAAGCTCATCAAGATTGAGTGTGTATGCAGCATCTAATTGATATGGTTCTCTTTCCAATATAGAAATACTACGGGGCGCATGGACACAAACTGTGAACTGGGTGACACTTGTGAAGAGACTAGGATAGTAGGCAGACTTGGGCTTCCTCGTCCATTATTGATTCCATGAGGTTTGATGGTATCTTCTGAGTCCGTGTCATTCGCGGTGGTTCACTTGCAGATGCGCAGCAGAGCAAGAAGCAGAAAGGCGGGACTTAAAGGGATGGCGGGACCATCCGGCAACACGGTCAGTGCAGCAAGGCGTGGTGTGTGGACGAGGAGGACATGTACGTTCTACAATGGCAATCAAGATATTTTTGCAGGATGATACGGTTTTGTTAACGGATCGAAGTGGCAGAGCATCGTGTGTAGGACATTTTGCAAGAAGGTGACTTTTGCTACAGAAAGGGTACTTTCGAATATGTACTCCAAGTTCAGTTACAGTACGTTTAGGAGGGGCCTCCAAGGGTGGAGGTTGAGGCCCCAACGCTACAGACAGTGATCTCAATGAATTTTTTTTTATTTGATAAAAAAGACTGGTGTGATAGCGAGCAGAGCGACATGTTGGTACAACATGATGCAGTAGCACTTGATTGGCTTCGAATTTGGGTGGAAGCCTCACTTTTCACCTCCTGCGTAGCCCAACTGCAGAGTGGAACCACTATTCATTCAGAAACGTCCATGTGATATGTGATCTGTTTCACCGCCCCATCTCATCAGACCGGTGTCGAGTACGCTCAGGAAAGCCGAATCTTTGTCTCCTCAATCCTGTTAGGCATTGTCTCGGGACGGCCTTTTAGACTTGTCAATTAATGCATGTTTTGGAAACGTGGTGGATTATCAATAAGGATAAGGCGGCCGAAAGTGGGCCCCGCTACAAATGCCATCCTCCTTGATCAACTAAGCCGCCTTTTGGAATAATTATTATTTAACTCTGATTGGCTATTTCAATTCCCATCATCGGCAGAATCCTTAATCACCTGGTGGTGCAAGGATCATGATGCTCAACGCCTGTAACCAATCGAATCTTTTCGCTTGGCGCCATCGTCCCCAAAACCTACTTCAAGACATTATCGCACACCTTTCCAGTCGACGATGCGTGACGGACACTAAAACGGTCCCAATCTCCACTAAGCTTTTATTTATGTAGTTTCACCGCCATTTTTATACTGCGGCGGGATAAGGTCCTCCAATCAACTCTTTAATTGGCACCGCTCAATGCTAATATGTATGGAAGTTTCGTAACCCGTCAATCAGTCTACCGACCAATCTTTCCGTCACAATAACAGCCGACTGTAAGTCGGTCGTCTGCCTCGATTTGGTTCTCCCTTCATAATTCTCCGTACAGGCGGGGCCCAATCAAAGAAGGCAATTAAAGGAACCCGTCCTCTATGCTGAAATCTCTTCCATATATCGAACAAACCTTCCGATTCAATCGAAAGGAGGCGCTATATGTCTGACTACAAATTGGGTACGCCATTCCATTGCCGTTCCCTCGACAGAATGGTAGGCTGTTCCTGGGGTTCTATTTGGCAAGAAGCCGAAGTCACCCGTCACCTCTCAACCTCCCACGGCTGAAGAGACTGCAATCATTCACGACCGAGAACCATCATGCCGAGTCAATGAGCAAATTGTGCAAGATACTAAGATTTAAGCGCCGTTGGTAGAAATGGGGACCGGGCTCTTCGTAGCACATGGTCCAGGCGACGGAACAGCTTGCGCATGTTGCCTTTTCCATCGTGTCACCAACAAGTCATGCTAGAGAGGGTAGGCGGCTAGATAGGCGGTGACCATATTAGTTGCAACCTCGCGTATGAGTCAAACCGGAGACCACCGCAGCTTAAAGCTTGCACCCCCTTGGTTTGCAACTCCCCTTGGTTTGCAACCCCCCTTGGTTTGCAACCCCCCTTGGTTTGCAACCCCCCTTGGTTTGCAGCCCCCCTTGGTTTGCAACCCCCCTTGGTTTGCAACCCCCCTTGGTTTGCAACCCCCCTTGGTTTGCAACCCCCCTTGGTTTGCAACCCCCCTCAACCGGGGATTTCCCCGGATTACAGTATCATAGCTAGAAACCTAGATATTACGTAGACTGCATAGCAGCTGGCGGGTCAAGGCCTCCAAACGCCTGATTGCTAAGGCTGCAAACCTAGGCTCAGCGACCCCTGACGGAATAACAGTGGATACTCCGAACAAGGAGATAATTACCTAGTTAACTAACTTAGTTAACTTAATCCCACATGAATTAATCATAATTATGCCCGCATAAATTGCCAGAAAGGGGCTTTATAGCAATTCAGACTGGGATCTTGAACTGCAAATCCGGTAGAAGCCTCAACATACCAATAGATCGCTGGTCAGCTTGGATTATAATTTGCTGGAAGAAGCACGGAACGTCTTTTTTTAGAATCACAGGTGACTGGTCATCCCATGCTTCCAACCTGTTGTTTCTGCAGGTATAATATCGAGCCCTTTTCTACGTCTGCTCATCCCAGAAAGCGTAAGTGATCGGTGTATTGTAAATTTGTACTGTATATCTTTTGAGTTACCATTTTGTCTCGGTATATAAGCGCTTGCCTTCTGGGCCTTTCCCTGACCTTCGATGGGGTAAACCCCGATGCTTGTCCCATCTCTCCTCACATGCTGCAACGGCCCCGGCCTCTTTACCTTGTAATCGTTCACCACCTCGGACAAAGTGCACGTGGTGAATCCGAGTCGTGATTGAGCAGACTATACCAATAATGAGTGAGAATCCGTCCCTCTGCAGCCGAAAGAGCTATACCAAGACCATGGGAAACGAACAGAGGCTATGCATAAAGCGTCATACGGTTAGTGTAAAAACCAGTTTCTCATCACCGCATGCTCAATGCTAATTGAGCATGGTTTTCCAGCTATCCGATCAAGATCTAGAGCAAATGGCAAGACTGGCCGTTACGGTGTTGTTGAAATTGAGAAGTGGCCGTTCAAATCTTGCTCAGATTTGTCGTAGCCAGGATGCTACAATAGTTCGCGACCGGTGCCTCGAGTTACGGAGCCTATTACATTCGCCACCTCAGTACACTGAGCTAGAGAAATACGCTCGAGCTCTGTCGTCCATGTTAATGGAGAACTATTCCAAAATTGTTACACATGATCTCAGCTATGCCACTCGTCTTAAGCTAGCCCTTATCGTTCGGCGTTTCGATGACCCGAAGAAGCTTCGCGCATTCCTCGAAAGCCCGATCAAAAAGACAGTGTGGTTCAACCTTCATGCCGATTACCTGACCTACACTCACGAAACCATCCCCTACAATGAGTTTATAGACTCCTTTGACTTCTTGCTGTTACCTCAAAGTTCCTTGTTGCGACAAGCCTCAGAACGTAGGCCTAGTCCGGGATCTAGGACTAAAGTATATCATCCTCCACGAGCTGTTGCTAAATGGAGGACACACGACACTGCATCCCTTACACTTTCGTCGTCGACCAATATCCCGTCCCCGCCTTCCTCAAGTCTTGCTGCACGTCCTACGCTGCCTCCGATTCGCGACGAATTGAGAGCCTTCTTTCCAGACTCCAAAATGCCGCATGCCGCAACCCTCCCACCGTCACCCTCGACAGTGATTTTACAGCCCAACCAACATTCCGATTGAAAAAGCAGCGGAATACAATACACAATGATCTTGCCGTGACCGATCAAGGTATCTTGAGACCTCAGAGCGAGCAAATTACAATACAAAGAAGATATGCCAATTGATATTTACGCATGTGAGTACAGAGAAACATCCAAGTATCAGGACGTACTAACTTCGATTAAAAGAGGCCCCATCTGGACGAACTCTCCCAGCATGGGCTCCATTCCTACCCTACTCTTATCGAACGAAGGGTTCATTTCGACCTACATCCACGGTAGGGCAAATTCATATCACCTGCCTACCTTTTCCCCATATGAGGACAAGTTAGAGACTGGCACTTCCCCCTCTTCGGTCACGGTGGTAGTGGGTTCTGGCTTAGAAGCATACCATATGATAGATCTAATTGTATGAATCAGAGGGAGGAGTAATTTTTGGGCCGCCGAGAGGCTTTATTTAATGACCCTACTCCTCGACCGGTCCAAGAAAAGTCATCCCAACTGCCGTGTACTATAGCAACGGAAACCCCCAGATGGATTCCAAATTAATACTTCAACTGACTGCATCAATGGCTGCATCAGTGTGCTGCACATTGAGTTTTGTTCTCTGGCTCCTCTCAGTCAAGGCTATGACCTGGCAAAAACTGAATAACAAACCACTCACTGGCACTCAAGTTGTCACGGGTGCTTTCACTGTCCTGGGTACAATCATCTGCGCTCTGTTAGCAATTATGAAAGCAAACTCTATAATGCATTGGTTGTTCCCCATTCCACTACACAATTTTCTCTAACAGGCTGCTAGATATACCCTAGTCGGTACTAGAGTTGGAAATAAATTCTGTGCTTATAGTGCTCATCTCTGCTTTGTGAAAGTATTGAATCCGAAGATCCCAGTTTTCCAAAGCGAACGATTTATTGGCTCAATTACTGAGTTAGCTGTTAAGTGTATATATAAAGAAGCGACTATTTTTTAGTGCTGCGCCCAATCTTCAAAGTTTGACTACGACAGCGGCGTGATTGGGGTTATATTTGGATCTGCGAAGAGTGTAAAAGACTGTGTTCGTTGAGAGATTTACACCTCAGAGAATCCGCACTGTGCATCTAACTTGTGTCACACACTTCTCAATCTGAAGCGTTCGCATGCTGAGCAGCACAGCAGCTCCAATTACGGTAGATTGTCGCCTTATATGTGATCGGAACTTTTAGCTAGTGGTGTCCATGTTGGTATGAAATTCGAATGTCAGGAGATGTGCTTCAAATCTCAGGGTATCTCAATGCTACTCAGGGTCTCAGGCTGTGACGGGTAAAGGGACTTATATCACAAGTGGCAAAGAAGGAATTGCGTCGGTGGATAGGATCCATTCGTGGTGCTCCTACATTACCTAAGGGGCAATCACGAAGATGCGCAGCACCGATGATCGTGCCGAAGATATTCACCGGACTGGAAGACGAACTCAGCATGACAAGGCATTTGGGAAATCAATGACCTTCCAACTTAACATAGTCGGGGTTTTGTGCCTGCAGAGTGGCTGGCCGGTTGTGCGGGGTTCACTGGCCTGATAACTTTTAAAGAAGGTCCCGGGAGGTTGCTGCCCTGGGTTTGAGCTGTTCACGAAGGCCATCAGGCTGGAGAAACATTATTGTTCTTCAGCAGAAATTAAGAGAACAGACTTATGTTCAGTTGACCGAGTGAGCGTGACTACACAGAAAGAATGCCTTTACGTAAGGTACAAGTGGCCAAGAGGGATCTGTGGTTCGCGGAATACTCTCCTGGCCAGCCTTCATATTACCATGCCTACCCTTTCCCACGAACCATCCATATTTAATGATCCAATTATCAAGATACTTGAGTTTGCTTGATTGTTTTGGGAGTGGACGCGGTAGGATGGGCAGGGCTAACCTGAAACGAGCTGCTATTAGGACGTGTCCACATGGCTGCTGTACCTGGGTCGCCGGCCATTTATTCGCCCATTTCTATTATCTACCATCTTCCAGGCCATTGCCTTAGAATCATTTCACCCGCTCGCCGAGCAAAGTCAGAATACAGGGAATTATAGGAGTACTTGAGAACAGTTACCTTGAATCTTTATTTTACGCCACTGATCCGGCTCATAGGGGGCAATTGGACTATAGCACTTACACACGCCTAGGCCCCAGTCATTCGGGTTCGACTACTCAAATCTCCAATGATAGGTCAATTTCAGTATTATTTGAGTGTTACTGTTTCTAACTTGTCGATTGCTCAACCAAGCTTTCTTCCACAAGCGGTTATGGTTTCATGTAATGGATCTTTGAAGAATCCCTGCGAACTTTGATATCGAGGCTCTGCGGGATCTAGGCAGTGAAGGGTGATTGAATCTCTTCCATTAGATGGATCACCTCTATCAAGGAATATTAGGTACTATATCTCTCTACTGCAAACCTTGGCTTGTGGTGAACAGTCCACCGGGAAGTTCCTTTTGTAAGTGATATTCATTCGTTCATAGTCAATTATACAAGAGGGGTGAGCTTGGGTCAAGTCAAACTTTTTCACCACGTACTCTTTGTCTAGCCCTTTGGTTAAGCTGTGGACCCCTGGGATTTCTTGTGCAGTTGCCATGGTTGAAAATGAAGGTCTGTCTAGCAAGCGTGTTCTGTACGATTTCTGACTAGACCGGTACTGGCGCGCTCTTTCTGAGCCGAAATTTTTGGTCCATTTTTACCCCAATCTATCACACTTGCTTTGGCATTTCTCAGATACAATAGCCATTGCTTACTTATTTTTCTTTACGTTCGAGCCTGAGTGGCGCTTGTGCATTCCTTGGGAAGAACCGTGCAACTAGAATTATGTGCCCGGAGCCGTAGAGGCATCATTCATGCGTGAACTAAGACAACCATCCACGATGACAGAACGGACCACTTTTCCCTGGCGTGGCTCGCGCCTCAGAGAAGTATGTTAGAAGGTCAGCTTTACGATAAGATGTCCGTCGTGATTCCTGAATGAACAGTGTTGATGTGACCGGCCTCGATTTGCATAATATTCCAGCCAACTGTCTATTCTGTTTCTGTTGGGCAGAACGAGGGTTATAAGGCAGAATCATCAATCAACTATTCCTTGAGCACCGCGCACCTGACAGCACCTCAGTTGGTGTACGTTGCCGACAGTTGAAGACTCTCCGCGAGGTCGACAAGGTGTGGGTGTTGCCTAGGCATATGATGGGGCAAGAAGTAAGCACCAGTCATAGTTGAAGCTAGTAGAACAGAAGTGTAACTCCCGAAGTAACAACATGATAGCTGGGTGCCTATGTCGGGCCCTGCCAAATGAGTCTAACATCAATGTAGAGACTAATCTAGCTAAAGGCAAGTGGTCGAAGATGGTGGGGGGACTCATAGTTAAGCAAGTCTTGGCGGGAGGCGGTTACACGATTTTCTTGCACCCGCCCTTATCTCCATTAATAGTAGTGATATCCGATCGGATCTTTTTGATCTTTTCATCTAATCGCTAGTACTACCTAAATATCATATAATATTCTAGGATTATCACAGGGAAGGCTCTTAGCCTACTCCCTACGTGGTAATAGGTATCGTGCGGTATGTCATAACTTCGTCCGCGCCCCCTTATGCGCGTCGTGCAGTCTGTCACACCTTCGGAGGTATCCATTGTGGTTGGCCTGATCTGCGTGCTCCGGTTACCCTGGTTGCGTGCGTGGAAGCCTAGTTGCCCCATCAAAATTCTGACCTTCTTCTTCTGATCCCCACGGGCTGTTCCGAAAAGTCTCAATCACGAGCGAATCCACAATACCCATTCAGCCCTTCCAGTCCCTCCGGTTGTTTGGCGGAATTTTGTTAATCACAATCGGTATATGGGAAACGTACACGATCCCATATGACAGCGAGACCGTTGGTGGACTGAATGTCGGCATAAGTCAAGGATATGAACCTCGATCGGATCCAGGGCTCTTTGGACTTCCTCTGAGTGAGCCATGAGTTTGAGAATGCCCGGAAAAAGGATGACTACTTCAGCAAGCAGTCCTTCCTACGAAAGAAGTACCATATGCGGCGCCACCAATCCCAGCTAGAACAACTGAAGGCCTCCATGACGACCCCTCCGTCAGCGACATGGCGTGGAACCTCTAGAATCTCCTCTGTTGACCAGCCCATGGCGTATATTAGCAATGGCCGATGTAAATCCTCTCTGCACGTGATGGTCATGGATCAGTCAGATAGTCATATCTTTTATCCTCCATCAACGCGGGTCGACGATATCCTTCCGGTACTATCACGTCGATCCAAACAAAGCACGGATTTTTACTTTGACTACTGTGAGTGCAGACATGGTGATGGTCTCTAGCCGCAGATACAGGCAGTTTCTGATTGCTAACAACCGATCAGTCAGGGCTCAGGCTTCCCGCAGATGGTATCCACATTCACCCCGCTGAAAGTCGACGATTCAAGCGGTCTTCGACGCCGCTGAGGCCTTGCTATGTTAGATTGCCCTGTCATGATTGGTTTGTGTTAACGCCTCTTGGATCCCAGGACGCGTGTTGACTAGCTGCGCACTCCATCAAAAACCTTGAATAGCTCGATCTTTCACCAACCTTTGACCCCCACGGTCAAGAATAACCACTATACAAACAGGCAGATATGAAGAACCGCATATTTCATCTAAATACCGGAATAATGTATTTGTAAGGAAGGTACCAACGTATTTTCGATATAAAACAATGACGATCTGAAGGTTGTTGCGATTTAAGGTTCACCATAGTTGGGGCTTATTGATGCATATTATGCGCCCGGGTGCTTCCCCTGCTCTCTGTTTATATGCTGGGGTAGACTCATGACAGTGGCCAATGTTGTACTTGCAACCAGGGAGAGAGATTCCTCATACCTTGAAGACCCAACCTTCACCAGCAACTTAAGAAGCGATGATGATCAGTTTCTGTAACAAAAGAGCAAATTTAAGATCTGAAAAAATAGCACTAGCGAATCGAGATCAAAATCTCCGAATATTATATACTAACACACAAGAGAGCCATCCAGTAAGGCTATCGCTTGTGACCCGAGGACATAAGTAGCGGTGTGAAAATTCATTGAATGGTGGAGAGAGCTTAAGGGGCATGAAATAAGTACCACAGGATTCCGCGGACACGTCCCGGTAGCATCCCATCAAGGCGAAACAAACAGTGTATCTCTTTCAGCGGTGTAAAATGTGCTGTGTTTGACTCAAGAAAGGGTCAATCAAATTTCCATGTCCCGGCGACTCAGGCGTCGTATGCAGCCTTCCAGCTCAGGCTGGTTTAACAGTCATTCCTGGGTTAACGAATAAATCTATCGTTGCGGGTTTCTTTATTGCTACGCGATCATGAGATTGAATTCATCGAATTCATGCCATTGAACCAGCTCGGCGTCCCTCGACTAGAGTGCTTTATTATTCGGTTGATGGTGTATCTGCCCTCCAAATTCGCTACTCACTGGGTCGCTTTGCACGGTACCCACGACGGTGTCTAGGCACTGTTTCTGCCATAGTCTCAACGTACAGGTATGGTTGTCCACCCCGCTTCAGCATGAGCCAATCAGAACCCCCTCGACTCCCTCAACTCCCTCAACTCCCTCAACTCCCTTCAGGGCTCAGCCAGTTGTCCCAAGCTGTCTCCCAACTTGCTTCTATACCGGCAACCGTCAATATTCTGTTGAAAGTTGCAACCTCTTGGCTCAAAAATTCTGCAATATAATCTGGGTCCACCCAGTACCGTAATACGTCGATCTGAAATGTTGCCTCCATTCGCCGCGCACAGTGTGTCAGCCGTTGCATGTCGTGCTCCAATTTTGCTTCACTTTTCATTTCTGAAGCGTTACAAACGCCCATATCTTCTGGAGGGACTCCGTTGTCATCCACACATAGTTTCGAACTGCAGCGTAGGGAGGAGAAAATCTTACGGTCATCCGACGAGGGATACAGGCTAAATGCTATAGTGGAATATATATTTTGCGGTCATGTTGAGAGATCACACACGTCTAGTTAGGGGGGATACAAAATAGGTCGTGCAAACTGCTTGCCAGGCAGCGTAGAAAAGGATAATTTGATATGTCAAATCGAACCTCTTATTCAAAACAAATGTGGCTCAGAGATCAGCTAATCATTGCTAGTTTTGGCAAGAGGCGTTAATAGGGATATGATAGGTATTATTGGCTGAGGCTGAGCGATCAGGAGTACTGGCCTGGTCTTGAGTCTATCCACCAATCCGGAACAGGAACTCGTCACGCTCTTAGCAAGAGAGTCAAAATCGCCAACTTTTCGACGGTGAGGTGCGACAGCATAATCTATTCTGGTGTATGAGACGCATTGTTTGACATTCGTGATTGATTAGACAACGATCTGGAATCAACTTGGCGGATTTAAATGGTGTGTGGGGCCACGTTGAAGGCTGTGCACAACCTCCGCACGGCAAGCACGGATCGGGTCCGACAACACTACAATCAACGGCACCGGTGGCAGGTTCCACGCCAGGGTGCGATGCGATGGCACGGATAGCGGTATTCCACTTGTGGAAAAGATATGCCCTATGAGCAACGGGTCGGTGACTCGCGATTACCTGTTCCAGAGTGGTGCGGAGATTGAAAGTGGGACCAGTCGATTCGGGCAACGAATCAACGGATGTTAATTGGAGAGTGGCCTATCGTAAGCCCGATTGCCATTTTAGGAATAAAGCGTGCATTCGCACGTGATGATGCCAACTCTTTCGTTATCTATATAAGACGGAGTTACACCCCGTCTCTGTCAGTTTTGTTGTCATTTTGACACAAGCGAATTTCGATGTCTCAGATACGGCAGTCGTGGTCACCACGGACAGGATGCAGAAGACTGCTACTTCTGTTTGCAAAGTCGTTGTTCGCCGCGCTTTATTCTTTTGAATTACGAGGGACTTGCGTCCCATTCCTTGGAACAAGTTGCAGCTTGTTTTTCTCGTGAGGTATTCAAACTCCGCCGCCGCGGAGTTTGAGGGTATTTTGTTTATGTCAGTCCGCGTAATGCCGAGAACATAAATTGTTTTGTCGATTGTGACGACTGGTCCTATATTCAAGGGATTGAATTGTTTGGCACACGGCCACATGCGTCTAGGCAAGCAAGTTGCAAAGAAGCTCGTCGGGCTTTTGAACACGATTATCAACTGGTCATGTCTCGGCAAGGGCGAGACATTGGGCGCGCGGGGAACAGCGCGGTCTTGAAGGGACTTATTACTTCTGGCGATAAGTAACGGATGTTGATGGCAGACTTTATGAAAAAATATTGTTTTGTTGTTTCATCTGCGAATGAGATTACATTCCTCGTTTGGAGAACAGGGTAAAGCTAAAGATTTACAGGTTTAATGACGGCTGGGCGGCGAAGGTCCCACGCGGAAGAAGATATATATTTTGAGGGGTATTCAATTATGTTTTGATGTTGTGATAGGAAACAACAACAGGAAGCGTGATCTGACTAGTATGGATGATATCGCGAGGACTGCCCAATCAGTCCTGGATCATATCGAGAGCAACAACCACGAAGTCGATGGATTCGAGCGCGGATTCATCAAGAATGTGAAGAGATTCGCACAGAAAGCTCAAAAGGGCGACGCTGAGGGCATGAGCAAGGTGCTCACGGCCCTTGACACGATTCACAAGCGACTCGATGATCTCGAAAAGTCTGTCTCGACATCAACGACCACGCAACGTATCAATCCATGACTAGACCTCGCATAACGAACCCTTTTCTCTGAATCTTGCCTCAAATAAGTCTAATACACATTTTTCAAACCAATACACCCGCTTTTATATAAGAATCTGTCGTTTTCTCCATATATCCCCTAGTGGTATAGGCGATATACGGGGAAAACGACAGCTTCTTATATAAAAGCGGGTAAATTGGTTTGAAAAATGTTTATTGGACTTCATCGAAGCAAGATTCAGAGAAAAGGGTTCGTTATGCGAGGTCTAGTCATGGATTGATACGTTTCCACTTTGAGGCGCAGGTACGATGTTTAAGCTCGCGGTATCCCATACTATAAACTTGGCCCGGAAAGATTCGACCGTGTCTAGCGTAAAAACAAGATTAGCGTAATGCTGTGCGTGGTAAAATCCTTACGTAAAGGCCTTATACACAAACCTGCTGGACTGAGGAGCTATGGGGAAACCGACAGTTGACCAGCAGGTTGATTGACGTCTATCCCGGGGTCAGTAATGCTGCGGGTAAATGTGGTGTGGCTAACGCTCGACGAGAGCAAAGCATACACAGCGGCACTTCAATTATCGCTCTGTCCACCATCATAAGCGCTTGGAAGGTTCGAATCTCGATTTTAATATAGTTCTAATTAGATAATATTTCGCTACCAAGATTCATTGATCTTGTCTCTAATTTGTGGGAATCTATCTTCCAAGTCCAATCCAGGATATTCTAAGCAGCCAAGCTAGACCGTATGTTACAATGGATGTATTTTCGATTTATGGAAGACCATCAGGCGACCGGAGAGCCAGGATAGATTCAGATCTTTCAAAGCGCAGTGGTGCAAATTTGATCCTCAAGCCCGGAGCCGTTGGCTTCAGCAGTTTAGCGGGCTGCATCATCGTCCAGATTCGGCGATTTTAATACTAGCGGGAAACTCAAAAGAGGCATCGGCTCAAATGCCGTTTCTATCCCCTTTGCTGAATATCGAGGACCTAGCGCAAGCAGATGTCCTTCCGGACTTCATACAGAATCGGTCAGCCATACACCCTAAGACCTTCCTTTTCGCAGATTCCCGCTTTGTGGCACTTGGCTACTGGCACCGCGTTTTATCCAACATGCACACCGAAGGGCGAATCTCGTTCTTCTCTGAAACCGACGCCAACGCGGAGAATTCTCCGTATGGGATACAATTTGAACCCGATGCTATTAAAAACTTACACCTCATCAATCCAGTTACTGGTTATCATTCTCTGGTTGCCCAGAAAGAAACGTACAAGTTTCTCGTATCGTATCTTTTGACGCCTATGGAGCCTTCTATTGAGTCCACGGCTAGCTCAGGAGGGGACAATCAAACCCAGCCCCTTTCGATACTGAGTTTGACTGCTCGGCTACAATATGGGAGACCAGACCACATTGTATGGAAAAATGTGAGGAGTATTTTAAAGGCGTCCGCTGATGAAGCTCATGACGATCTGTAGCAGCTCCGCAATGACGCAGAATACTGGGATTTGCGATTCTCCGATATGCAAAAGGAAAGCCTCGTCCTTTCTGCGTGCTGTATTCGGGCGTATAGATGTTCTTCAAGCTGTCTATGGAAAACTTCGTTCTTGCCGTACCGACTACCACACGAGACTTGGTGACAATTCGTCGGTGGTTCAAATACGTTGTGATGATGCCCAGATCAAAGACACCATATACATGCATTCCATGTTTCGCTCTATTCTCAATGACATGCTTTTGTCGATACAGGATCATGAGTGGTTATGCAGACACCAGGAAAATGGAACGTTACGTTATCTTTTCCACTTAATGGCGGAAAATCATCCTACAGTACGATTGATCAGCCTTGGAACGATGCTGCGGACTATCGACCGCGAGCTTTCGGATAGCAACTGCCAGGAAGCGATCCCACTCCCCATCGCCCAAGCCCTCCATGACATGTCAGTCGTCGCTGCTTGTATGCAAGAGACTTCCAAACATTACAATCTTATTTCTTGCTTGGACGAAAACTATGCTTGTCTAGCCAATGATGCGGCATCAGACTGGCAGGAACACGAAATACCATGGCTACGCCTTGTCCAAGGGTTGCTGGAAAATGTCCAGTGCCGGGGGACTGAAATCAATCGACAGGCTCGCAAGGACATTGTTTCCTTGCGAGACCGCCACCGCCAGTTCTGGAATAGCATCGACGATTGCATGCTTTTATGGAGCAACCATAACCCCATTGTTCCCATGGTTCTCAATCAGGCACCTGTCCCGAGAGCATCTGTAGAATCATCAACCTTGTGGGAAGCCAGTTGGGACTCGCCAGATGCAAGCCCAATGCCAACCGCTACACAAAAGAGGAAATCGCGGAAATGGCCAGGCAGCTCTAATGGAAATGCTGAAGCAGCCCTGGGTTGACCCTAACCAGGACGTATATCCTGTCCCTCCCCTGAGGAGTCCGCCGGTCCCAGGGCTGCCAGTGTATAAAGGGTCCGGCTGCCCACACTGTCCCTACGTGGGTCTTGAAGTTGGTAGATCGATTATGAGGGAGTGAGATCGCAGGTCCGGCGGGGGCTACTCAGGGCAACCCATCGCTAGTTGATAGGTCGAGACTCTAGTTAGTTGTGCGACTGGCAAGGACAACCCTGATTTTCCAGGAAATGATGATTTTATCTAGATTTTTACATCTTTCTTTATGTTAGTACCTAACATACTAACTCCGATACACCATTAAAACATACATAAGTCTTCGAATCTTATGTTTGCACTGTTTGAGGAACCTGAGGTTCGAATCGAACCTCGCAGGTTCGACTCCAAAAACCGTGGAGTCGGATCGCGGTTCCAGAATCCTAGAATCGGAACCTGAGTCTTGGCGGTTCCGAGTCGAATCGAACCGGGAGAGTTGCGACTCCTGCCGAGGTCTATCAAGAATAACACCGCGTGTTCCGGCACTTCAAAGGAGCCCCATGCAGACTTTACGGACCATACTTCAAGACAATCAACATATCGAGCCAGTGAATTGAAACATTGTCTTATGCTTAGTTGATGTATCACTTTTCGTTGTATCGTAAGCTGATAAAGGATTCGGAATTTTTGACAAATAGTCTTTAATTGAATTTGGCTTTTCTGGATGTTCTTATGAGAACAAAAGCCTGTTTACATCCTTCGTCTTCGGCATCTTCACTTCCTCGCTGGAGATCTTGATCTTCTAGCCAGCAACATCCATCCGCAACCATTTGGACACTCCACAAGTAGCAAAATGGGTAAGTGCATGGTTGTAATGGAAGTCATAGATCCGCATAGCTGATGAGTATTAAAATGATGATATTAAAGCGCCTCCTGCTATGGAAGCAAATAGCTCAAATGCGCTTATGTCGATTGCCTTCTTGTTAAATGAAAGCCCGGGGTAGGCATTGCACGGTACTGAAAGTTCCACTCCCCGGGCTGAACCGGCGCAAGGAGGTTCATCCGGGACCGTCCCAGTCGGTTTGGACGAGCATGGAAATCCAGTACTCAAAGCCTTGACTTCTTGCCGTGGTCGTGAGGTGGCAAATCGGCTGCCTGCTACGAACGTGGATTGGCGTGGCGGTCAGGCAAGGGACTGCCTTACTCAAATCAAACTCCGTGCCGCCCAGGTGCAACGTGTCGGAACCTCTGCTCCTATTGAACAGTCATGTCTAAGTTGTCGAAGCGGACGTGGTCCTTTTTCAACCTGCCGCGTACTCGTGCATGCAGGCCAACTCTATTTCAAAGGAGCGTGTGCGAACTGCGCATTTCATAACGCCGGTACAAAGTGTTCCTTCCGTGAGTACATCCCCTCGGCCGTATTGAGCGGACAATGCGAATCCGAGCTGATCCCGATGCACTACCATAGGTACCAAATCAGGAATCTCTTCTCCTTGGGTATTTTCTTTATGGAAGGGATCGATTACAACAAATTCTACACTCTATGGACCAGCTCAGGTTTCTTCAGTCAATGGAGACCAGAGAAAGATTGTTCGAGCGTCATTTATGATGAGACCGGCATTACGTTAGGGGGTGGATTTGCGACTGGCGCAGGGACAAAGGGAGGTACTCCTAGGACAACTGGGACAACGCGCAGAGGACGCTTCATCACCAGGTCTGTATGAGGCATTTGGATGAAAATGCGATCCCAATGAAAACATTCCGAGAGCGTTAGTTCGTGAAAATCAGGAATAGATGAGCCAGGCGTCCTATTTATACATGCACTGCTGGGAGTTGATGTTTTTCTGACCCCTCGCTCTAAGCGATGGGTTGCCCAATTTCACTTCCTGATTGGTGTTCATCTGAAAGACGAGTGTCTAAGCGAAGGCTTCCACATTCAGTTGAACGCTCACGAACATCAAGCCTACTTTTGGGCTCTCAGGAATCTCGTTGCATTGTGTAGCCTACGGCTGACAAACGCTACCGAGGATCATCTTCAGCAGGCAGCTGCAGAGTTCCGCAAGAAGTGCCCATTCAGTCAACACACTTGTACTTATTAATATCTCCGTTTCCATTAAAGCGGGACTTTCCAGTTTTGTGCCATGAGGGGAAAGGCATTGTCCGGCAAGTCTGGAAAATGTAGATTATAAATAGTTGAGCTTGATTGGAAAAATTGTAACGAATGTCTACAAGGCATTTGACCAAACACGTCTGCCAGCCTCCACCCATGCCAATATGTTTAAGAGACTTGGCCACCCAGTTGACATTTCCTGCGGTGGTAACGGGATATGCTCACTCCAACTCATCATACGATGGTGTATGTGCTGCGTCGAAAAATTCAGAGATCATCCAACTGGCCTTGGTGATGCGATGACACTCCTTCTCACAAGTAGCGAACTGTAGAATCAATGAAGTAAAACCTACCGGCCAGCAGCAGTCCGCGTAGAATACGAATGGCTAAATAGGCGAGGACGACGTCTTCCGTTTCGATAAAGAGTAATATAACAGCGCGATGACACCTAGAAGTGGTGGGGTGTTTCAGTGTGAGATAGCAGACGGTCCTGGGAATTCCGACGTTGCAGAGCTCACTCTGGCTCACCATGAACGGATGGTCTCTATTTTAGACTTGAAGTCAATGAAAGGCCTTGTTACTCCAGCCTCAGACCAAAGCAATGATGAATGCTCAGAGTACTACCGGCTTAATCTAAGCGCAGTTTGAGATTTCACAATATTAGAGGACGGCGCGGTTTATTGCAGCCCCGCTCGATGAAGGCGCTGGTTTGTAAGGTGCATGGTTGGTAAACCACTGCTAGGTCGCATCTGCAGACCTCAAGGGGGAAATAACGTGCTGCTGATTTGGGCAACGCCCCAATATCAAACTAGCTCGTAAATATTACGGCTATTAACAGATACCGATTCTGGCTGCAATGACTGTGCTGTACGCTGATGAACATGGACGACCCAACAGCTTTCGTCCCAGTAGATATAGTGGCAAGGTTTGCCCTCGCGTGATTCAAAGAGCTGGCAACGTCAAGCGCTGCTTTACTTTTCTTCTCTCCATTTACAGTCAGAGAGGCTTGATTGATAAAGTTGGAAGTTAGAAGTTAGCGTCGAGCTTTATAGCGAGAACTGTGACGCAAACCTGAGCAAAAACTCACCAAAGATGGGTCATACTTAGAATTAGAGAAGATGGAATCAAAGCAAACGGTTTCAAAGAAGCAGTGGTTGGACAAAATATGCTGCATTTAGAGCTTAATCCTTTTTTGCCGTTGGTTATTTTACTGCACTACTCCTGTATAAATTTCAATGCTCCTGACAGGCGCAAATGGCTGGACATCGGCCAAGATGGTTCCTCCTACTGCAACATTAAATGTCCCATTCGCCTACCTTCTCAGGCTCTCCCAGACAATTTATTCAACCGTATTGACGCCTCCGGAGGGTGGGGGATCAATATTTTCCTGCTCGCCCATGTTGCTAGATCGGGAATGACGGTCTTGTCCTGGGGTTTCAACGGTTACTGACAGATTCAAATTGTTTTGCAAAAGCGCTCCCTCAAGAGCTGTGTAACCTTAAGCCGCCCTCAACGGTCAGCTTCATGTGAAATCATCCATATAGCTAGATTAAAGGAGACGATGTTTGGTACGATTTCTGGAAATAAGAAGACCCCCAGGAGCCCCCGGTATCGACGAACACCGACGTGGAGGCTCAGGTATTCCTCATAGTCCATATTGTGTCTTGCGTTTCTCATTAATGCTGGAAGTCCCTTTGGCGGAATGTAGGGCTTAATTGTGCTACATCCCGCCGACCGTAGCGTATGTGAATACTAGCGTAGGGGAATAATGTCTCGCGACACGAGCTTCTAACATGAAATATGGCCGAAAAAGTCAATACTACTGGTGGCCTATTGAAAGATTTCAACACCGAAAATTTGGCTGCACGAACGGGAACTTCGCCTTAAAATCAGCGCCATTTTGAGATGAAGATTCGCAGATTGGCATCCAAAACAGTCCCGATAAAACCCCACTACTCGAGCGCAGATTTAGGAAAGGTGAAGAAGTCGAGAGGGGCCTATTCAATAGAGCGAGACAGAGGGGGCCGGAATCATGAGTAGGATCTCAAACCAAAGGAAAGGAATGGATGTGGTAGGCGTGCTAAACGAAGGTAGATCAATACTATTGTCTATCGGTTTCTCTACCTTTCGACCTTCTCCTATCCCGAGTACCTCTCACGAATAGTGCGCCCCGTGTAGCCATGCCTTATTTTTGCTATCTCCTGAGCCATTTTTTTGTATCTTTGCATCCGATATTTAGGTCTACAGAATTGCCAGATGGGATTCTTAGATAGTGATGTGGAAGGGCCTTACCCCACCATGGTTGGATTAAACCTAATTTATTCTTGATGGTGAACAGGTAATGTAAAAATCGCGCACTTCCTTCTCCAACTGACTCCCAACAGAACCAACGCATCCATATTCCTCCGTGTTCTCACCACATAATCGAACAGCCAATCAGGATTACTGATGGTTCACCGTTCCACCGCTCCACTCTCGACATGTCTAGGCTCAAATTAATGAATATTATCAGAACTACCAAAGAAAGATTGACCGATTAAAGAACAGAAGAGGACTTGAACGAATGGGGAAACGGGCAGGTTGAGCTGTCCCATAGCGGTGTGACCGGGTATCTAAAGTGACCACCACACCGGTGTGACGTGTCGAGGTGCTACCCGCATATTACAGAGTACAAACACTTAAGGAAACTAGGAAGAAAATGGACCAATCCGAGGAGGCTGTAACAAATATGTCCTCCTTTGCACGACAAATATTCAGAAGGCGTTTACCGATAATGGAGAGCTAAAGTCAAACGCTCAAGCCCTCTATATTCGCTTGAACATAGTAGTACAATACCAGTTGCGGGTTGCTTCGCTGCCGTACTTCAACCCTTCGTCATCGTAGTGCGGCCAACCAGCCGACTATCAGAATAGCTGACTATTCAAGCATTTCATCAAAAATTTCGCTTATATCAAGTGGCTCTGGGCTTATTTTCAAAGCTTAGCTTAGTAAGCCGCTCAACGCCGAGAATCTGTCAACGTCCGGCTGGAATGCATTATTTAATTTGAGATGTCTAGGTAACCAACACCATCATCATCGCCCGTAACATGGCAGAAATAAGAGACAAGACACTACTACCAGTTATCAATATCGCTGCAACTGGCGATATTATTTTAATTGTCGGGTCAGTAAAACTACACCTGCGTGTACAGTCGCTCATCCTCAAGGCAGCCTCGGAATACCTATGTGCCTTATTAACACCAATCCGGAAGGAAGGCCACGGCTCACTTGGCTTGGGACTTCCCATGGAGGTGGCACTGCCAGAAGATGATCCGACAGCACTGAGATGTATTCGTGCAATCTTGCACCATCTGGTCAATCTGGTACCTCATACGATAGATACACGTGATGTTCTCAAAGTTACTATCACGGCAGACAAATATGGGCTTGTTGACGCGTTAGCTTTCGCCCACCAAGTTTGGCTATGCCCTCTCAACAAGGCTGCCAGTGACCTTTTTACTCTTGCAGCTGCAGCATTTCTTATTCGAAAACGCAGAAGCGTTTAAAAACATCACTAAGACACTGGTCCTTAACTACGAGGACTCTTATCTTCCTCTTTGGAACGAGGATGCAGTAACGGTTCTTGGCGAGCGAATCTTTTGTAAGATAAATTTTTTATGCTAAGCAACATGTCCCAATCTTGACTGACAAGTCAGTTCAGGTTTGCTAGAAGAACAAAGAAGCGCCGCGAGGCTGAGATTAGGGACAATTCTACTTGGAGGAATAAAAGTTTCGTCTTGTGTCCACAGATGCGGCTGGACAAGCAAATACGCCTATGCTTACCTCAAACTACTGGAGATGCAGAGACTTTGGCCTATGGATTTTGGAACCGTTGCAAAGGCAATTGAACGAGCCCATAGGATTCCAGATCCTGTTCCAGAAGAAAGAAGCGCCGAATGCAAATTTGGTTACAAGCATTCTGTACCTGATTACCGCAGCACCTTTCGCTTTGAGTGGGAAGGTTTGAGCAGCCATGTTGGACACTGCTTGAATTGTTTTCGGTTTAAGCAACCAGATGCAGCCTCTTGTTAGATGACACATAACAATCAGAATTGATCCCTGAGATAAAAGACTTTTATCGGAGCCTTTGTGCCATTCCCCCAGGATTGTTTACGATTCAACAGCAGAATATGTACTCGATATTTTGTACTCCGCAAGGGCTACGGAAAATACCATAGTAGAGGAAGGTTCGAGCACAATGTGACTTTGCAATTCACAACATGGTAGGAAAATAAACTACTTTCCTCCTAAACATCGTACTCCTTGTTCTAGCATTGCTTTTGGTAATGTACAATCAGTGTATCAAAACGGTTGAAACTTGTGATAAACCAAGTAGCGAGTCGCTGATCCCATAGAAGCAGGCTGTTGTTCCTTTCGTTGCAGTATTGTTGGCGAATCCGAACCACTGCCTCAAGCGAGGTTTGTGCATACGTATGGCTCTCCTCGCTGGAGAAAAGGGGGTCGCTACTGAGAAGTCTCAGATGGGTAAGATTGGTGAATCGTTGGTTGACCCGATGTATTCCATATGGCTCGACGGCCAGTTCGGCCTGATCTTCGCTCAGAAAAATGGCGGCACGCACAACATCCTCCAGTCCATCGTATATGTTGGTCCTATTGGTCATTGGACCATATCGAATGCGAACAGTCTGCCGATGTAAGTAGACGGCAAACCATCGCCCCCGGGACATGTAAATACGAACCTCCAGCTCCAGCTCCCGCTCCATTATATAGCGGGGATGTCATCTGCGGGCTCCGCGTGGTGCCAAGGTGGATCGAACAGATACCGAGGAGTTTCGGCAAGCCTCTGAGATAGTCAGGCTTGATGTTGACAGAAATGCTGAAATAGACCTGCGGTAACCCAAGGCAGATAACCGAGCCGACTTACGCCAGTGCCCTGTCCATGGCTTAGTCACCTTTTCTTTCACGGGAATTGGTCGATTTGCAATGTCTGGGGATAGTTCCTAGGAACTAAGTTCTCCCTCCGGGTCAACGCGAAAGAATAGCTCGCCTCGACCTACTGCTGAGCGTCTTTTCACATCGAGCAGCGCGTTCATTGGCGGCAGTTGGCTCCCCCGCCAACTTTTGTAACCTAGCCACCCCGTAGTGTTCGGAAAGATCGTGTAACAAAATCGGATCGTTGATCTAGCCGCTAATTCTAATATAGAACCACCGATCGCCTCATGCGCGCAAAATGGGCGATGTCTAGTTTTATAGAAGGGAAATTGGAAATATGAAGTCACCACCTTCAACTGGCCGCCGATCAACCTCATTATGAGAGCGCTGTAAGGGGACCTTGGCCCTCATTGTACGTATGAGTTTCACTTTGGGTGGATGAAGCTAGTCCACGACGGAGTTTGCTGTATCGGGGTTTCGGCTCTGCTGCGAAAATTTGATATAGAGAACGTTCTTGGCGTGCATTCTCTTAACACATATACTCCAGATCTATCTGTGGAGGCCACTGAAGGTAAAACAAACATTATCATACAACGTGGATTGGTCGAAGACTCGGAGCTGATCGAAGCGCTATGATTTTTGGTATAGATGATGACCAGAGGTGCCATTGCAGGGAGTACTGCTGGAAAGACTCCGAGGGGAGGCATGCCGATGAACATGGATGTTCTTGAAGCCGTCTTTCTATAGCCAAGGATGAGCTTTTTTTGCTAAACCATGACGGCCTTTTTTTATTGTAAATCATGTGAAGGTAACTTGACTGTCAGTAAATGCCACGCTAATGATGCTGTCATGACCTAAGGACCACGGCAAATACTTTGCTTTCTGGTTCACATAGGCCATCTGATATTTTCACTGAGACTAATGCTTGAAGTCCTGAGCATGCTAGTAAAATTTCCATGCTGCGTTTCGACAACACCAACTGCCCTGAAGCCGAATTTAGAATAAGCGCGGGAGCAACAGACTCAACCTATGATTTGAACTGGTAGAAATAAGAATAGATGGCTGCGGCCATGCCAGGCAATGATAAGGCATGTGAAGAAGAAATTGCCACGGATGCAGCGTGAGTGTTAAGATGCGGTGAAAGCGGGCTAATTCAAGGACGGCAATCTCAGTGGGAGGAAGAATGAGGTTTCTCGACCCTGACAGAAAAGCGAATTACGAAGAGATTGAATACCGCAAATATTGGAAATAGAAAACAAAACAAAATCTTGAAGCCGTCAAATAGGCGATGGTGGTGAAAGAAAAGGAGCCAGATTGCCATAGATGGACAGAGAATGGAAGGGCAAGAAAGGCGCGTTAGTCCAATTCAAGGCTGTAGCTCGCCGCTCAGTTGACGAGCCAGCCCAGTCTCGCCCCTTCGGGGGCGAGACTGGGCTGAAGAAGTGCATCAAAGTTCATTTGCTTGTGGGCACCCTCGGTAGAAAGAGGAGAGCGGCCTAAGTTGCCAGGCGTGCGGCCGCCCCAAGCAGACTGAGCAGGACTGGGGGTTACATTCACGAAATCAGCAAAGCTGAACCGCTGATCTGGCGTACCCAACCTGGTAGCGAGCATGGGAAGGATAGCATGCTGGCTGGGAGGAGTGGACGTTGGGAGCGCACGGTGCGAGACGCCTGCTTCGCGAGCTGGGGTAGGCGACTTGGCCAGGTACAAGGGCAGGTCTGCGCCATCTTCGTGCTGTGAGGGACGGCCACTCCGGGCCAGATGGGCACGCCTGGGAGGAGTGCGAGGTGGCGAGGATCCCCACATATAGCTCACATGCCGGAAGCTATGTCTAGGCAGATCCGGGTGATTCTCCTTATCACATATAGATTGATATACAGGAGACGATAACTCGGGGATTATGGCATCATACATGAAGGGGCGCGGGTGTCGGCGAGTTGTCATATGAAAATTGAGGCCTGCTGAGGACGTAGGCAGTTGGTGAGGGCTCTTCCCCGATGGTCGAGCAGCTTTGGCTGGACGCTCGGTATCAGGATCATACCGGACACGCTTGCGGCTGGCCGAGTGCATAGGTTGTGTAATGTGGGAATTGAAGGTGACGGCATCCTTGTTGTGGGCTGATCGAGGTAGCTCTTTGGAATATGTTCCGGCCCGGAGGGCAGGAGAGGTCATGGGCGTCTCGCGTCGGCTGCGAGAAAAGTCAGACGAAGACTCGGAGGGCTTGTCACCGCCGTCCTGCGTCAGCATCAATCTATGAAGTCGGCCATGCTGGTACTTGAGCTTCGCCAGACCCAATCGGAGTTGTAGACTCAGTGAAACCTATAAGAGACACATTCATGTCAGCGCGCGTCGATTCCTGACTGGCCTGAAGGTTCTCGAGGCTGTGAATTGTCTGTCTGACCCTGCTGGCTCTGCATCCCACATAGAGGATCCACATCCACTGTGAGGCTCTCGGTGATTGGTGTGATTTGAGGCATTCCTACATGGGTAATATCCAGTTTCCGAATGGCCTTCTCTGCGGGGCCGGGATTTGGGGACAGGGCCATGATGGGAAAATTACGGAAGGGAAGGAAATTGAAGCTAAAGAGAGATATGGTCGTTTGCTGTGCAGGTTTAGACTTGGGCTTTCGCTGCAAGGGCAGACGGAGCAGAAGGGCTGAGATCCAATGGACGAGAAGAAAACTGGGGCCACTTTGGTAATCACACTGAGATACAAAGTGATATTTCGCAAAGCACACGTGAACAGAACATGATTCATTGCAGCTAATGCGCTGGAAGACCAGTGGCGTCGCTGTCAAACCATTTTCTTGACAAGGAATTTTGCTGTATGCGACGAGATGTTCCTCGCATAGGGTTGGGGTTGGTAGCGGTTGAGTTTGGAGGTGCGTGAAAAGCGTCGCGTTGTGTCATGTTGTCGGCATGCAAATCAAGGCGGTGACTTTGCCGGTTCTCTCCGCTGCTAAGGCTTGCCAGCGTGAGTAGCTTCTGATGTTTAGAATCCAGAATGCGATAAGTCACGATAAATGCTCGCCCGCCGACTTGTATTGTCTGGATAGGTTGGGCCGCTGATTAGGCCTACCTTGTTCATGAACCAATCCAAATACTCGGTCGCGTCTCGTACTTCCCTATCCCTTAGTTGAGACCCGCCCCTAAAGTTCAAGTCGAGCAACACCCACGCATCGATTCGAGAAGAGTGAATACTTTAACGCTAGGCGGAGTTCCCCACACTTTCCGGGAGACAAACACAATGCCATTCAGTCCTATTTGATAAAATAAAATACCACCCGTTTGTCGCTCGCGTGTCCCCTTATGGCGCAGAACGCGTCGCGTAGGCAAGAGGGGGCACTTGAATACAGAACGTGGAAATGAATGGACCAATAAATGTGCACCAATGGAAATAATGCTTGCTCGGCTTTTTGTGCTAAATATTGAACTTCGAATCTGGGGCTTTATTGGAGGGGGGTAATTGAACGCGTCCGGTGAGAAGCAACTCCTTGTCTTGGTCCAAACCGGGTGTGGAGTAACGTTACATTCGTTTGGACACGAACGCGTCGCGACATCCACGTGATCTTGGATCTGGCCCCATTTCCCCTCTTTCGTTCAGGCCATATTTCTTCTCCTCCGCCATCAGCTTCCATCATTATTATCATTCGTCCCCTGTTAAACCAGTCCTTGTTCTTCGCCGTTCTCGCCGCCGGTCCTGCCATTCCTGTGACTTCATAGGACTCTCCGATCTCACTTGTTGACCTCGGATTGGGCACGTACCTCGTGAGCAGACCGCCAGGACAGTCACTAGTTTACAGCGCAATTTCATTCTCATTATTTGTGAGCCAGGGCTGCTCGATATCGGTTCAAAGCCAGGGTGGGAGGGCTGCTTGATGAATCCTTCATCCAGGGGTCCCCTTTCTCGCACAACAGGTATTGCAAGAATATGGCCACCACACCGCTAGACTCACGATGGAACTTCAAAAGGAAAGTACTAGTTTATGCACCCGGCCCTCCTGGTTCCCCTGATTCCCAAACACATCTCTCTGCTACCGTTCTTATGTCCTACAACCCGGAGACCAAGCAAGGGATCGTCTCTCTTCGGGTCACACCAAATAAGCCCAACCGGGCTTGCGCATTGCAGATGCCGACGTTGACCTTTCCCCCAAAATCAATACAAGACTGTTCATGGTTCCCGAAAAGTAATGATAATCTTTGCCCAGCTCGTTTGCTTCCCAAAGTCCCGGGGCATGGCGGCAATGTTTCAGATATTTCAACATTGAGTTTGCAACTGAATACGACGGCCGAGATTTTTGTTCCAGATAATATGAAGTGTCTCACGCCACACACTGAAAGCATGTCGATCTTTGACACGTTGAAACGTATCTCTCAACCAGGCACTATATATATACATTTCGGCAAAGATCAGATTCCAGAGGAAGGAGTACTTCAACTGCAAGGTTTCCTACGTGCCCTTCGAAGCCGCAGTGTCGACCTATTGCCTTTGAACTTGAAACGCCAACGCTTGGTTCAGACGACTTTGAATGACGATCGTCTACTCCCCTTTCCTCCCCCATACAGCGAAAAGTCCGCGTCCGAGCAGCAGGAGCTACCCCCTATTGTGCGAATTCCGATTCAGAGGTGGTTGAGAAATGGCGCCTTGGTATCATCTCGTCCTCCCAATGTCTTCTGTTCAATGACTCATGAGTAGTACCTAGATTCACCACCGAGTTTATCTGAGAATGAAAATCAGGACAGACAGGTCTTTCCAGCCTCTCAACCGCTAGACTCTGGCACTGAAGTCGCTACGCCCACCAATGTCAGCGCGTCAAGTATTGTCTCACCTTCACCGTCCCCAATACGCCCAGCTGTTTTTGCACGTGCTACCACTCGTAGCCGCACACATCTCGATAGAATTGCGGGTCTCGAACGTCAGCTTCGAGGTGTTCCTGATCACCTCATTCGCAGACTATTAAAGGGATCGGGCCACTCACATCTGCTGACAGATCTGGGGGATTCAGACAGTGATTTGTCCTATGAGTCCGAGAAAGCGAGCTTTTCTAAGGTCCAGTCGAATAACTGTGACTCAATCCGAGACTACGTCGACGCAACAGTCCAGCGCTCCCTCCAGTCCCACGTGAACGAAATTGCCGATGAGAATTGTACATTGCTCTACGACTTAATCCGTGACTTTGGAGAAGAATTTCGTAGTGAGGCTGAAGAATTTTACTCTGGTTTACGGATCGAAACCGATGAATGCTTACGCGAACTTGAAGAGACGTGTCAAGAATCGATTGACCAAATGGAGGAAAGAAGCCAACGATGCCTTGATTACATTCGGGATGAGGGGGTCACGGCTACGGAGGAAAATATTGCAAAGTTCAGGCTCTCTCTTAGACGTTATCGTCACCGTCGCCTTCGGGCTACCCGACCTGGTGCCCCCAAGCACAATCGGATGCAACGTTACTCCAGGCGCCGCCGTTGCTGTTAGTGTCGCTTTCTCTTTACGCTTTAGTACAAGGTACCAGTTCGCCGAATCCTTGTTGGATACAAAGTTGTTCCCAGGCCATGGACTGCGTCCTGATTGTAGACACAGTCATTTAGTTCCGGAATGGGGTTTATCCCTTACAGCCGTAGTCGTGCGGTCAAATTCCTTTCAGTTCCCTAGCCAGGTGAGTGGTTACGGGAAAAGAAGTGTGACTAATCCCTCCGTTATTCCTGGAGATCATTAATTATTGTATGTATGCTGTCCACTGAGCAGCCAATCATATTTCAGCATGGGTCCTACGGTTGATTCATTTGCACAGTTCCCTGTCCGGAAGTCGTCAGAATCAATGCTGGCGAACCGGTCGCTCATCAACTCGAGATCTACTTTCTCGCGATGGCTGGAATTCCCTTTACGCAGAGGCGAGTGTCGAGGCTGATTTTGTTAACTCCGTTGAAGGCCTTTCCAGATTGGATGCAATGAGGGTCACGACTTTTGCATTTATAACACGCTCGGCCCATAGTGTCAGAGAGGATCAGAAGGGCTTGTTCCGTCGTCTTGTCTGGTCGCCCATCATATTGTGTATCGGGTAGCAAGCTGTGCTTCTTGGCGAGGTACGACAAGGTGCAAACCTCAGCCAAGCGGAAACAATTGGACATGCCCTAATACCTCTCTTCAGGCGCCTGAACAAATGCCTCAGATCAACTTCGTCATTGCTGATGAGCTACAAAGCAGACTGGGCAGAAACTAACAAACGAATTTTTCCTACAACACTAAATCACCTGGAAGAGGCCATGTCACGTGCCTGTGTGTTGGCAAAGAGAAAGCAAAGGCTTATGCTTCTTGTCAGCCCCTATGTGGCCAGCATATCATTCAATATACCACCAAAATTCCATATGGTCACGGTCTACGGCTGCGGCGACCTGCCCCTCGAAAAGAGAGGCGTAAATGGAGAAGACGGAGTACTTATCCACGATTCTTCCACATTTTGCATCGTTCGTCTCAGGCAGTGGGAAGACCGACCCCAAAATCTCAGAAATCGAAGGCTTTGCTTTTTGGGGAAATGTCTACCTTAACCTAGACGTCAACGAGATGGATGGCGATTACAACCTACCTTGTCTGTCCGCGGACCAAAAGGAAAAGTTTGTATGCTATGCGTGGGCTGCAGCTACCTTCTTCTGATGAGTCTTCTTTCTGGGATAAGTGGAAGGCCGCCATTGCTATCCTGATCGGTGGGCTCGCGGGTGTAGCTAAGTTTGAGGCTGGGATCAAGCTCACAGGTGCAGGCTTATTCTGCAGCCACTGGTTTGGTTTGAAGATTTCTGGTGGCTATCTCAGCACGACCGCCTATGTGGCCGCTGTAGCCCCGGCGGTGGCAGTAGCTTTCGGTACAGCTGCTGCTGTCTACTTCGTTCAATGGGGCGCGCTCTGTGACTACTTCAAATGTCTCCTAGAATCGCTGTGGAAACTTCTTGCCGGAATCCATGAATGGATTCAGGAACAGCTGTCTAGCCTGAGGGGTGTTGTGGAGCAGTTTCCATCTTATCCTCCATCTTACAGAGCCTTTGAGTCTACTTAATTCAAGGCACAAATTTAATTGATGTCTTTTATCAATTATTTTTGTCCTCTATTTCCAGTTGAGCAAAAAATTGCAAAATAATGTACTTTTTTCAGATTTCAGCAATTGAACAAGCATTCAACTAAGACGGGCTTTTGACTTGTTAACCCCTGCGCCATATTATCTTTTCGACTACTACCAAGGAGATGGCTCAGTTGGGCATTGATATAGATGGCCTGAAGTTTGCTGTTGTAGAACTGGAGCGCTTCGAGAGTGTCGCCTATGGCAATTGTGGGAGATTACTCAATCGCAGAGTTGCTTTGGCATACATCTGCGCGAACTACACATCCGCACACTAAAGGCAGTCAGGTCGCCACCTCATATGTCCATCAGACCCTAGTCACTAGGGCGATGTGTGCAAAATCTTTTACGAAAAGGGTATTCACTGTACTGATTTCTACTGCGTAGATATGTGGAGTGACTAATTACCACGCATCAATATTAGTTACCGTAATTTCGACTTTGTCTTCACGTAAACATCACGAATTTAACCTTTCTCGGAATTCTCTCCTAACAGAAATGCGATCCGCAATGTTATGGCTTCTCCCTTTGAGAGTACGTTTGAAGATTGGGTAGCTGTACCAATCTCAGGTTCCTTCTCTACACCGGTGTCGGCGGAAGGTGCAGACTTAACCAGCAAGTCGCACACAAACTCCAAATTCTGTAAATTTTCAGTTATTGCACTTGATATTTCTGCCTAGTCTGCTTCGTAGCTCCTGAGAAATGTCGAACTTGATTTGAGGCATCGGTTTAAGCGCCTAAAGAGAGGGATCAAGGCATGTGCAATTGTTTTCGCTTGACCGAGGTTTGCACCTGGATGCTGTCTGATCTGCAAGAAATGCCTATGATGTGAAGCTTCAAGTCGGTAAAAGCCTTTCGATTCCAGGTCCATGGAGGGCAAACGTAAACCGGTTTCAATGCATAACTTCATTAGGGCCCAAAGAAGAACTTCAATCCATCTAAAATCCTGTAAACCCCTAGCTGGTTCAATTTCGTCAAGAAGAACCCGGGGCTCCTCAGTAGCTGACTGAATCTGAATGGAGCAGGCCCGGGCTTCTAACTTGCAGTTCATGACAAGTATCAGAGATACCATTCAAAAGCTCTATCCGTTTCTCCATGTCATTCTTGTTGTAATTAATTGAGTGACTTGGATGCTTGGAGTAGATAACTTTGGCATGAGTCCAAAATTCCTTTGACAATGGGCCATACTTTCCCGTGAACAGCTCTTTCGGTTCCTGGAAAAGTTAGCGTATATCAATGAATAGCGCTCAGAGAATCATTGGCTTACGCTACCCATGCACAACACAACATCCGGTTTCTTTGCATCAATTGCTTTAATGACAAGCTCGTATAATCTCTCTCGTTGTCAGGTCTGGAGTTTCTTGTTTTCCTCTTTGCGTATGAATGCCCGTTGATCAAGGAGAGAGACATGGTTCACTAAATCAAGAGACCAATCTGAGCCAATATGAATCCCTTAGTGCGGTTAGGTTATGACTTTAGCTCGCAGAGAATTTGTTTGGGTGGAGATTGGTCGGGATGGGAATAGGGTGTTATCGCTGATGCAGTATATAGGGTTGATAGCATGCAAGGCGACATACTGAATTTCGGGTAGTTTGCTTATGTATGGCCCCACTTCGGCCCGCAAGGATATGCATTGTTTTTGTATTTTGGCAACCATTGCATTTATATTCACCTTTTAGATATACGTTCATTTAACAGTTGACTTAAAACACACTGAAATTTCAACCTATTTCAGCCATCGTGATGTCCGTCTTGGCGTAGTTTTAGTTGGCTGGCTTAAGAGGGAGTAGGAACGGGACGGGTTTTTAGAGCGCTTCCCGACCAGTCCAATTTGAGGTTGTTATCATACGCAGTGAGTGTACGCAGGAACTTAATCACGAGATCGTAGAAGGTTAGGAGAATTTTCAGGAGCTATTTTAGAGAATAATTTATTACGGTATCAAGTCATTTGCTCCATGCATTGCTCAATCCCATAATCAGTGAAGCGAAAAAGATCCCCGCACCGCATGCTGTCACAAATCATTTTAATTCGTCAAAAATGCGTGCGTGAGTTGAGGAATATTTCACGCCTAAGCATCAAACGTGGCGCAGTGGTCAAGACTGATAAATAGATATGTCATTATACACAACCTATTTAGCATATAGTGCAAACTAATCGCTATCACTAGCCCCACAAAGCTAAGATTCTCAGTTGAGGATTTGTTTTCCAAGAAATAACATTCTTCTTCTCAACGTATCTCGCGAATGTTGGGGTAGAAGCCGCAGCCTAGTTATTCATCTGAAGTGATCCACTGTCCATATTCTTATCTGCCTCAATTGGCCGCCCGCATTAATGTTCCGGGGTTTGATGGCGCCACAATTAAGACTTCATTTCTCGCCAAGGCCCTTTTCGTGTGACTGACATCAAAGTTGCCAGCTATGGTAACCTTTACTTGTACAGAGCACGGAGGAGATTTTCAAGATCGTCGTGCGGTCATTGAGCATATTCGAGGGTATCATGTCAGCTTTATTAGACGGCCAGGGCGACCAGGGCATGTCGATTTCCATGGCCATATGTGGTATTGCTTTGCATGTGAATCGCGAAGCCTCAACGATCACCGGAGTTATGATTCCGACAACGCCATGTGGGGCCACCTGACTCAATCTCACAATGATGTTTTTGATAGTATCATGTGGTGAAAACTCACAAGAGTAGTGATTATTGTTACACGTTACCAGGCCAAGTCGACTGGAACATTACGACATCAGCAAAAATCTATCTTCCTGTACTAAGAATGAAGTTTGAGCTCAACCACCTTGGATTTCGCATATTTATATCTATATTTTCATGTGTCTCGTCGAGATCCACAGACCACCTTACTTGACTGCTTATCGTCTTGGGTTACGTCGATTGTACGACTAAAGATATAAGTATCCACATAGTCTTTAGTTTCTACAATAAGCTTTTTGATTATCTTAAAAACTCAATCCGTCAACTCCGACGAAAGAAGGTGCCATGGAAGCAATTAATGCTTTCCTCTTTTGAGGCTGCGCAAGAGAGGCTGTCGAAGTACTACGCTATGACAGATAGTATCGAAGGCGCTCTCTACACAGACCCTCCTTTGCCTGACACACAGCAGCGTGTATCTAGGAGGAAGCGCAAGCGCTCGAAGCTACTTGAGGGCTATGTACTTGGATCTCAATAATTACTACACTGTTTAATTCTATATATCCTAAGTTGGCATTCGTACTATGATTTCTTATGATTTCCTCTCTTGATTCACAATTCTCTACTCTACTGCTATATTTAAAATTACAAATGATACCCAGAAATTCTCTCTAAATCCACATAATTAATGCACCGCAAGCAAGTCACGTTTTCTACCAGTTTGTCTTGTTCAGGGACCCTGAGGTGCATCCGCGGGTGAGGGCCAGGTCTAGCCGTGGTCCTGTCGAAACTCGTCTCGGAAAGCAAAATCTCGCGGCGGGCAAGATGTGATCGTCGAGCCAGGAACATCAAAGCGGAGAACTACTTGTGTAAGAAAATTAGGAATAAATTCAAAATAGGTAATGAGTACCACATATTGAAATTTATAGTCTCTCACAAGAATCTGCCAGACTGGTTCCTTGCCGCAAATTTTGGCAGCGATCTTCAGGGTAGGCGTTAAGGATAGAATGGGAATCTGGGGATAGGTTGGGACTGGTGTCTTTCGTCTGTTGAGGGACAGCCACGCGGTGGGCGGCCCTTATGCCTAAGGGGCGGGCCCAGTGGACGTGCCCTGATAAGGTGTCATTTGCGGAGGGTAGGTAATCTGGCGCGTCTGGTGCGCTAGTTGCACAGGTTGGCGAGTGAAGAGGGAGAGAAATTCATTGAATTGCTCTTGAAATTTCTGGTTAACGCTATGCCTCTTGGTCTTTGTTCGCTTCTCAATTCTGGCAATTCTGGCCGATTGTCGACGTTTCATGTTAACGGATGGGTTGGTCCACTCGAAAAGCCGAAATATTTGAGACTGCTTCATGCGGTAGACTGCACATTCGTGGAGATTTTGAAAGATTTCCATAAGCTCTGGTGATGGCTTGCGGGTCTTTAGATCTAGCAGATTGAAGGGGCAAGATGCCAGAACACCATCACCTTTTTGAATGAGGAGCTTCACTATCTGAAGATGTCCTCCCCGGACAGCAGCATCGAGTGGAGAACGAATCTTCCATTGCTTTATTGTAGGGTTTTCAGACAAGGAACCATCGTGCAGAAGAAGGCTACCTTCATAAGAGCATTTGTTTGGGTCAGCTCCAAAGTCGAGGAGTAGAGACACAGCCTCATGATCGTCACTGTTGGCGGCAACAAACAGTGGCAACTGCCGATGGAACAGGTCTGGTGCGTCTGGGTCCGCACCAGCTTCGAGAAGAAATCGAATTATTTCAAGATCGTCCGTTGGATATACCTGGCGTTGGATGATCGCAACAATTAGAGGGTTGATATAACCGCCACAGTTGCTTGCTGCAAATTCCCTCTCCTTCCCGGCAAAATAACAACCCTCGTCAAGTTGACCGTAGCGAGTAAACTTATCGATCGCTGTGATGAGTTGATGTATATTGGGAATCTCTTTTATCAGGTCCAGTCTCCCCATGCGGATTGCATGATAAAGGGCTATTGAGCCATCCTGGTGGGAATCGAATACACGTGGGCGTAGGTTGTGGTAGAGACCCGGACAATGGTAAGCGATTAAAAGGTGGTAGAGATCAAACGCACCCAAGTGTGGCGTTATATGGAGAATAATCTCTGGCGGAAGCTTCTCCATCATGAGTTTAAAAGCAAGGTCTAGAAAAACTTAGGTTGAATGGATGGCGAGCAGTCCTAAAAGATGGTGACGCACAATGGAGCTGATGGCGTGGCTTGCTTTTTAAGGGCATTGGAGGAAAGAAAGTCACGTGGACATATCGAACAAGATGTCCCTCAAAACCCGCAGGTAAGTGTTCGGTTCCGCGAGAAGACTTAGTTATTGTTCACATTACAACATCGAGACTAGCTATCGAAATATATTTAGCGCTGACGGCCTAGTCACTTTTGTGAGCCGGTACCATAAGGGTTTCCACCTTAGCGGTGATGTCAAGGTTATCCACCAGTTTGTTCCACGAGTAGGAGGGTCTCTTGTTGTACGATATATTTTGCTGGCTCTACTGTTTGTGGATCGGCTCGTGGCCCTGCAACAGAGCATCCAGGGCCAGCCTCTTGCGAATCCTACCACTCCGGCCGACTCGGCTCTCTGGGGCCCAGACCCTGTTCCTCGGTGTGACTGGACATCGGATCATTTTAGCAAGAAGCTCCAAATGTAATCCACAACCTTGAATTTTGCGTTGACCACTGTTATCTTTATGTTTAGGGATAGAACTCAAAATACTAAAATCTCCGACACCTGCAATCACAATACACTCAGATTTGATTTTCTTCTGAGTCGCCACATTCATCTCATAAATTATACATGTGTACACGTTCGGCACCTTTCTGCACTTAACATCACCTTATCATTGGTCTTGCGAAGCCTGAAGTTCTGGGTCATTTGCCTTTCAAGTCGCCGACAAACATTCCATCTTGCCTGTCCTCAAATGAACAACAAAGGTAGCACATTGTTTTCCATGGAGGAGCTGTAGTAGCTCGGCTTCTCAGCATGTTCAGCATGGTGCCCATAAGAGTAATTACTCCTAGCAGCCATACTCCCGCTGGCAAGCTAATCCATTGCCAATGTACGACGACGTGCGTCCTGGGTATCATGGCTTTGCCAGCAACTGACGCGCCACGCGCTACCGGAAACCCACCGTGTGTTACCAAAGACAAACCCTGTGTCGAGTCTCGGAGCGTCTTTGATATTGCAGCCGCAGTATTTTCCATCACGCAGCGAAGCTTCTCGGCAGTTTTAGCTGTGCACCCAGTAACATTGGAGTATGCTATCGCTTGCATGACGTCTTCCGCAGCATATAACGAGGATGCATCCGATCCGTCCACTCCATCATGATATGCCACGCCTGGAAGGGAGACCGTCACTCTGCCGGTGAAGAGCCAGCTAAGAAAATAACTGATTGCCTCCCCCGAGTGTGGCCCCATTCGAGAGGTATCATTGTGGTTTATGCCTAGCTCCTTGCCCCACGGGGGTTGAAAGAGTATCTCCGATTCATCACTTAAGGATGTTTTTGTCCAGACAGAAAGGGTTTCTTCATGATATTTCTCCCCCCGTGACAGACGCATTAAAGCTGCGAACAACGGGTTCTAAGACACATTCGAATGCCTGCCACATATTCGGATCCGGGACCATTGGCAGATTTGCGACTCAACCGTGAAACAATTTCCCATTTTTTCAAACCAAATTTGCATACGGGTAATAGTAAATAATTTAATATGAGATTTAGAGTCTCGGCAATGTATATAATCCCGTTGTGTTGTTATGGTGCGCGAAACTTGGAAACATTTTGTCGATTTCGTCGGCCATCGATCGGGTGGGGCGCGCGATGCTCGACCAACAATATTTTTTCTGGACACCGGATTTGGCCAATCATGAATTTTCTGGACTCTGACAAGCAGCCAATGGTAAGCACTTTTAGACCAAATTCTGGCCCCACCTAGGTTGATTGATCTACTCCCATCCTGGTACCCCCTATTAGCTGCGCACGCTTACGACCTTGTTTCAACAAGCGAGAGCCACGCCGCGCGACCACTTCTACAACTAGATCCGCCACCATACATTATGGATCATACCTAGTATACAGGCAGATATGGGCGGTCAACTAGGGTGGCCTCAGTCTCTCAGACTTGCGGCGCCACTATACAGTCGGTATCAGTGGAATTGGTATCGCAGAGCATAATCAAAATATATTGTCGATACGAGGAATTGATGTACTAGCTAGTAGTGAGCATATCATAGAATTAGATGATTGATTGGTGATGCGCGCGGCACACGCCGTGACCTTGACACAATGATAACGAAGGGCCGGGACGAGAAAGTCAGAAAAAGGGAATGTTGATTTGCTCCACTGATACTTCATAACGCGAATAAGCTTTAGCCAGTGAGAACGCCGATATCGTGCCTATTAGCTGGAACATGATAGAAAACAGAGAAAGCAGAAATTTGCAACCAGTATATCGGCGTATGATGTTTTACGTTGTCTTCGCGAGAACACCTCTCTGGAGGTGGAGCGGTAGCCGAAGGTAAGGACTCATTCTCATCGGTGGTTTCTGGCTATCTAGTTTGCGCGGTGTCATCATCCTCAATATTAAGAGCAACTACTTCAGGGGAATGTAGCGGTGGATGGGTGATTGTAAGTGGTTCAGTCCACGAACTTGCGGCGGTTTAGTCGGAGTTTGATGGCGAGTTATTTGAGACCAACGGTCTACACGCTTACATTCTAGTCCAGGATGGGTGGGGGGTAAATAATGATTAGGTCTTGGGAGACAGTGTATATCATCCGCGACGATAGCAAATTGAGGATTCTTTTTTGTGGGGCCGAAAATGCGACATGTTATGAAGACATGAGAATTTGTGGTCAGAGGTGGAAGGTTTGTCTGTTGCTGACTATTTCTGAAGTACGTGGTGTCTGGGAAGGCGTGACAGGGTCCAGAGGGACTGTTGTAGACAGTAGTCTGGTGATGGTAATGAAGAAGAAGTTGCCCGCCGTTTAGTTGGCCACCACGTTCAAGAACAACAGCAAGAAACGTCACCTTAGGCTGGAGCTGCTTTTAAGGCATTTACGAAGTGTCTTTTATGTTTTTTTCATTTCCAGGATGACTAGATTGTGTCGGCCCGGCTTGGTTCAGTAACAGATAAGGTAAACTCACCGGTCCAAAGTGTGAGTGTGGATAATAATATGGAATTCCTCATTATCGGATGAGGTGGTCAGGAACGATCCCGAGGAAAAGGTAAAGTTGTTCGATTTATAAAAATCAGACTGGTCACCCTCATCAAAAAACTTTATTAAGGTAGGGATTTCGTCATGTTCAAGTTCGTCCGACTGAATGTTCTTGAACGGTATATTGACGGTATATTGACGGTATATTGAGCGATATATGGAGCTACAGTGAAATTCCTTTACCGGGATGGGTAGGGTCCGGGTCGGCCAACAAGACACCTGCGCAACCTGACCAGTAAGAACTAGTAATCCAAGACGATAAACCGTCAAGGTGGTCTGTGGATCTTGACGAGACACATGAAAATATACACACAAATATGCAAAATCCAAGGAGGTTGAGCTCAAACTTCATTCTTAGTACAGGAAGACAGATTTTTTTTTGATGTCGTAATGTTCCTGTCGACGTGGTCTGGTAACGTGGAATAAAAATAACCACTACTCTTCCGAGTTTTCACCACATGATACTATCAAAAACATCATTGTGAGATTGAGTCAGGTGGCCCCACATGGCGTTGTCAGAATCATAACTCCGGTGATCGTTGAGGCTTCGCGACTCACATGCAAAGCAATACCACATATGGCCATGGAAATCGACTTCCCCTGGTCGCCCTGGCCGTCTAATAAAGCTGACATGATACCCTCGAATATGCTCAATGACCGCACGTCGATCTTGGAAATCTCCTCCATGCTCTGTACAAGTAAAGGTCGCCATAGCTGGTAACTTTGATGTCAATATCATGAACGTAATGGTGTTCAGAGAGGGGAATAAAAGGTGCTACGGTTGAGGGTGCACTGCCGAGCCTCAAAATTCAGAGAGAGGTACGACGAAGTGTCGAGGAGAAGAATCAATAATCCACTGGAAGTCTGGACGCATCATGATTTTTTTCTGTGTTGCCGCTCACGGAGATCTCACAATCACCATTGCGTCATAGTACAGGTGATGAGAAGCCACTGACTAATCAAATATCAGTCACACAAAAAGGGACTTGACGAGAAATGAAGTCTTAATTGTTGCGCCATCATACCCCGGAACATTAATGCGGGCCGCCAATTGAGACATAAGAATAAGAACAGTGGACCACTTCAGATGAATAACTAATCTGCGGCTTCTACCCCAACATTCGCGAGATACGTTGAGAACAAGAATGTTATTTCTTGGAAACAAATCCTCAGCTGAGAATGTTAGCTTTGTGGGGCTAGTAATAGCGATTAGTTTGCAATATATTTAAATAGGTTGTGTATAAAGACATATCTATGATTTATCAGTTTTGACCAAACTGCGGTAACTGCCTAAAATCATGCACTTATAATCTTTCCACCTTTCGATCTCTCAAGTGCTATATCGGAATCGAGGGTTGCGATCACCAAGCTCTTGAATTTCCCCCTCAGACAGAGGACCACGCTAGAGAGACGATCACGAACCAGATGTACTTGGAAAAGTACTCAAATACTGGGCGCGGATATCGGACGGACATGTCAGGACCAAAGTCCTTAGAGAGCGCTCCAGTCCAACAAGAAAACCGTGTGAGAGACGATTGTAGATCGAAATCGAATGAAATCTGTATTTCAATTTCTTCATCGTCAAACAGCTCGACAGCCTGGGTAGACTCATCATCATCAAGACAAAGGGGTGAACCAGGTTGCGTAGAACGGTCGAGGGTACACTCGAGGGCTTCTTGGAGAGCGAGCTTGGCATCCTTACGTACCTTCTTGGCCATCATCGCGACCAGCAGGCGTTGTCGCAAAAAGTTGACCACGACTTGCACCCGAGTCTGCAGTGGATGGCAATGGCTGTCCCTTTTAGGTGTCGCCAGATTGAACTGCATTTCTAACCGCCAACCTGGTGCGAAGCGAAGTTGAACGGAGTATTAGGCTGCTAATATTGAGGAATTAAAAGGCTAGTCGAGAGGGGAACGCATATTTTCGAAATACCTTAATGGAACGCCTATAGCCATTTATGTAACCGAACTTGGGGTCCTTCGTTTTCGAAGTGACGAAGGACGAAGAAGAGCTGGTTGGGTGCTTTTCTCGTGTTCGTCCCACACGTCGCCCTTCACTAACCCGAAAGAGCTTAGCTCCCGTAACCTCAAATTTTTAGGTTGGTTTAGCGCTAAAGCAAAACCACTTTATTCTATACAATCCAATCCATGCTCTTAACCAGTCCACAAGGCAACACAACGCCCGCGACGGTAGGTAACCCTGTACCCTATTGTCAGTTGGGATCTGCTGTCTTCCCAGTTCTCTGCCTCCTTATTGGTTCCCGGTGCGTGCCCCCATCCTTAGGGCCGCGTCGTCCCAACATCCGGACCACGAAATCCGTCCAGCCCCGACGGCAGCACGGACCGGAGTGTGAGCTTACCATCGCTATGAAATGGTTAAATGGAGCCATGCAGAGGCTTGAGTTTGATCACAGGCATTCTATTTCAAGCTTTTTGTAGAGCTTCAAGAATGAGGGTTTCAGGGGGTTGGGTATCAATATATGCCATCCGAGATAGGTAACTTTTTAGTCTTCGAAACTGCAAGACTTTGGTGGTGCAAGCAGTAGCCTAGTCAAATTAATTTATTATTAATGTTTAGAGATTAATTTTGCGTCCATGTGCGTACAGCAAAAAATTAAATATCGGCTTCATCGCTGGAGAGCGTCAGTCAAATTCTTCGCAGTGCCGAACCTCTAAAGAAAGTGGTCATGCCACTCCGCAATCGTCATCCACAATCCACGCCTTGCTGGAATGCAACGCCCTAGCAAGCAGCTCAGATGGGTAAAGATCAATATAGCCTTCAGGATCCCTTTGTGCTTCGATGTGAAATGAAGAAAATGCTTGATCGCCATATTAAAACGAATCTAGTCTCCCTCATTTACAATATCGTTCTTAGATCTACACCTCACCGAACACACCCACCACATAGCATCAAGATATTTCTCCTCGATTCTAGCTATCGAGTCTGATCTCTAGAGGAAACTTCGGGCTTTGCAATGCTTGAGGCGTGGGCTCAGGTGAAGCAACAGTGACCTCTATCGCGGACGGAGAGAAAGAATCAATTGGGTCATTGCACAGGCAAGAGTCTTCGTGGGGCTTCCAACCGCTAGTCCTACAGCTACTACTGGGTGGTAGGTCGAGCAGTGAATCCTGGGAAGTTGATCCAACAGGTTTAATTTGGTCCTCCCACATACTGGACGCTGGGCTCGGGTTTCGGGCCCTCATAGTTGCCGCTTGAGCATATATGTTTGCCCAAAGGCTCCAGAATGGCATTCTATATACTGGGTAGTGCATCCTGAGCAACCTGCTCCTCCTTGTCCAATCCGAGAAGAAAGGTCGCATTTCCTCTTCTGTTGGTGGCAATAATTGCAGGGCTTCCGTTTGGCTCCTCGGGGCATAGTGAATGGTCGGGAAATAGTGAGGAGCCCTGACAATACTTAAGGGGAAGAACAGGGGCATAGGGATGGGAAGCTTTTAAAGGCGAGAAAGCATTGTGCGACAGCAATCGCCGCAAGACACCCATAGCCCAAAAGGAATACATGGTCTACTCTACGGGATAATTCCAGATATATTCTATTTTTGTGGTTGTGTTGTAATGTCTGTTTGAGGACAGGTAGGAGGAAGAGTGTGGGCTGTGGTGTGGAGCTGCTTCATTGAACTCGAGCTGCTTCCCGAGTCTGAAGGACCCAGGGTAGCTAATCGTTCCCTAGATACATGAGAGCGGTGCAAGTTCAAACAATGAAGCTATCTATGGATCAAAAAATGTGACGTTAACTATTGAACGTTGACCATGCTCGCGAAGCTTCTTTGGCTGCCATCGTCGTCCTCATCCGCATTCATCGCCATTCTAGCAGCCTCAACTTCTTCCTCAGTTGGCAGGTTCACAATCATGAGATAAAGAACATTCCTCAAGATTTTTCTGGGGATAATTTCCATTCCATTCCTCTGGGCCTGTAGCTGGTCTCGCTGCAACTGGAATTGCCACTCGTAGGTTGCGATATGCTGGCGTTGCTGTTGTTCAGAGAAGCCCATGGCGCGGAACTGACGGCGAAGCAGCTCCAACTGGCTATCTTGTTGCTCATATATAAGCTTTTCCTGCTGCTCATATAAACTATTCGCGCTTTCCATTGTCTTTTTTGGGTCAATCGTAAGGCGCCCGCCCGATATCAAGCCAAGAAGACCTCCATTACTGGCCGGGTGATTAGGATCAAGGAATCGATGTTGGAATTTAGATTCAGGGGCTGAGGATAAAGTATCATGGTTGCTTTCACTAGCCTGGTTTGATTTGTTAATGGAAGCCTCCCTGTCTTGAATTTGAGAAACTTACATATCTTGCCCGGGCGCGATTATCAAAGTAATTATTCATTTTCTCCCAAGGTCTCGCTTTCTTCCTTGTCTCAGTGTTCTCATCCTCATCGTCCGAGAATATTAGGGGTGCAATTTCTGGTGGTAAATTGTGCTCCCCTTCCGTAGTAGCAGAAAAAGGATTACGCAAGTTTCTCCTGACTTTATCCGGCCATTTGCTTCCAGAGAGGTCAGAAGTGTCGCTGGCAAATTGTCTTTGTACCGACCTATCGAGGTCTTCTTGCTGTTTCTGCGCGAGAGGGTTGTATGTCACAATCATACAGTAGAGTCCTCGAGGGCAGAATAGTTCTCGATTTGCCTTATCTATAAAAGAGTTCACTCTGGCCAAGGGGCATTAGACAGAAGTTATTTCCGAGGGATTTCTGCGACGGGACCTACTTCCATCTAATTTGTGCCTTTGCTGCGACTGCTGATACTACCTGCACTGCCGCCGTCGCGCCCATCGAGATTTGGTTCGGCACGAACGAAGCCCCGAATGCTACAATTTGCACAGCAGCAATCCATTTAGAAGCCTGGACTGCTTTATTCAGAGCGTCGATGAACTCATGAAAGTGCTCCTGGGTGATGCCACATTGGGATAGCATTGGAGCATAGGCTTTCATGAAACCTCTCGCTTTATTTCCGGGTCGTCGTTGAGGGACCACGACAGGGCAGGTAATTTGCCCATAAGAAGGAGCTACCGAAATTTTGGAAATGCGTTCAATGAACGAAGTGATTATTGTGTCGGCTTCCTCGCCTGTTGCAGTGTCAGCCGGTATGCCATCGTCCTCATCCATATCTGTCGACTGGCGAGGTTCAAGGGAATCCTTATGGTCGACAAAACAGGGAGAGCCAGGAGCCATTTTCAATTTTATGTGCTTTTCACTAGTAACCTTGTAGCGGGGCCTTCGTTTTATACCCGAAGATATTGGCGCAAGCTGGATGTACAAGAGTCGCAACAATGCCTCAATTTGGTGGAAGGCAATGATTTGGGGTCCAGGGGTCAAGACCGAGCCAATTATAGCCGCAACCTGTCAGTCACCCTTTAAAGAGTGCTCTGATAGGTACATAGCTGCGCCTCTGACGTAATGGAGTATGTTGTCTGCCTCGTTTACAACAAGCTTTCACTAAGATTCCTAGTAAGCCGCTTACCGTGTTAGGCGTCCACCCGGTGGAAACTGGGTTAGGCAAATCTACCAGTGTACAGCCCCATGGTCAGCTCACTTCGGACGGTCTTCTCTATTAGGTACGACTTCCCATCCCTGGAGGTCCTCTTTATCTCCAAGAGTGAGGGCTAAGCCTATCTATAACGGCGGGAGGCTTACCGCCACCATGTTGAATACTGAGGTGCCCTTATCCCGTCGATTTACTGAGTTATTGTTAAGCAATTAGGGAGTAGGCGATATTATGCGGTGCCACGCTTTGCGTCGGAGTTATCCTTCGCGCAGGGAACTAGGTACTCAATAAATGCGTTTGATCGACATCACGGTGATCAGTCGGCGGACTGGCAGGGCGCCTAATTGTTCGGAGGGTTAGCCCATGGATGATGAACTAGCAGGGGTCAGGGTGGTCGGGCTCAAATTATCTCTCCGATGATTTGGAATTATTTTCCGATTTTAAAACAGCGTAGGCGATAAGAAAGCCAAGCGAAGGAGTCCAACAATAATGAGTGCGTCATCCTCTAGGGTCAAAGTTTCCTTTAACCCCTCTGTTCTACTTCCATTCACCAAGACAGTACAGTATGTTGTGAAACAGGTGAAACCGTCTTCACTCTTTGAGTGATTTCTGAAACTATTGACTGAACTATTGATTCGTGAACCGACTCAATTCCAGCCCCTCAAGAGATTCTTCAAGTCCTCCGAAAATAGATGCAAAGGAAGCTTCAGCGCAGCGTTGCACATGGCTGGATCCATAGCTCGAGTATCTCGAGGATGAATCATACCATTCTGGTGATTTGAATGCTTTTACACCCTGCACAAGAGACCTGTAATTCAAATTCGGAAAAGGGCCCTTTTTTTCTGGAGAGAGTAGATTGTTCGACTGCATCTGCATAGTCAAAGCACCATACATAATTGAGCGACACTCAAAACGACAGCCCCGCGTGCCGAGCAAAAAGGCATCGCGTGTTTCATCAAGCAGGAGAATCAGATTGTGGATAGCCTTCTCTCTACCTTCATTTATCGAAACTATTGAATCATTAGTTTTTAAGCTTTCGAGAGAGTGTGACTGCCTCACCTATGACACTTTTCGGGATCGGAAGTTCTAGACTATCAATCGAACCTTCGCTGTGCGACATAGCAATAGATGTCGATAACTTGAACTGAGAAGGGAGTCGGAAAAACCAGGCTATCCAAAGCCATAGAACCAAATCCTTAGAAGCTGCAGCAGGAATTTTCTCTTCCAGTTTCTCAATCCACACGTCTGTCAGAAAACACAAAGTCTCTCCGCATTCATAGTAGTCTGCGATAACAGCAACTTTCGCGAGCATCTCCAAGGTCAGCTTCTTAGGTATATGATAGTGTTGACCGTGAATAGCTCGAAGCAGTATCATGAGAGCTTCAATATCCCAGCTATCAGCAACGATCTCAACTGAACCCTTTTGGAGAAAGGCAACGCTTTCTTTCCAGCTTCCAGCCAGTAGTCTTTTAAAAACCGGAGAGGCAAATGTCAAATGTTTAGCAGAGACTTGGATACGCAAGAAATTGTGGGCTGATAATCCAGCGAAATTTCCTTCGAGAAAGGTTTTTTCAAGAAGTGGCTCTTCAGCAGCAGGCTCTTCGACAGGGTGTTCTTCGGTGGCAGGCTCAGGGGCAGGGTATTCTTCGGCAAAGTATTCTTCCGTAGCGGGCTCAGGGGCAGGGTACTCTTCGGCAGGGTACTCTTCGGCAGGGTACTCTTCGGCAGGGTATTCTTCGGCAGGGTATTCTTCGGCGGCAGGCTCAGGGGCAGGGTATTCTTCGGCAGGGTATTCTTCAGTAGCGGGCTCTGGGGCAGGGTATTCTTCGGCAGGGTATTCTTGAGTAGCGGGCTCTGGGGCCGCGGGTTCTTCGGCAAGAGCCTCTTCAGCAGTAGGCTGTTCGGTAATGGGCTCTTCTGCGGTGGCCTTTCTTCTCTTCTCTTTCTTCCTCTTCTTTTTATCCTTTCTCTCCCCGCTCTGTTCCGATAGGCTCGGCCCTAAATGCTGGGACAGAGGGCGCTTCTGGTATTTTCAAGCTGTCCATAGCCCTAAGGGCCTTCTCAGAGTGTTCAACGAGCATATCCAGCGAATTTTCTGTGAAGAGCACTGCACTCAGCGAATATTCGATCGGACGGTAAGCCCTTATTGGTCCGTGGACGCGGGGAATTTCATTCAAGCAAAGATGGAAGAAGACGCGGAATACAAGGATCGGTTGAGGGCTCGTTTCGAGGAGATAGGTCATTGATTCCTGCAGACATGTGTCTGGCTGAACAAGTCTACCCATTGTACCCGGATGTGTGCTCTGGTTAGAGACTAGTTGACGTGGCCTTCAGGCGAGTACTGTACCTACCGCCTAATCTTTTTTGTTCAATTTTCTTTTTCTCTGTGCCTCTGATCCCGAAGATATGACCTGATCGATGTTTGGATTATTCGCAATTTGCTGAGAGGGCAGCTCAATGTCAATACAAGAGCGACGAGACTGGCTCAATTATGAAGGTTATTGACAGAGCTGGCAGCTATTCCTTGTGCGAAGGTTATCCCCCTGCAGTAACACCGTTGCCTATTATCACGTGCTAGGGATATCAGCATGCAATGTCAAAGACTGCTCATATACCTGTAAGATAACCAATCTGGGCGCTTGCCGGAGTAACTAAGTCATTGGCTGCGGCCTCTCCGTACGTTTTCGTCACCACATATGGCCAATAGCCTACCTAGCCTTTTAACTTAGTACATTGATGAAGTAATTAATATCTTACACATCCGTAATCGCACTAAAAGGCGCAAGCGGACAGTCGAGGGGATATTTGGCTGATCCTCAGCCGCTCGTTGAACTATCAATGCGCTTTCATGATTTGGATAATTTAACTCTCCAAGCTGGAATTTCCATCACCTCTCTCAGCCCATATAGAGCGATAACCGATCAATGGAGCTCACTGTACTAGCGCGCGTCGCGTACGCCTTATATGATTGTCAACCAAATGCCCACAATTGTAGCCGCACGCGGAGCTAGTTAACTAGCCGGGTTCCTGGAGGGTTAATTTGTGGGTTGCGTGGCCTATAGTTTGAAAAAATATGTCAAAAACGTGTTTGTGATAATTGTGCCCAATACGGATCGTTAGTCCATGGCTCGTCCTGAAGCGATTCACTGGCTGGACTTGTCCACCTAGTGCCAGTCCGGCTTCTGGCAGTGTTCACCTCAGGGCCCATTAACAGAATCATCGTACCACTCGACAAGATCTGCAAGACCTTTCCAGCGGTCCAAAAAATATTGGTCACCAAGCAGGTGATTAAAACCGGTCCACGGGCATCTTGCTTGAGGGTGTGAGGTGTTTCCCAGACTGTACACGTCACGCAAATATTTTGTCAATTATGTATTCACCGGAAGGGAAACTCCGTCTGTTTCGTGCTTTCTGGATGAGTTTCCTAGGTTGCTGTATAGCGATACCTGTCCTTTATGATGATGAAGAAGTCATTTGCCCCATGTCCACTAAACAATCATTCCTGGGGGCTTGCTAGGCGGAGGCCCTGAATGATCACTCGTTCTATATCAACCTACTACCGCTAGATTTGAAGCGCCTAATAATCGTCAAGGTCGTTTTTATTCGTAGACCTAAACTGATATTCTCAGGATGCAGTTGAGAAGGTGGCTGCGGTGATGAACGTTCAAGAGCTGCACACGGGGTGTGGTAAAACGTGGGCGGGGGAATTCGTGGGCAAAAGGGGGTTGTGTATGGTGTCTAGGATCTAGTTTTAGCAGGGGGAATACCAGCGTCCCAACTTATTTAACGCACGGCACTCGTAACATTTTCAAACGAGGGCTCAACGAGCCAACTGCTGGATGGAGTGAGACCCCGCAGGGATTTTTAGGGTGCAAATAAACTCCAAATATAAGCGCAATGGAGCAAATCAAAACAGCCATTACGTAGAAGAACGGCGAAGAAAGCGAATAGGCGGCAATCTGAATTAGCTGTAACTGTAACCTGCCCTCCCCGCCTTGTCTACACCTTTGACCCGCTGCAACAACCTTGTTTAGTACTCGACTGACGGCCAATCATTTAGCGCCGTTGTGCTCAGACTTAACGAGGCGAGAAGAAGAAGCGGTGAAGGCACTGTACAATTAGTTATGGCGGAGTCCACCCTGGAGTCTGCCGTGCAGACTGGGTCTCAGAAAACATAGTCCACGCGCCCACCCCAACTTCAAAAACTTGTGATCCAATCATTTCGCACCGTCGCCGTGCCTAGGAGGGATACGTCGTTCACGTCCCTGTCAGCAAATACCCCGGGGGACGAAAGGAACTGGCCGAAATCAAAATGACCATGCATCACGGCAGGCACCGGCGAAAGCTTTCTAACTTTAGAGCAGACCAGACCTGGTAGCGTGATATTCAACACAACTCACCCAACTCACCCAACTCACCCAACTCACCCAACTCACCCAACTCACCCAACTCACCCAACTCACCCAACTCACCCTGTTGAATATCACGGTCACTGATGTAGTCACGGGAACGTGAGCACGTGCATGTATATATGTCTACCTGGCTACCAGCTTGTTTGTACTCAGAACACACAATCAATTCCTATCAACTATACAAACATTGAAGCGTCACTTATAACTCAACAGGTTATGAGCCCGAGACTGCGCACATCAAACTGGAAAATACCTCCTACTAAGTTTCCCCTACAAGTGATAGCTTCATCTATTGACCGAACTGGAACAGCTTGCTTCGAACTTCAGAGAAAACACGGTTCTCACGTCCAAGAGGAAGATAAATTGTGCGGATCATCGCAATAATCTCAGAAACAACCACCACACCGCTACGGGCATTCGTCAAATCAATCCTGGGATACACCTCTCTGTTACAAATACGCGACAGCCATCACACCGCTCCAGATGATTGTCAGACCAATGATATCCTACGGTCATGTTGCACAACAAACAACGTCCGGCCCACCGCCGCAGACACATCACATCGCCAGATACACAGGCAATAACCTGATTTCTGTAGCACACCGTTACCCTAGTTTTTCCTTCTCAAACCCCCGATATCCTTGACACGGGACGCGGTTTTTGTTCTATCTCATGAGAAGAAAACACGGATCACAGAAGGGACACAACTGGATTGACGAAGAGCTCAGTCTGGTGTGCTATCTTCGAAACATCCGCCATTGGCGCTTTACGCAAATCCAGAAGACGAATTTCCCATCACTCTCCCGACACTCGGTCGGAGGAGCCTATAGAAATTTACCTCCAGAAGAGCGAACACGTCGGGCGCTCGCTGTTGCCTCTGTGATTGCCGATTGCCACCACACTACAGAGCACAACTCTCTACGTCAAGCTCAAGCCGCACTCCCCAGTCCGGAACAAGGGCCAAGTTATCCCAGCTCAACAAACACCGATGCAGTTTTGACCTCGACCGGCAACAACCAAGCCCGGTACAATCTCCGACCAAACAGACCCTCAACCTTCACAGATCAACAATCACGATATGTGGTCGATCGCATCCGTTTTCCTCACTTCTTCGAATCGTACAGCCAACATCTGAAGCCCTACGAGCTACCAGACAGCGAATACGTTCCTCCGTCGCATACACCTAGCCCAAGGTCGTCAGAGCGTTCCCAATCCGTTCATTCCAGTCAACCAAGCAAGGCTTCGAGCCTGGAACTCTTTGGTCTCGAGCCAAGATCTCCCGAATTGTTCAGCTGCACACCTTCTGCCCTTTCGATCCACTCGAGTGACACTTCAAGCGCTGAATTCTTCAGCACCGAAGAGTCCCCTCATCAGGATGGATTCGAATAAATTCGAACAAATAGGCCTGAGCTCGTTCTACAATGCCATACCAATTCTTGATAATGCCAACGACTGGGCTCAGTGGAACCTAAAGGTCAAGGAGTTTCTTCGTATATCTCCAGTGGCTAAAGATGGACCGATCCCACCTATGGAAGAGGAGGAGGCACAGCATTGGTCCCACCGCCAGACATTCTATTCGTCAATGATTGCGGCAAAGCTGACCCACAATGCGGCTCAGCGGATAAACGCCTTCGAAATCACACGAGTCCAACCCCTGATCAAGGCGGTCAAAGAAAACTTCAAACCAGAGGGCTCAGGGACATATGTCAATCTTCAGCGAAGGTACATGTCTCTTACCCGAGCAAAGTGTGGGAGTGCACAAGCCCTCGGCGCCGAGATCAGAAAGATCCATGCGGAAAAACTCCTGCTTGACCCCGCTTGTGTCACGTCTGAAATCGAACGAACCTTCTTTTTCTTGCATGCTCTAGGTCCGGAATATGAGAGCTTCCGCGACCATGTTTTCAGACAAATGGATATTGTCAATGATAGAGATGAAGATGGAAATATCACCAAAGCCGCTCCCACATTCGACTACATTGAGAACAAGGCCATCGAGGAGGAGCATCGAAAAGGACAGCTGGGTAACAACCCTGTAGACACAAATGCGCTTCCTGCCTTCACGCTGAGCCGAAGCTTTGGGGACAACAAAAAGATCATACCGTCCTCAGACGGACAAACATGCCGAATAGAGATAAATAATGTCCCGTTCTGTGTTTTCTGTCGAAGGCCCTATCATACAGAGCCTGAATGCTTCGAGAAGAATCCCGATCTGAGGAACCCAGAAAAACGGAAAAAGGCTCGCAGGACAAGGTCCAGCGGTGCAAACGCCAACTCCAGTAAGCCACCTATGAAGCGTGCCAGTACAGACAATGAAGACGACGACTCTGAGGGGCCGAGGAACCCCAAAAGACCTACCTTCATGGCGACACAAGTCTCGAGACAAGACATCAATGAAGCGTTCGGAACGGAAGTCGAAGGGAACTTTGCGACCTTAAATCATATTCCCAGTCTGATGGTCACGAAAGCTCTCTCAATCCGTGACGCCTGGATCGTGGATAGTGGATGTGCCCAGCACGTCTGCAACAACGCTTCGAGATTCGTCAAGATGGACAAATACGATGGCCCACCACTAAGGAGCGTCGACACCTCTACGGCCCCTTCCGGCATAGGAGTGGCAAACATCCTGTGCAATGTACGAGGCAAAAAGAAGTGGCTGGTTCTAGATGACGTCTTGTTCGTCCCGACCGCCCATGCAAACCTCATATCTGTGTTGCAACTTCTCAATCGAGGGGCAAAGATTGACTTCTCAAGCAATGGCGCAAAGATTCGGAATAAGTCAGATGGGGGGAACCTGTTCACTGCAAGCCAATATCATGGAGTTTACGCACTCGACCTGTGGTCGAAACCCGCTTTCCCGGCTTACCACATCAGACCGCAATCGGCGCTTTGGCACAACAGGCTTGCCCACATGAGCGATGCAAACATTCAACGACTCAAAAGGCAAGCCTATGGCATTCAGGACGTTGCACCACGCCAACCATGCAACCCATGCCTCCAGGGACGAATGACCGAAACCCCCCATCGTCGTTCAGAAGCGAGCACAAGATCCAAATATGCCATGGAACTCCTTCATATCGATGTTGCAGGGCCATTTGAGGAGGGCCTTGATGGTAGCCGCTACTGGATGACCATTGTCGACGACTTTACTGGATGGGTTGAGATCATCCCCATACCACAGCGCCAAGAATTCGTTGTTGGGTCTTTGCGGTATTTTCTCGATCACAATGAGCGCCCCGAGCGCAAATGCAGACGCATTCGTCTTGACCGAATCCCTGAGCAAGTGGGAGAAGAAATGAAGTTCATCCTCTTCTCAAGAGCAATCCATGCCGAAGTCACAGGTGTCGATCAGCACCAACAGAATGGAGTGGCAGAAAGAGCCCATAGGACAATCTACGATCGAGTCGGACCAACGCTCGCGCATGCAAAACTACCGCCGAAGTTCTGGCCGGAGATTGCGCGGACGGCGGCCTTCCTCTCGAATCGATCACCATCATCCAAACGTAACATGACTCCGTACCAAGCTTGGTATGGTGACAAGCCCGACCTATCGCGGCTGAGAGTCATTGGATCCAAGGGAGAGTACCTCATTCCACCCAGACAAAGAAAGAAGTTGGCAGGACCAAGAACAAGGCCATGTCTGCTACTGGGATACGAAGGAAATACGAACTACCGCATCCTACTGGAAGACGGCAGGATCATTGGTACACCAAACGCAGAATTTCATGAAGTTCTCAGCACACCCTCCACACAGACTATAGAAGATGTGGGAGCCGATCAGCAGAGCTTACCTGGGGCAACGGCTGCTGCCTCAGGGGGGAGTGAGACGGTGGGACTAGTAAACCAACCTTCGGCAAGTGTGCGACATGCATCCGTGCCAGCCTCGGGACGCCAAGCATCCCTGGCGCCGCAAGGGCAAACACAGCCTAGATCATCGGACGACAAAGTGCAAGAGCATATGCCTCAGCCGAGTAATAATAACTCGCAGCCCACTGTTACTGGACAAGGAGAAAGGACCTTTTCACCAACACGGAGTGACGATATCTTCGGGTGTTTATCATCTTCTTTAGAGGATTCCGTCCCGGGGATTGACTCACCACTCGGCGGTGACCAGCAACAAGGCGATGCTCAGCAAGGGCGAATTCCACAAGATTGGCTGAATTATTCTGAGCTTCGAGAGGGTGGTGCAGAACACATCGTGCCACAAGGTACACTTGAACGTCACCCTGAACTCAAACTCCGAGAAACACAAATCTCTCAAGACACATCTGATTATGATGAAGAAGAACTTGCATTGATGAATGTCCCTGACGAGAATGTGATTCCAACTTTCTTGACCGTAGCTGCGGAAGAGACTGAACCCTTTGAACCAAAGTCCCTTCGTCAGGCCAAGAATGATCCACGATGGCTCGAATGGGAAAAGGGAATGACCGAAGAAATACAATCGCTCAAGCAAAACAAAACTTGGGAACTCGTTGACTTGCCCAACGATCGCCGAGTCCTAAGCGGGAAGTGGATCTTCAAACTGAAAAGAGGAGCTCGCGGAGAGATCGTCCGCTACAAGTGCAGATGGGTGGTCAGAGGTTTCACTCAAGAGGAGGGTGTCGATTATGACGAAACTTTCGCCTCGGTGGTCAAACCGATGAGCTACAAGGCTCTATTCGCAATTGCAGCAGCCCTTGATCTCGAGATCGAGCAGATGGATGTCAAAACAGCGTTCTTATACGGCGAGGTTGACCACGAGATCTATGTCGAACAGCCCCACCACACTACGGATGGCACATCTAGGGTCTGTAAGCTCCGCAAAGCACTCTACGGCCTGAAACAAGCACCTCGCATCTGGTATCAGACTCTTACCAACTTCCTTCGGGGCCTTGGCTTTGAGCCCATCAACGCTGATCTCAGCATCTTTGTTCGGAGTGGCATGTACATTGCAGTATATGTTGATGACCTCTTAATCGTCGGGCCAAGCATTGCAGAGATAAAGAAGATCAAACGGAGCCTCAGAAATCGCTTTCACATGACAGACCTAGGACCATGCAGCTACTATCTCGGCATGGCCATCCGGAGGGACCGGCAGAATAGAATCCTCTTTCTCAGCCAAGAGGCTTACGTGCACAAGGTCCTCCAGCAATTTGGCATGTCAGACTGTGCACCCGTCAGCACGCCTATAGACACTTCACCTCTGCCAGAAAACGGGCCCGAATACGTCTGCCCCTCAAGCCTGAAGAACAAGTATCAGCGCATGATCGGATCGCTGATGTATATCATGCTTGGAACCAGGGGTGACATTGCATATGCCGTCTCAGCGGCAAGCAGACATTTGGCAAACCCTGGTCCACAACACGTGAAGCTCGGCCAACGTATTCTTCGGTATCTCAAAGGCACCATATTTCTCAGCCTCACATACAAAGGCCCGCTCCAGATGCTTCGTGGTTTCACAGATTCAGATTGGGCTGGCTGTCGCCAAACGAGACGGTCGACGGCCGGATACCTGTTCAACATCGGAAGTGGAGCGATCAGCTGGCAGTCGAAACGACAGAGCACTGTCGCCCTATCAACCTGCGAAGCAGAATTCATTGGCCAGACACAAGCAACTAAGGAAGCTATATGGTTGAGGAGACTCCTTCACGAACTGAACATGAGCCAAGGAAAATGCGCAACAATCATTTGCGGCGACAATCAGGGAGCCATTGCGCTGGCCTCGAACCCTCAATACCATTCGCGTACAAAACATATGGAAATCCAACGAAAGTGGCAAGGAGAAGTTCAAGACTCTGGGACAGTAGAACTGAGATATGTCCCAACAATGGAACAGATTGCTGATGGTTTGACGAAGCCCCTTGCCCGAAACAGATTTGAATGGTTTCGAAAGGGTCTCGGCATTGAGTGATACTCTCATGACGCACCAGCTTTCAAACCAAACCAAAACGCAACATGCAGGCACCCTTTCCCTCCTTTTTACCACGGGTTTTTGGGGGGTTTTAATGGGGCTTAGCAACCGTGATGAAGTGTCGCTGACATCCTTTATGACGAAGGAAATCAGCGAGTGGGAGTGTTGAATATCACGGTCACTGATGTAGTCACGGGAACGTGAGCACGTGCATGTATATATGTCTACCTGGCTACCAGCTTGTTTGTACTCAGAACACACAATCAATTCCTATCAACTATACAAACATTGAAGCGTCACTTATAACTCAACATCACCCAACTCACCCAACTCACCCAACAATTACCAAAACTGGCCAACCCCTGTATAAGATACAACCGCGATACGTCCGCGTAGTCGTTTGGGAGGCGCCTCGGCTCCACTCCTTTAGCGTTCAGCCTCAAACAAAAAATTGACATTTTGCTAGCCGTGAAAACTTTCTGGACCATCACAAGGCAAA